GCATGAATTAATGAATGATGTAGAACATTCTAAAGCAGCCAGGTGGCACAGTGCAGAAAGTGCATTAGAGTCAGGAAGACTTGATTTTGAATCCTACATGAAGGTTACTAGCTGTGTTACCCTGGGAAAGTCACTTAACCTTTCTGTTCCTCTAGTTCCTCATCTGTAAAATGATGATAATAATAGTACCTATCTCCTCGAAATATTGTAGGGAATCAAGTGAAATAATATATAAATTGCTTTGCAAACCTTAAAATGCTATATAAATGCTAGCTATTACTACTAGATTAAAATGGATTTGGATATTATGTACTGATTTCATTTATTCATAGTTTAATCTAGTTTCAAGTTATCTCCTTTTTCTGCTTATCATGTAGAAAAGGTGTCATTTTTAAAAAATGGATCAGCCAAATTCACAAGAAGGAAGAGAAAGGAGAGTTACCTTGGATCTGTAAATTCTGAATGTAGGCAGAATTCTGTAATATAGGAGAATAATAGCAGAAGAGGAAGAAAAGATGACAGTATATAGGGTACTTGAGACCAGGAGTAGTGGTAGTGGTTGAAGTTTTACATGCTGGGTACTAGCAAAGTGCATAAAATGTAGAAGTAAGTTTTACAGCCAGGGTGCTTTGGGAATCCTTAACCTTTTTTATGTCATGGACTCTTTGGCAGTCTGGTGAAGCCTGTGGATCCCTTCTCAGAATAATTTTTTTGCTTTACTGAAGGAAACAATTTCAGTTAGATGTTAGTGAAAATAAAGGTGTCATTTTTTTTCCTCATACAAGTTCATAAACCCTTTGAAACCGATCCATGAATTCGCAAGGGTACCTCCATTCTAGAGCCCGTCAAAGAGCAAGATGCCTTTTCTCTTTTTTTTTTCCTCAACTTTACAGGGTTTTATTTTGCCACATTCCACTTACAGTAACCAAACTTAAATTTTATACCACCACCACCACCACCACCCCCTAAAAAATCTGTGTAGTTTAAAATTTGGGCTAGGCAGAACCACAAACATGTATAGTTGAACACATACACACAAAGTTTTAAAAATGCATAACCCTTAAAAATCCTGTTCTTTCTGGGGCAGCTAGGTGGCGCAGTGGATAGAGCACCAGCCCTGAAGTCAGGAGGACCTGCGTTCAAATGCGGCCTCAGACCAAATACTCAAACCTTACTTACTAGCTGTGTGACCCTGGGCAAGTCACTTAACCCCAATTGCCTTAAAAAAAATCCAGTTCTTTCTCAAATGCCTGATTTCCCAGGACCTCCATTCTTGTTCTTGCTATCCTCTATAATTGTTGCACCTCTGTGATCCAGAACATTGAAATTCCTCTGTCTGATTATATCCTCCCCTCTTCCTCAGTCTTCTCTCTCACAGATCTAGAACTGGCATGGCCATCTAAGCCAGATATCAGACGTTATGACCTTATAGGCCACATGTAGCATAAAGTGGGGCCCAAACCAGATTAAAATATAATTGGAAGATATTTAACAAAATAAATAAAAATACAGTAAAACAAATAATGTTAGTATGTGATTTTTTTAAGTCATTATGTGCCCACAGGGATCCTTATTATGGTTTAAAGGCCCCTGCTTCTACTTGACTTTGATACCACTGATCTAGTCCAACCCCTTCATTTTACAGATGAGATAACTGAAGCCCAGGGTAATAAGCAGAAGCAGAAGCAGGATTTGAATCTACATTGTCTGACTTTTTTGAGCCATTGCATTTTCTGTGGCTTTGCTTTCTTTCCTTTACACTTCTAGTTAATCAGTTTTCTTCCTTCTGACCCTTGTTTACTTGTCCTGTCAGAATTTATGCCAGGCTACAAACCCGTATTGCTACTATCTACCTTCTCTACAGCTTGTGTGCTGCTGAACCTGTTCTACAGGAAATCTTAAACAGTAACTGTGCTAACTAGTCCTTTACAGATTTATGTTATCTAGTCTATATTAGACCCTTTCTACTAAATTACAATGTCCTTATTCTTCACTGATTATTTCTTACTCTCCCCATTATGCTATTCTTAACCTTCTCTACTCTCTTCTTCTTTTCTACATCAATTTTTCCCTTCTACATCTTCTACTTTATTGATAAAATAAAGGACATCCATTGTGAATTTTCACTTGCCAAAGAAAAAAAACATTAATACTAACTGCATTTAGGCACCCGTCTGCCAGAAACAGTTTTGTTTACTTTATCATGAATCTATATCCAGAGTATTTCTAGCTTGGAGAGAATGATGTCCAAACTGGCAAAGTCCCCATGCCTTCTGACATGACTCTCTGCCACAATATTTCAGGTAACATTTGTAGGAATTTTGAAGAAGAAAATCACAATATATAACAATACAGTTCTGAGTTAACATTCAAATTCAACTAAATTACTATCCCATTCTTGGACATCTCCCTTCTTCCTGGAGTTAAACAGTGGAAAACTCCTACCTTCCCTTGGCCTTAATCCTTTCTCTCTGAAGAAGTCCCCTCACTTCTGGTCAGCAGGAGCCTGCCTTTAGGTGGGTCTGAAACCTAATCAACCTCTGGGTTGGAGAAAGCAGTAAGGTAAACCAGACTAGAGTTACTCTTTTTTTAAAGATTTCATTCTGCCTTTAATCCATTTGTCTAGGAGAGTCTTTTTGTCCTCTACCAAATGGCTTTTCCTAGGATTTTTGAAAAGTCTTTAGAGGAAAATACTGTTTATTATTTTCAGTTTTACTGAAGAGTTTTTTAAATATACTTCCACACTTCACTCCATTTTCTGACTAGAGATGGCTTCATATCACCATTCTCCAATCCATTCTCCACTCTGCTGCCAGAATGATTGGCATTAGGAATGCTCATGCCCATGTCACCTACTCAGTCAGCTCCTGAGGCTCCCTCTTACCTCAAGGATCCAATATAAAGTCCTGTTAGTCATTTAAAGCCCTCAGGCCTGGCTTCTTTTATACCTTTCTATTACCTATGCCCTTTGTTAGTTCCCCTCCCCAGAGCTCTATAATCCAATGACACCAACTTTCTTGCTGTTCCCTTCCAGTTAGACTTTCTGTTTCCCCTCTTGGTGGTATTTTTGTAGTGATGTTTTTGTTTCTCTTTCCCATAATCTCCTTTCACCACCTCTTGGCTTCCCTGCCTTCCTTCAAGACAAAGGAGGTCTTTTCGGATCCTCCGGCTCTTGTCTCCTACTCTGGGATTATATTCCATCTACTCTGTATCTTATATGTACTTAGTTAATTTAGTGTTGGTTCCCTCAGTGCTTAGTATAATTCCTGACACATATGTAGCTTAATAAAATGCTTGTTGGCTGACTGCTGGCTGACGTTCTCTGTCTCTGTCTCTCTCTCTCTCTCTGTCTCTCTGTCTCTCTGTCTCTCTCTCTCTGTCTCTCTCTCTCTCTCATCCTCAGTCTCTCTTTATCTACTGGCTGCTTCCCTGCTGGTTCTGATGATGCCATTTCCTCTCTCACAAGTCTTAAATGACTCTGTTCTGTCCTTAATATCAGTAAATCTATCAATAAACATTTATTAAGCACCTATTATGTGCCAGGCACAGTGCTAAGTGCGAAGATACAAATATATAGAAGAAAGGCAATCCTGCTCACAAGAAGCTTACAATGGAGGAAGACAACACACAAAAGGAAGATGAAAAGCAAAGGGTGGGGGGGGGGAGAGGTAGGCCAGGGAAGGTGCTGGAGGTGGGGGCATGGTGGAGAAGTCAGTGAGAGAAATCCAAAGTAGGGCAGCCAGGTGAGAAATAAGAAGATCAATGTCTGAGCTAAACTCTGTCCTTAAATGACAGTTGGGAGTTCATGGCCCCAACTTCTAATCAGAGATGCAGAAGGAAGTGATGAGATCTTCCCAGCAAGGTGGAGAAGTCATTGTCCTTAACCTGCGTTCCAAGATGCTCTACAACTTGGCGCCTCCTTACCTTTTCAGCCTTTACCTCATTTTCTTTTCTTTCATTCATTCTGTGTCAATGGACTGATCAGTTCTCTGTCCCCCAGGTATAAAGTGTATCATCCTTGTTCTCTATGCCTAGAATCCCCTCCTTACCAGTCTTTACCTATTCAATTCCTACCAGTCTTTTTAAGCCTAATTCAAATAACACCTCCTCCAAAAATCTTCCCCGAACCCATATAGTAATATTTTTCCCCTCCTTGTTACATAACACTTTGTTTTATATAATTACTTCATAATATTGCGCATTGTAGCTATCTTTAAGCCTTACTTAACTACAGCCCTTTGAGGGCTGAAACTGTTCTTATCTAAGCTTTTAATCTTTTCCAGGGGCTTACATAGTGTTGTGGGCACTGAAGTATTTAATAAATGTTTGTGGATTACCAGCCAGTTAAACAGGATTATGCAAATTAACTGATACAATGCTAGAGGCTTGTCTACTCTGACCTTAGATGTGTCCTAGTTTTGGTATTTACTTTCTGCACACATCCAAGCTACTGCCTACAAGCAGACCCTGAACTTGCTATCAAGTTTCAAAGTGTTTAAATAGCCTCAGAACCTGAAAAAGGCCCGCCTGTCAAGGTTTCTTTTGACCCAAATAAAACTAGTCTACATCATTTTCTTCAAAGACTGGGATTGAAGAAGTCTTGGAGGAGTGGACCAGATAACAGAGCACTACGTTGGCTTGAGAAGTTTGACAGTTTGTTTTGCCTTTTCATACAGTAAAAACTCTTCATCCTTTTTTTTGTCCTTCAAAGTTATACCAGAAATCAGAAGCTGGGGGAGGGTTTTAGGATTGGAAAACATAAATTAACCCAAAGGACTAAAGAACAGATTAGCTTGGCCAGAAGGCTACAAAGTAATTAGAAGCCAGTTAACGTATTGAAATTGTGGTATAAACTTGCCATCATTAACCTTTTTACTCATGTAGTTAGGTAATATGAATAAACAAGAAATAGGTAGGATCTTAATGATATGAATGACTTGACAGATGTTACAGAATATTTCCTATTATGTGTTAATATTTTTCATGTTGCGTTTCTTAAGTTGGAAGCAAAGTATCATTCTTTCATCCAGATGATGAAGTAGTGGGTAAGTTTCACTTGATATTCCTGTTTTTCCATTGTACTCCTAAAGTATTTTTCTAACTTTAAAAATTTTTTTTAAATTTATTCTCAATTATTCATGCTATGGCAGGGATTATAGTTTTTAAGAAAGATACTTAAAAATACACATGCTCCTGTATACTTAATGCTATCCCTGTCCTGACTAGGCCCCAGACTGTGCAATGTGAAACCTAGCTGGACATTGGCAGGCAAGCAAATGCAGATAATCCACTTGAAGATAACTGTGTTTACTATATTTAGAAGATCCATTTTGCAAACTGGAAATTGAGTAGTTTGGAGTGATTTTTTTTTCCCCTTTAACCCAAACATCCACACAAAGCCTTTCACTGCAAAAAACTTTATATAAGAAAATAAAAAATACCTTACATAAAATTTAAATGTTGATTTCTCAAGTGGTAGAAAATGTGAGCATAAGCAATGATTTTACAAATATTTGCTGTATAACCTTCAAAGTTGGTATTTCTCAGTCCAAACAAGATGCAAAGTGGCAAGATTTATTCCAAGCTCATTTTTTCTCAACAGCTGAGGAAAGATTATTGAATAAAATCTTAGTCATTTTCCTCAAGTTTTTGCAGTATTACTTTTGTTACCTTTTGTAATAGTGAAATTTTGCTCTATTTCCTAGTCACCTTTTTAACTTCATTTTTGATGCTATGATGCCGTATTATTAGTGGTATATTAGACTTCCATTAATCTCTGAGTTGGTGAAGGGCACAAGAAACCATAGGAAGGAAGAATGTTTTTAGAGCCCAGCTTAGCTAGAGCAGAATATACCATATACATTGACCTATTTGTAATTTTTCCAGGCTGCTGCTGTGACGTGGAGAAAAATGTCAGTAGGTCTAATAGAATATGGCTGAGTTATGTAAAAGAATTATTCTTCTTCCTTTTTCTCTTCATTTCACTTTCCCTTTTTCTTTTATTTCTGTCTTTGTTCTAACTCCATAGAAAGGCTGTACCCAACAGGAGTTCTGGGTTGTTTTTTTTTAACCCACATACAAAAAGAAACCAGAAAAGTGATTGAAAGAGAGAGAGAGAGAGAGAGAGAGAGAGAGAGAGAGAGAGAGAAAGAAGAAAACTTGCAATTCTAGAAAAGTGAAATAACTATTATTACCTTCTTTTTTTTTTATAGTAAACCCTGCCTTGTAAATGACTTATAATCTCAATGCCAGTTCATCAGAACAACCATGAAAAACCTTTTGGCAGCAATTAATTTCTGCCAGGCTTTCCTTTAAGAGAAAAAGCTTATTGATTATGAACATTAAATTTAGATTTACTTTTCTGATTTAACTTTTTTTTTTCCCCTAAGGAATTTTGCCATTGGATTCTGAAGAATCTGGTGTCTGTGAAATTGTTAGAATACATGAGCATTACTTGGGTATGTTACAATCCAGCCTTTTCTAAGATTTTATTAATCTTATCTTCACTCATATATAATAGGTTATTGTTACTCAATTTTCATTATATCTACTCAGTGGGTACCTAAGGAATGAAATGTGTATTCCGACTAAACTTTGTGAAAAGCCCTTTAAGTTTTACTTTCTAGGACTACTAGCTTTAATAAGTTTGTACATTTCCCACAAGGTGTAATTTCCACTGTGGGCTTTTGATTTCTCACCCTGAGCTAATTTGAAGTAAAAACTAAAATTAACACCAAACCTTGGCATATCTGAAATTGGAAAGAATGGTTGAGTACTATATATACTAGTCCTTGGCTTCTGTTGTTAGTATATTTGAGATTTACTTATTCATTTTATTTTTTAAATGAAAATGAATTGTTTTTAAATGTTTAAGCCATTTGGTTCTATTATTTATCTTTATCTCCTAATTGTTTAAATAAAAGTGGATATGGTTCCTAATTTGAACTAAGCTAACAAATCATTGTCAAGTAGAGATCTTTGAGGACCTGCTTTAAATACACAATTAAGAATGATTTTTAATTTGTAGATTTAATATATAGATGAATATTTTTTTAAAAAATTTTGCTTTATTGGTGGTGGATTCACCCTTTTCATTTTTGATACTGGTAATTTGGTTTTCTTCTTTTTTTTAAATTAAATTAACCAAAAGTTTATCTATTTTATTGGTTTGGTTTTTTTTTCAGAAAACCAGCTTTTAGTTTTATTTTATTAGTTCAACAGTTTTCTTAATTTCAATTTTATTAATCTCTCTTTTGGTTTTCAGAATTTCTAATTTGGTATTTAATTGGGGATTTTCAGTTTGTTCTTTTTCTACTTTTTTTGGTTGCATGCCCAATTCATTGATCTCCTTTTTCTTTATTTTAGTCATGTAAGCATTTAGAGATATAAAACTTCTCCTAAGAACTGCTTTTGCTGCATCCCATAAGTTTTGGTATGTTGTCTCATTATTTTCATTCTTTTGGATGAAGAAATGCTGAAAACCAAAGGAAAAATACTGAAAACCACCAACGAAGAGATTGTTAAAACAATAATTAGGAACTATTTTGCCCAACTGTATGCCAATAAATTTGACAATCTTAGTGAAATGAATGAATATTTACAAAAATATAAATTGTGCAGATTAACAGAAGAGGAAGTAAAATACTTAAATACCCCATCTCAGAAAAGGAAATTGAACAAGCCATCAATGAACTCCCTGGGAAAAAATCTCCAGGGCCAGATGGATTTACAAGCAAATTCTATCAAACATTTAAAGAACAATTAATACCAATGCTGTATAGACTATTGGGGAAAAAGTCAAAGAAAGAGACCTACCAAATTCTTTTTATGATACAAATATGGTGCTGATACCTAAACTGCGAAGAGTCAAAACAGAGAAAGAAAATTATAGACTAATTTCTCTAATGAATATAGATGCAAAAATTTTTAAGAAAAATATTAGCAAACAGATTACAGTAGCTTATCACAAGAATAATACACTATGACCAGGTAGGATTTACACCAGGAATTCAGGGCTGGTTCAATATTAGGAAAACTATCAGCATAACTGATCCTATCAACAACAAAACTAACAGAAACCACATGATCATCTCAATAGATGCAGACAAAGCTTTTAACAAAATACAACACCCATTCCTATTAAAAACACTAGACAGCATAGGAATAAATGGAGGGTTCCTTAAAATGATAAGTAGCATCTACTAAAACCTTCAACAAGTATCATATGTAATAAATAAACCTAGAAGCATTTCCAATAAGATCAGGGTGAAACAAGGATGTCCATTATCACCACTTTTATTCAATATAATACTGGAAATGCTAACTTTAGCAATCAGAGAAGAAAAAGAAATGGAAGGTATTAGAATAGGCAAAGAAGAAACAAAGCTATTGCTCTTTGCAGATGATATATACTTAGAGAATCCTAGAGAATCAAGTAAAAAACTACTTGATAATAAACACCTTTAACAAAATTGCAGGCTATAAAATAACTCCCTGTAAATCATCAACATTTCTATATATTACAACAAAGCCCAACAGCAAGAATAGAGAAATTCCACTTAAAGTTACTGTAGACATTATAAAATATTTAGGAATCTACCTGCTGAAACAAACACAGGAAATATGTGAGCACAATTATAAAACACTTTCCACACAAATAAAGTCAGATCTAAATAATTGGAAAACCATCAGTTACTTATGGGTAGGCTGAGCTAATATAATAAAAATGACAATTCTACCTAAACTAATTTACTTATTCAGTGCCATACCAATCAAACTACCAAAAATTATTTTATAGAGCTAGAAAAAATAGTAACAAGATTCATCTGGAATAACAAAAGGTCCAGAATATCAAGGAAACTAATGAAAGGAAATTCAGGGGAAGGGGGCCTAGCCATTCCAGATCTTAAATTGTATTATAAAGCAGCAATCATCAAAACTACTTGGTACTGGCTAAGAAATAGAGTGGTGGATCAGTGGAATAGGTTAGATACACAAGACACAGTAGTCAATGACTATAGTAATCTACTGTTTGATAAACCCAATGACCTCAGCTTCTGGGATAAGAACTCACTATTTGACAAAATCTTCTGGGAAATATGGAAAACAGTATGGCAGAAACTAGGCATAGACCAAAATCTTACACCATATACCAAAATAAAGTCAAAATGGGTGCATGATTTAGATATAAAGGCTGATACTATAAGCAAACTAGGAGAGCAAGGAATAGTTTACCTATCAGATTTATGGATAATGGGAGAATTTATGACCAAACAGGAGATAGAGAACATTATGAAATGCAAAATGGATAATTTTTTTTTTCTTTTTGGTGAGGCAATTGGGGTTAAGTGACTGGCCCAGGGTCACTACAGCTAGTAAGTGTCAAGTGTCTGAGCCTGGATTTAAACTTAGGTCCTTCTGATTCCACTGAGCCACCTAGCTGCCCCATCACAATCCCTATTGATTACAGAAATGCAAATCAATACAACTCTGAGGTACCACATCACACCTATCAGATTGGCCAACATGACAGAACAGGAAAATGAAAAATGTTGAAGATGTGGGAAAATTGGAATGCTAATGCATTGTTGGTAGAGTTGTGAATTGATCCACCCATTTGAGAGAGCAATTTGGAACTATGTCCAAAGGGCTATAAAAATTTGCATACCCTTTGACCCAGCAATAGCACTTCTAAGGCTGTATCCCAAAGAGATCATAAAAATGGGAAAAGGACCCATATGTACAAAAATATTTGTAGCAGCTCTTTTTGTGGTGGCAAAGAATTGGATATTGAGGGGATACTCATCATTTGGGGAATAGCTGAACAAGTTGTGGTATGTGAGTGTAATGGAATATTATTGTTCTATAAGAAATGATGAGCAGACAGACTTCAGAAAAACCTGGAAAGATTTGTATGGACTGATGCTGAGTGAAGTAAACAGAATCAGGAGAACATTGTACATAGTAACAGCCACGTTGTTCCATGACTAACTTGGATAGACATAGTCCTTCTCAGCAATGCAAGGATCTAAGCCATCTCCAAAAGTATCATAATGGAAAATGCTATCCATATCCAGAGAAAGAACTATGGAGTTTGAATGCAGATTTAAGCATACTGTTTGTTCTTTTTTTTCTTCTGTTGTGTTTTGTTTCCTCATTTTTGTGGTTCTTCCTATTGGTTCTAATTCTTCCTTACAACATGACTAATGTGAAAATATGTTTAATAGTAATGTATGTGTAGAGCCTATATCAGGTTGTACACCGTCTTGAGGAGAGAAGGGGAGAAAAATTGAAAACTCAAAAGCTTATGGAAGTGATTTTTGAAAACTAAAAATAAATTAATAAAGAAAAGAATGAAGTAAATATTTTTTTTTTGCTGTACTACAGAAGTAAACCATTTCCTTATGCAGTATTTTTTTGGTACTCTTCATGTGTTTAACAGGTTTGTTTTTTTAAGTGGAAAAAAAAAACCAGAAGAGCCTGCCTTTTGGAATTGATGTGCATTTCAAATTAGGGGGGTTTAAGTTATAGTGTGTTTCTGTTCTTAGAATTTTCAGGTAGCATTTTATCATTATGATTTCAGCAAGAGGAAAAAAATCAATAATTTAATTTCAAAATTAAATTCATAATTTTAAAATGTTTTTACAGCTGTTAAACTATAGACACATTGAATACACATATAAATTCCTACAAGCCTAAGTCCTACACATAGAATTACACCTAGTAATATAGCTAAAATGTTTTTTCCTATTTATTCCTTAATAAAGGGCAGTTTCTCAGTCCCTTTGCAGTAAAAACCTTAGTTTATCAATTGTTTATTCATTCTACAGTTAGAAAGGGCAACCAGTAGCTCTGTTACAAGAAGTTCTATTTATCCCATAGAGCAATCTTGGGTAGTTGATGTAAATATTCTGTCTTTTTTCATTTATATTCATCTGAATGCCACCAAATGTGGCTTCTGTGGAAGATATTTAGCTACAAACCACTGCTGTTTTATTTAAAATTATTAGGATTGAGTTTACAGTGTGACAGAGTAGAACGTTTTAGAAGACCAGAGGCCCTGGGTTCAAATCTTAGCCCAGGCATATACTATGTTTGTGATTGTCCAAGTCTCTTAATCTTTCTAGTTAAGAGAAAATCTCAGCTTCTTCATCTGTAAAATAAGGGTTTTTTGGAGTCATTGACCTCTAAGATCTCTTCTAGCTCTAAATCTATAATCCCAGGACTTTCTATTATTTTGTTATAGAAAAAAACTTAATAATGGAAACTTGGTTATTTCTGAATTATTCATAATTATGTATAATAGAGTAGATGAAAGGCAAAATTAATTTCATTATAGATATCCCAACCCATACTCAATCAGGACAGTAGCCCCATAAAATGGCTTTCTTAGTTTGCTTTTGGATTAATGTACCCTAAGACAAGTTCAAAAGGCAATAAACAAAAATTACAGGTATGCCTGGTTATAAAGAAATAATATGCCAAAACTTTCCCTAACAATTTATAAAAATGAGATTAGTTCAGAATGCATTATCTGAATATTAAATGTTTATTGAAATGGCATTTCTCAATTGTCTTGTTTCCTACTCCATGTTTAATGTTGCTTCAGCACTTCTTTCCACAACTGACTGAAATGGAACCATTGAGCTATGGCATAAAGTGCATTGACTTTGTAGTCAGAGGATCTTGGAAAAGAGTTGTCTATTAGCCATTAAGTACTAGTGGGGCCCACCAGTTCCAAATTATAGTAAGCAAAAAAATATACTGGGCCTGGTATACATCATCCCGACTGACATTGTCTTAACTTTTTTATTACCTATATCCATCTTTCTCACCATATGACAATGATTTGATCAGGTTGTTGTTTATGTTTTTCGGTATTATCTGAAAGAAACCTAAGAGGTCATCTCTTCCAAATCCTTTTTTGCTACTTAAACCATTTTCTAAAATTAGCTGTCTTTCCTTTTTAGGCAATTGTTAGAAAAAAAGTAACTACTTCACAACCTTCCTCAGTAGTTTGCTTTCAATATACACACATAAATATTTAATATATTTTCACATGTGTGTATGTACTTTTGTCTAGATTGTAATTTCATTGGGATGAGATCTGAGACACCTAAATGACATAGTGAAAAGAATGCTGGACTTGGACTCAGGAAAACTTAAGTTCAAATACTACCTCAGATACTTACTAGCTGATTTATCTAGGTCAAGCCATTTAACCTTTGTCAGTTTCCTTGTCTGTAATATAAAGGGATTAGATCTGATAGCCACCCACTAAAGTCCTGCCAAACTCTAAATCTATAATTCTGTAAAACTCCTTCCACCCATACAGATCAGTGCTCATCTTTAATTTACAATCTTAGAAAATTATCTGGGGCACATAGCTAGTATATACCAGAGGCATATCCATTCTGCCTCCTTGCCTATCAGTCTTTTCATGCAACATAAACTTTGTTGTAAAGAAACAAATGGTGATTATGATACCTTGCATATTAGAATATCAGAAACCTGTAAAACATCTATCATTTTCCCCATTTTACAGAAGTCAAAAGTAAGGTACAGTGAAATTTATATGTTAGTCAGTCAAATCATAAGTTAATCTATAATGTGGGTCTACACTGCCTAATAAGGAAATTGGCTTTGCTTTTCTTTTTCTCTAAAGTATTCAATAGTAAGATATAATGTCAAACGCTAATAAAAATAACCTTTTTTGCCTTTTTCTTCTATTATTCTCTTTGCATAGTACATAAACCAGAAAAGGTCACATGGGCTGAAGCGGCAGGAGTGATCCGTGATGGGATACGTTCCTACACAGCTCTGCATTCTCTTTCTCATCTTTCTCCTGGAAAATCAGTGCTCATAATGGATGGAGCGAGTGTGGGTACAGTAATTCTGTGTTAGAATCAGAGTATTATAAAAACAAAGTAAACCAGGGAATCAAAAAACAGACTGCCCATTCTGCTATCCTAGTCCTTATGCTAATAATGCTCTATATCTTCCATTGTCACATTTTGTGTTGGCATTGAGTGGCTTTCATCAGTCTATCAAATGTGACCAGAAGCATGTGCTAGATGTAGCATTTACCTTTACTCTGAACCTCCTAAAGAAGTTCAAAAGAAAACAACCTAAATTAATGTGTTATAAGTTTGATACATATCTGTAGGCATAGCCCATGAGTACCTGAGGCTTATACTTGAGACATTTTAACCTGCTTTCAAAGAAAGGCCAGGAAAAAGGCATCCTCTCCATCTGCAGCTAAATGAAAAATATAAATCTCCCATGAGTTTCACAACAGTTTTTCCTCAGTTATGAATTTGTGAACTAAACTTCTAACTTTAGTATTCTTATCTTGTGAACAATACATCTAAAATATTATACCATTTTCATTATTTTTTCTGCAATATCTATAAACTTAAGAGGTTGTTAAAGGCACTTTGGTCTTAGGGCTAAACACTGGCCTCATAGGAATCCTTCCTCACTGATTCACTGTTCTTTAAAACTGAAATAATAAAAGTTTGCACTATGTTTATGTCAAGTGTTACTGGAAGGATATTGGGTTTTAAAATGCTTTGATCTTCAAAGAGAAGGGAGTCTCATAGCTACATATGTGTGTATTTATAGATATATAAAATAGAATTAGTTCAGAGTATGTTGCTAGTGAGGCCAAAGGTCATAGGTTTATTCCTCTGAAAAGGTCATTTAGCTTTTCTCATTGCCATGGCCATAGACTTTATCCCTAAGTCTTGCCAGTTATCTACAAAATATATCTACTATTTCATTCAGCATCTAGCACAGGGCCTGGAACATAAACGCTTATTATGTTGAGTTGAACTGTTACAAGGAAGTGAGAGTGAAACAGCTTAGGTTTAGCCACTCTTGAAAAACAACTAAAATATCTGCCATCTTGGCCAGGAGTAAGAAAGAACATCTTGAATATAGGATATTAAGTAATACATATCAGAAAATTGCATTCTTTTATTATCACCATCTTGAAAGAATAATAACTCCCTTTCTATGTCACAAACTTTAGGAACTCCACAAATCAAATTAGATGTGCTCTCAGACACATTCATTATGGTCTTGAATTCATATGTGTATATAAATTAATATAAAAAAGAATATATATATGTGTGTGTGTGTGTACACATATACATATACATATCTATATCTATATATATATATATATATATGTATTTCCTTTGTACACAGGCATTTGGTACAATAGCTATACAGTTAGCACACCACAGAGGGGCCAAAGTTATTTCGACAGCATACAGTCTTGAAGATAAACAATATCTTGAAAGACTTAGGCCTGCAATAGGTAAGTTATATTTCTTAATATATTCTTAGTACAAAGTTTTGAAGATAAAGTATATTGTACAATTTTAATTCTTACTATAAATAAAAAAAATTTCAAAGTAAATATTTTTTAAAATAAAAAATTTTCTCTCTGTGCTAAATTAGTTTATTTAATTTTAAGCTACTTTTTATGTTTTATATCACATTTTTGTCTCTCTATTCAGGCTTTTAAATAAAGTAAACTTGCTCCATTCAGCTAATCTGTTTCTACAATACTTGTTTTCTCATTTTTTATTTTTAAATTTTATTTAAGAATTTTATTCTTAAATTCTGTATGTGATTGCCTGAGGTAAGTATGTGATCCTCTTGAATTTGGTTTGACAGGAGTTTTCTTGTCTGCTGAAAGATGGGGGGGGGGCGGGGAGGGAGCAGATGGTAGAATGGAGATACACTTTTGAAAAGCCTTAACATGCTTGAACAGTCATGAGGACAGAAAGGAACATCATAAAGAAAAGAGAGCTGGAAAGGAAATACTAAAAAGAGGAAAAGAAAAGGTAGAAAAGGCATGGAAAAGAGTAGTAGGAACCAAAGAGTTAAATTCAAAAAAAGAAAAGAAGGGGGAAAAGAAGATGAAGCTGACAAAGGAGAAACCATTAAAAAAGGATAAAAAAGAAGACAACATTTGCCAAGTAGAGCAGCTTCTTGCTACTCCATTTACATTCTTGTCATGCTACTCTGTAAGTTCTGCATCACTGGGGAAATTGCATTCCTTTTGTCCATGTTGACCGTGGTGCTGTGTGTCACTGCCACCACGATCATTGGGCCAGGTTGTTGAGAGGTTACATCATAGTGGTGCAGCTTCTATCTGTGCTACCACTAAGACAGAATAAATAGAAGAAGCAGCAAGAGAAAAATAACAAAATAATAAGAAACATTTTCCTTGGATTTCTTCCCAGTCCAGTTTTTTCTTTGGCCAATACAGTCTTCCCTGCGCTTAAACCTCTACCTCCATCCCTAAATATATTTCAATTTGAAGATGCTGCTTAATATACCTGAAGGGGGACGTTTCATTGTCCCAGCCTTGCAGAAGAGTAACTGTAGGGAAGGACCCTTCCACGATCCTGATAAGTAACCTCTAGGATAGAGTAGTACTAAACAATAGTACTAAAGGGCTTACCTGCCAGCATTGCTCAATGTTTGGTACGTTCATAGGGTGCAATAATTGTGGTCACTTATCTCTTAAGCTCAATTTGGAAAACATCACAGGCAAGAGTAGGCACAAGTTGGGTTACAAGCCCATCATTGTATTAATACATTTACATTTTTGCTGTAGGAAAGGGAAAAACATAGGACAAATCCAAACTATCCCAATACTGTGTACATATAAATGTGTAAGAATTTTCAATCAGCAAGCATTTGCTAAGACTCATACTATGTATCAACCAGGACTTAAGCACTAAGGGTAAAAATAAAAATATAAATGTATTAAACACCTACTATGTTCCAGGCACTGTGCTAAGCACTGGTACAAAGAAAGGCAAAGGACAGCTCCTGTTCTCAAGGAGCTCACAGTCTAATGGGAGAAACATCCTGTGAAAAAGCATGAAGCCCACAGATGGACTTTTTTGTGGGGGAAGCAGCAAAAAGCAAAAATTCTTTAACTGAATTGAAGCATCCATGAAAAGGAATCATTTATAAATGAGCCTACCTTGGTAGGTTGAAGGCACCTGCTACGTAGCTGGGAAAGGCTTTAAATATCAGAGGAGTTTGTGATTGATTTTAGTAATCATTGGAAATCATTGTGGTCTATTGAACATGAAAGTAACATGATCAAACCTTTGTTTTAGGAATCACACTTTGACAGCTTTGTAAGAAAATGGATTGGAGAAGGGAGAGACTTGAGGCAGGAAGAAGAATTAGAAAATCCTTGTTGTATGGATAAAAGATGATGAGGGCCTGAACTAGAGTTGTGGCCATGTGATTAGAAAGAAGGGGAAGGATGTAAGAGATATTTCAGAGGTAGAACTGACAGGACTTGGCAATTGAATGGATATGTGGAGTGGAGGGTAAAAAGTCCAGTATGACTCCAAGATTACAAACCTGGGCAACTGGAAAGACAGTCATAACTTTGAAGCAAGTTGGAGAAGTTATCAAGAGCATTGAATTTTAGGGAAAAGATAATGAGTTCTCTTTTGAATTTGAGATGACTATAATAGCCCAACTGTTTTAAAGTATAGGTGGTTGGTAATGTGTGACTGAAGCTTAGACAAGACACCAGATATGTAGATCTGGAAGTGATAAGAGCTAATGAGGTCAAGAGATATATAGAGGAAAACATGGAAGAGGGTTTAGGATAGAGTCTTGGAATAAACACACAATTAGGGGATGGGATGTTGATCAAGTGAAAGGAAAGCCAAGAGAAGGAAGTATCAAAAAACCCAGAAAGTACAAAATAGCTGGGAGGAAAACAGTGGTCTTCATTGTTAATTCATTCATTGTCCTGCAGAGGACATATAGAGGGATGCTGATTGAAAAAAGACCATCACATTTGGCAATTGAGATTGTTACCAAATATGATGCATTATTCTACCTCGTTCCTTTCATGGGAGAGGTTCAGAGAAGACGTGAGGAGGCTTTGAGTGGGCAGTGTTGCATATGCTATCAGACACAATGTGACCATTGGTTTTATGGAATTATGGCTTTTTAGGAAAATAATCTTTGTTACAACAGAAAGATTGATAGATAGAAGCAAGGATATATTTGCAACTTAATGTGATATAAAAACAAAAGGCATCAGTAAAACCTCAAATAAGGAGAATTATAATTTCTTCATGTATTCAGGCTAATAATTGAAAGGCTTTTGCCATCTTTGGTAAGAGAGAGTATTGATACCCTTTTTTGTGTCCTGTTGTGGGAAATTTTTAAAAATTCTGTAGTTCTTATATAGTACTGAAGAATAATCATTTGTTGGGTTTGATTTGGTTAAGTTTTACTACTCAAGTGCTAAAAATAATCATGTTCTTTTTCTATATCCTCATTTTGGGGTATGCCTATGTTTGAGAAGGACTAAAACAACCCTTGGTAGGTAAGTACTGTGCTGCCTACATCCATTTGGTTCTATTAAGGGTAAAAAGTATCAATTATATCTGAACAAATAGGGACCCGAAGCCAAGATTGAAATTTCATAATTGTCTTTCATTTGAATCAAGTGATTCTATTGAATTAAATATTTGTGTATTTTGGATTTGTACATAGATTATAGATCCATCATTTTGAATAATTCATGTCCAGTATGTACTTAGGACTCCTTGATCCTTTATGTCTATATTTTCTGAATTAGAGCTGTCTAATTTACCATTTACTTCTTCAACTAGTTCCTTAAAATTGTATCAGGTCAAAAGTATAATTTTGGTTTGTATTTTTTTTTCTTTTTTAATTTGTCAATCACTTAACACATTTTGGAGGACAGAATTTTTCTTAGCTTTTTTATAGTCTTCCAACCTCAATCTATGATGAGTACGTTTTGATTGAGAATATTGTGTAATTGCCTGATTTTCTGTCCTTTATAGTGCGAGTGATAGATGTGTCTAATGGAAAAGTTGATGTTGCTGAAAGCTGTTTGGAAGAAACAGGTGGCATAGGAGTAGATATTATCCTAGATGCTGGAGGTTTGTAATCACTGAAGAAGAAATATGCTAAATAAATACCATTTGTACTTCTTTAGTTGGTTGAATTTCAAAGATGACCTTTTTAAAAATAACATCTGTGATGATCAAATGTGGGTTCTTACAATAATGTACAAGAACAAGAAATGATGAATTAAGAAATCATTAATTGAGGTCATTTCTTATACTTCTTTTGTCAGTTCAAAGAATTCATTCATTTAAGCTGAGGTCTCCTTTGTTACCAGTGGGTCTGCTGGTAAATGTTTAACAACTGGCTCTCTGGGGAAAAAATTTGTATACGTAACATACTTTTTTGATTAATCTGCATTATTAACGGTTTCTCCATCACTTTTTTTAAGTTTAGATAGCAAAACAACAGATAAAGCCCTGTTGTTTGGCATTTTCTGATTTCCAAGTTATTAATGCTCACACTGAAAACTGAACAATTGGCTTTTGTGAGCCAGTTGAAGATGGCTCCAGCACATACTTCTGTTATTAATTTCATTTGTATATCTTAGAGAAACTTGAATCTCACTAATAATTATGAATTACACGGTTTTTTTCTTATTTCAGAGTATGGCTACTCTGGTATTTGCATTTAAATAGGCTGATATTTCTCAGGAAGCTAATAAAAGATTACTCTCCATAAGAAAACTATAAACAGGACCATAATTAATAAACTTACTAAGGTTTGTCCCAGGTTTATGGACATTACCCCCAAGTTATCAGTTAGACTATATCACTGTGGTGTCAGACACTTGATAATTCCAAGAAAGGACTGGCTAAGACCTTTTCCTCCTACCCTCTATACCAGACCATAGGGGAATACAGCTGCCCCCATTTCTTGAGCATTTTTATTAGCATCAAAGAATAACCTCAGGTCTGGTGTTGGTCACTAGAAATTGATCAGAGGATTATAAAGGAAGGAGCATGAACTTGAGTGGGTTCAGAATGACAGGGATTCAGCAAACATGTATTAAGCACATTACCAGGCTAAGCACAAAAACAAAATTGAAGCAATCCCTGTAGTAATGTAGCTCACATTCTACAAATTTTCTACAAAGAGAATATGTGCTTGCCTCAAGGATTATGTTTGTTCCTTTTTCACTTATTTGGCTTTAACAAGCAGTCATTTATTCAGAAAAATATTTACTGGGCAACCACTTTCAGGTAGGTACTTAAGTTAGTTGCTGTTACACAAAGAATAACCTTAACTACTATACTCTGTCTAAAGAACAGCCAGTTGGGCATTTTTTGTATTTTTACCCATAGCTTAAAAAGTTACTTTTGGTATCATTGAATGAGGAAGACAGTGATTTAAAACTTAGGAAAATGACTTCATTTTTGTTAATATGTACCACCTTTTACAGAAACTATAACTCAAAACATTTTTAAAAGTAGAAGTATATGTATATATTTTTCGCCTGAACAAGTTAATGAAAAAGAATTCATTAGTTTGGAAACTTAAATGACTGTTTCAGAAAAGGAAATTGGATCAGAAGTTTTGAGTTCCTTTTAAAGTCCAAGATTCTGTAAAGTATGATTGCTGTGAATATCTGTAATTTCAAACATGCAGACTGCACCAAACCAGATTAAATATAATTGGGAAATATGTAACAAAATGAATAGAAGTACAATTAAATACAAGTAACATTCATTACATTTTAAAACTAAGTCCATACATGGCCCACAAGGATCCTTATGTACAACCTAGTGGCCCCGTTTCTATTTGAGTTTGACACCACTGTTGTAATAAAATATGAGTACGAGGGGCGGCTAGGTGATGCAGTGGATAGAGCCTGAAGTCAGGAGGACCTGAGTTCAAATGTGGCCTCAAACCAAACACTTGACACTCATTAGCTGTGTGACCCTGAGCAAGTCACTTAATCCCAATTGCCTAAAAACAACTACAACAAAAAATATGGGTACAGTATTTTAAAAATGCAGCTTTTTTAAAACTGATTTTTTAAAGTCATCTGTCATGTTAGCTTTATGGTTAAATTACCACAGTAAATTATTTGTCATTAAACCTGGCCTACTTTTCAAATGTATGTAGATTTTCACATTTGAATTCATTTATATTTAGAATTAGTTGTTCTGTTTACAATTTTAATGTCCAGTTTTTATACAGAAAATTTAATTTTAAAGTTTCAGAACAAAAAATGTATTGTCTTTTTTTTCTGAACTGAAAAATCTTTGTTATTGCTGTGGGGTTTTTTCCAATTTTATTAATTTATTGATTTATCATCAATCACTTCCATATGCTTTTGAGTTGAAAATTTTTCTCCCCCTTCCTCCCCCCCCACCTTCCCCAAGACGGCGTACAGTCTGATATAGGTTTTACATTTACATTCCTATTAAACATATTTTCACATTAGTGAAGTTGCAAGTAAAAATTAAAACCAATAAGAGGAACCATCAGAAAGATGAAACAAAACTCAACAGAAGGTAAAAATAAGTGATAGCAATTCAACTTCCATAGTTCTTTCTTTGGATGTGGACAGCATTTTCCATCCCAGGGCCTCTGGAGATGTCTTAGATCCTTGTAATGCTGAGAAGGGTTCAGTTTAACAATATTAGTCATCGCATAACATGGCTGTTATTGTGTACAAATTGCTGTGTTTTTTGATAAGGAATAAAGCAGTTTTTTGAGAAATAAATGTTTATGTGCAAATAAATATTAAATGGGTTTTTTTTCCTATTCCCTTGTAAGTGAGATTGTATAGTAAAGATGATGAGCCTGCTTTAAAATTACATCTGTTACCACACAAGCATGATATCATCACACTTCTTGGTGTTGGAGGCCACTGGATAACCACAGAAGAAAATCTTCAGGTAATAAATACATTTTATTAATAAATAAATAAAAAGCAGTACCTTTATCAGGGGGATTTAATTAATGTAGAACTGTATCCTGAGAAGTTCAGACTAATTGAGAAATCTTAGTAAATATGTTTTATTTTCTTAAAAAGTCTTAAATTCTAGAATATTTTTTAAAGAAATGTAGTTTTATCATCTTCAACTACATTTAGTACCCAGGACTAAATGAAATGTTGCAGTGTTACCTAGTAGAATTTTCTTGGATAAGAATTTATAATTAGCATATCAATGATTTGGAAATATTGACTTCTGAAGGAATTGAAGCTTCTTAAAAATAGTTCTTTCTTCTAAGTAATTTAGACATTTTCTCCAGGAAACCTTATTTATACTATCAGTTTATTTAATTTAATGTTTATGCAATACAAAGGTAAACTTTATCTTTACTCCAATTATCACCAATCCCTAATGCAAATAAAATTAATGAGACGTGTGTGTGTGTGTGTGCATACGTATGTATGTATGTCTACTAACAAATGTTACTGTAATACAATTGAAATAAAATATTTATTATAGGACTGATACAATTAACAAAAGTGTTTTATACATGTCTATACCAGTCTTTCACACTGACCGGTTGATCTTTGAAACCATTCCTATAAGCTAATAAAATTTTGTCAGTGGAGAGCTAGAGCAGCCTTTTTGTAACATTATGCCATTCTAATGTTGCTCAGTAATGTCTGATTCTTTGTGACCCGTATGATATTTTCTTGGCAAAGATATTTGGAGTGGTTTGCCATTTCCTTCTCCAATCGATTAAGGAAAACAGAAGTTAAGTGACTTGCCCAAGGTCATACAGCTAGTGGGTATCTGAAGCTGGATTTGAACTCAGGTATTCTTGACTCCAGGCCCAATGCTCTACAAAGAGCCACCTAGCTGCCTCTCAGTGTAGAAAATGGCAAATTATTTTATATTCTTGGGTTTAATGGTATGGAGGGGGGGAGTGGAGAACACACACATACATATTTTTTTCCTCTTGTATCATCTATTATCAAAAGGTATATATGCCAATTGCTTTTGATTGGGACATTGTTTTGTAACTGTCACAAATATAAAAACATGCAAATTTTAACTTTTTAAATACACTTGGATCAAGAAATTAATTCTCTATTGATCAACTCAGAACAATTTAATTAATATTTCTACATTTTATTAAAGTTGGATCCTCCAGACAGCCACTGCCTTTTCCTTAAGGGAGCCACAGTTTCTTTCCTCAATGATGAAGTTTGGAATTTGTCAAATGTACAACAAGGGAAATATCTTTATATCCTTTTTTAGTGAATTGAGACTCCAACTTGAAATGTTTTGAAAAAGCTTACATTGTGAGAGGAAGATTGATATCCTTAATACTACAAGCATATCACATGCAATTTTGCCTCAACCTACACTGTTATTCATACATTATAACCAGATAAAGTTGTAATCTCATTTGCCCTATTGCCCATTCACAGCATTATTTCTGTGGACCAAATTCATTTCCATTCAGCATTTACAAATATATAAAAGCCACTGGGACCATAGCCTATTATAATGTTGTTCTACCCTCAGGGACTTTAATTTCCATAATTGGACACAACATGTATACATGTAAGTATATACAAAATTAGAGAATGGGGTATATCACAAGCAGTTGAGGGGAGAGGTATGAAGAAAGGCCTCACATAGAGGTAGCATTTGAACTGAATTTTGAAAGAAACTAGGGACTGTTAAGAAGCAGAGGGGAGCAGGGTTTGTATTCCAGACCTGGGGGATACCCTGTGGGCAAGCAAGGAGATGGGAAATAAAATGTCTTGTAGGATGAATGACAAGAAGGACAGTGTGGGTTGAGAAAAGGGATAAAGTATAGTAAGCCTATAGAAGTAACTTACATGGGCTGTGAAGCCCTTTGAATGCTGTCCAAAGGAGTTTGGATTAGAATATAAAGGAAACAGGGGAACACTAGAGTTCATTGAGCAGGAAAATGACTTGGTTATACCTTTGCTTTTAAAAATATTACTTTGGCAGGTGGGTGGAGAATGGACTAGAGAAGGGAAAACCTTGTGACAAGAAAACCAATTAGAAAAGTGTTGCAATATTCTAGGTAGGAAGTGAAGAAGGCCAGAACTAGAATGATTGCATTTTGAGTGAAGGAAAGGGAATAGATTTGAGAAATGTTGTGAAGAATTAATTGACTGGACTAGGCAACTTATTGGTTATGTAGGGTGAAAGAGAGTGGAGTGTGAAGGACCCTGGATAACTGGAAGAACCATGGTTCCTTTGATACAGATAGGGAAGTTTGGAACAGGGTTTGTGGAAAAGAGTGAAACCAGTGAAATTATATATCCTTGAAATATGAAAAAAAGGCTATATATATTCATTTATAACCCAGCCTAACTACCTAAGTACAATGAAAAGTTGATTTCACAACTTTAAAACATTGAAGTTCATTTTAAAATATTTATATAGAATCTTAGAACATTAACTAAAGAAAATCTACCTTTGTTATAACAGACTCCTCTCTGTTTTTGTAAGATGAAATTCATTTTAAAATATCACTGAGTTTGCATTAAAAAAATCAGTGAGTTCAGAAGATAAACTTTTATTAATTTAACTATTTTGAGCTCACCTTTTCAACTCTTCAAAACTTTTATTTTCAGCAACACAAATGATGAACAATAGAAGGATGGCTAAATAATAGTATAATTATCAGATGAAATATTGCTATTAAAATGACAATTACATAGCCTGTGTTAACACATGAAAACTTAAAATTATATAATACCAAGAGAGAAAAGGCAGAAAATGAAAATCTATACAAACTGATTCAGCTTTGTAAAAATATATACACTATTTGTACATTAGGGATTAAAAGAAAAAATAAAGCAATAAAAACTGATTAACGTTCACTAGAGTCAGGTTGTTCGGCTGTTTCTCATAAAGTTGTTCAAGTTCCTAATCTTTTTTTAAAGTGCTTTTTTCTTTTTAAACCATGATTCAAGCTTTTGTCTTTTCATAAGCTGGGTCCCCATGCCAATTAACAAATGGATTCTTTTCCTCATATGAGCCGTAATATACATTTTGCCATTATTTTAGCATTTTACATTTTACAAAGCACTTTCCTCATAATAATTCTTATAGGTAGATAGTAAAAGTATTATTACTATTACAAATAAAGGAACTATTGTTCAGAAAGGTTGTGACTTGCCCAAAGTGATGCAAAATTACTGAATATCAGTACCAATGATTCAAAGTCAGATCTGTTGATTCTAAGTCCACTATGTCATGATGCTTTTCCTATCAACAGATTTTTCTTTCCTCTATTAATACCTGAAAGTTAGTGGTGAGTTGTTGACTTTGTTTCCCTAAATACAGGCTATTAAAGCTTAAAACTGGAACATTCTATATATCTAATGCCATTTTTTGATCTTCTAAAAGTAACAAATTGTGTGGATCTAAATACAAGCCAGACATTTTCCCCAACAACTGCTTTGTAAAACACCTCAGTGTAGCTTAACCAATGCAATTTTTTAATGTGTACCTACATTTTTTTTTCTGGCAAAGATAATTTTATTTTATGGATGTAGCCTCTATTTAGGGATCATATAGGTATGGACTGATGTATACTATATTGTATTATCTAACAGAATTGGATTTTTTCTTGTTAACTTATTATAACTATTAAAGGTTTTTTTTGAAGCATTACTTTTTTGCAGAGGTCTACCTCTTTAGCAGGACAATTCAGCAAACACTTGCTAATCTCCTACGATGAAAACTCTCTGTTGGATACTCAAAATAACAAAGACAAAAATTAAAATTCCATTGAGCCCTAGGAGCTTATGTTCTGTTGGGTGGATATAGCACTTAAACAGATAAGTAAATACAGTGTAAAACCAGGGAGGCAAGAACTGACAAATGATTGGAATCAAAAAGGCTTGATCAGTCTACTGTACTATATCTCTCCCTATAAAAAACTAAAAACTAGAAAACAAAAACAGGGGGAGAGGCAAGGCCACGGACAGGATCCCTGTTTTGTTGCTTTTACTTCCTCCCAATCCTCAACCCTTTACAGTCTGTTTTCCACCACATTACTCTCCAAAGTTCCCAATGATCTCTCAGTTGCCAAATCCAATGGCCTTTTCTCAGGCTTCATCTGTGACAACTCTGTAGCATTTGACACCCTTGATCATTATCTCCTCCTGAATACTTTGTCCTTTCTAGGTTTTATAACTCCTGGTTCTCCTGTTTGTCTGACTGCTTATTATCAGTCTCCTTTGCTCAGTCATCCTCCATGTCCATTCCAAGTTTCTGCCTTACCAGGTTTCTGTCTTACACTCTCTTTCTACACTCTTTCTCTTGATATTCTCATTAGTGTTCATGTGTTCATCTCTCTGCAAATGGCTCCTATCTATGTATCCATCACTAAACTATATCCTGGATTCCAGTCCTGGATTACTCGACTCATTAATCCTTCCTTATTGGACATTTTTAACTCGATGTCCTATCTCAAATTTAGCATATCCAAAACAGAATTAAAATCCTCCAAAACCCAATTCTCTTCTGAACTTCCTTTTTTCTGCCCAGAAGTACCACCATCCTTACAGTCTCCCAGGTTCCACATCTACAGTCAACCTTCACCCCTCACTCTTCACATTCAGTTGCCATGTCTTACTGATTTTAAGTGCACAGTATCTCACATCCATCTCCTTCTCTCTACTTAATCTTAACCTTTTTTGCATGTGTCATGGACCCCTTTGGCAGTCTTGTGAAGCCTATGACCTTGATCCAGAGTAATGTTTTAAAATGCATAAAATGAATACTAGGATTACAAAGAAAACCACTTGTGTTTAAATAAAGGTATCATTTTTTCCCTTCCGAGTTCATAGAGCCCCTATAATCTGTCTATAGACTCCAGATAACAAATCCTTCTTCTATTCATACTAAAAAAACCCTAATTCAGGCTCTCATTTTCTCTCGCCTGAAGCCTCCTAAATGGTTTCACTGCCTCAAGTCTTTCCCCTCTTCCAGTCCATTTTCCATACAGCTGCCAAAGTAGTCTTCCTAAAACACACTTCTGACCATGTCACTTCCCTGCTTATTGAACTCTAATGACAATATGTTACATTAAATGCAAGCTTCTTTCTTTGGCATTCAGTGGCCTTCGCTATCTTTCCAGGCTTATAATACATATATATATATGTATTATATATATATATATATGAATATGCTTCCTCCTGCCTCTTAGGAACTCTTAGCTTCCTTATAGCTCAGCTAAGGTACCACATACTACATGAGAGCTTTCCTGATGTGACTATCTTATGATGCTTCTCCAAAACATTACTTTGTATTTATTTATCTGTATACATGTTGTCTCCCCTCACAGAATATAAGTTCCTTGAAGGTAAGAACTGTTTAATTTTTGCCTTTGTGTCCTCAGTGCCTAGGGTGCTTATTAAGATGTTTGTTGATTGATTGAAATAAAGGTATACCTTCCTTATTTTTGTAATGCAGTACAGATTGTAAAATGCTAATGAATCTTTTAATTATTAAATTTTTATTTTTTCCATTTGTTTTTGTAGTAATTATGTATATTATTTTACTGTTTATGCTTTCTTTACTGTATTAGTTCATATCCATATTTCCATGCTTCTCTTAATTCTTCATATTTGTCAGTTTTAAAGCACCTTTGAATCATTCCCTTGTATTCAAGCACGACAATTTGTTAGTCATTACTCAGTTGATGGACAACTACTTTGTAGCATTTCTTTGCTACTACAAAAAAATGTTTATAGTATATGGATGAATATTTGATGTGTATGGGGCCTTTTTTGTTTCCCATCTTTGACTTCCTCAACCTTTATTCTTAGCTTCTGGGTCCAAAGGTTTAAACGTTTTAGACACTTATTAAGCAAAATTCCAAATCCCTTTCCAGAATAGTTGGATCACTGCACAGCTCCACTAACAGAGGATTAATGTGCCTGAACTACTAAGTTGTTTTGAAGATAATCAAAACACAGAAAGATAAGGATTAAGGCACTAATTTTCTTTGTATGTTAGTTATATTAGTAACACTCTTGAGGAAAATAAGGTTTTGTTATATAATTGTTTATATACCATGTAACCCAAGATATAACTCTTGGCATAAGGAAGAAGTACAAAATAAGCATTACATTTGATTAAAAGTCTTATTATAGTTCTGTATCATGAGCAACATGTTATTATCACTAAAATTATTCAATCCTAATAAATGACTGAGAAGGAGACTATAGGACGGACCCCTCGCCACATCTCTTTCAGTTGAATGAGGTGAGAAACTAGATTTAATGCCATAGCACACTGGCTCTAAATAGATTAATGTGCCTTGGAAAACTTCTCTGAACTCCGTGTATTCTGCAGGACCACCTAGAGCTTTGTCCCTTAGTAAATTACACACCTGGTGTCATCCATTATACATCTCAAAATAATTCTAGGAAATCCTGTCTATTAGAGGTAATACTTTACATTTGAAGGGTTTGGAGTCTTTGATAAAGTAAATAACCTTGTTATCAATGGTTATACCCTTGCGTAAGCGCAAATGCCATTCCTTGGCCTACTTGTGTAAATAAATGGAGTATACTCTGGGATTTAAACACCATGACCAAATATTCAGCAAGCATTTCTCATGTGCATAGTATGTGCCAGGTACTGTGCTATCTATTTGGGCTTCAGAAACAAAAACTAAATAGCCCCTGCCCTCAGGGAGCTTACATTCAATTGAGGGAAAACAATTTATATATAAATAAATGTAAATAATACTAGAAAATGGGGGAGAGGGAAATAGCAACTGATCCTAAAGGATCAGGAAAGTCATCATATGGAAGGTGACACTTGAACAGAATTTTGAAACAAGGTTTTTTACAGATGGAGATAAGGAAAAAGAACATTCCAAGCAGAGGAATAGATGTAGTGTCATCTTAAATAAATTTAACTCAATAAACATTAAGTGCCTTCTATGTGCCAAGCACTGAGCTAAGTGCTGGGGATACAAAAAGAAGGAAAAGACAGCCCCTGCCCTCATGGAGTTTACAATCTAATGAGGGAGACAACTTGCAAAAAAAAAATACATACAAAGGAAGCTATATACAGGATAAATGGGAAGTAATTAATAGAGGGAAGGCACTGGAATTAAGAGAGGTTAGGAAGTAAGGAATAGCAAGAAGGCCAGGTTTGAGTGGAATCTTAAGAGTTTAAGGGGAGGGGAATAATTTATAAGGTTTATAATGTAGGTTTAGGGTAGGTTGTAGGTTGTGAAGGGTTTTAAATGTCAAGCAGGAGCTTATATTTGATTTTAGAGTCAATAGAGAGCCATTGGAGTTAATATTCAGTCAGGGAGTAACATGGTCAGACATACGCTTTAGGAAAATGACTATGGTAATTGTGTGAAAGATGGGTTGAAGAGGGAAGAAACTTGAGGATGCAAGACCAATTAGTCTATCATATTAGTCCAGAGGAAAAGTGTTGAAGACCTATGACATCCATAGAGTAACAGAAGGGGACAGATCTGAGAGATATTGTAGAAGCAGCAACTACAAGTTTTGGGAACTGATTTGACATTTGGGGTAAGAGTGAGTGAAGGATAATTTCAAAGTTTTAAACCTGAATGACCAGGAGGATGGAAGTACCCTCAACAACAAATCAACACATTGACTATGTATGTCTTATCAACCTCCCTGTTAAGGTCATTAGTTTTCTGAAGTAACATAAGGATTCATCACTGGTTTGTTTTTTTTTTAATTTTTAGGCAATTGGGGTTAAGTGACTTGCCCAGGGTCACACAGCTAGTCAGTGTCAAGTATTTGATCTGAGGTTGGATTTGAAATCAGGTCCTCCTGACTTCAGGGCCAGTGCTCTATCCACTGCACCACCTAGCTGCCCCTCGATTCATCACTGTTTTGATCAGAGTTCTGAAGTCTTTAAAAATTGCTTTATTTTCCATCATTGTAATCATAATGTAAATTATTTTCCTGGTTCTGCTCATTTCCTTCTACATCAGTTCACGCAAGTCTTCCAAAGTTTTTCCAGACCCGTTTTGCTTCTCATTTCTTAATATTCCATTATGTTATTACATCATAATTTATTTAGCTATATCCCACTGATGAGCATACATTGTTTCCATCCTTTGCCAGAACAAAAAGTACTTCTGTGAATATGAAATAGTTTCCCTTTGTGTTTGACTTTTTTGTGTATACCTAATAGTAGGTATCACCAAGTCAAAGGATATGCACCAAATACTTAACATATTTCTTTCCAGAATGTTTGGACCAATTCACAGCTCTGCCAACTGTTTATCAGTATGCTTTTTCTCTCACAGATCTTCCAATAATTGCCATTTTACTGTTTTGCTGTCTTTGCTAATATGATGGTTATAAGGTAGAACCTTAGAGTTGTTTTAATTTGACTTATTAGTGAACAAGAGCATTTTTGCATGATTGTTGATAGCTAGACATTCTTCTTTTGAAAACTGCCTTCCTTTAACCTTTCCTCTATTGAGAAACATGTCGACATTTTTTTTAAAATCAGTTTACTATGTTAGATATATTGGATCAGACCTTTGTCAGATAAATTTGCTGCAAATAGTTTTCTCCCAGTTAGCTGTTTTGAATTCTGAAGCTGAAATAGCTTGTTCTAGCCTGTTTCAGATTTTCTAAATATCTATCACTACTACTTCACAATTCTCTCTCAACACTTTGCCATTGAAATTTTTCTTTCAGGGATTTCATTATTTCAGTGTGACTTAATATATATTTAGAATTTCTGAGAGTAGCTCAAATCATTACACCAGTTGACAAATAGTAAAAGTATTTGAACAGACTTTGAGAGGAATCCAAACTATGGATGGCCATATGAAAAAAAAATACTCCCAATCCTAAATATTTAGAGAAACACAAATTAAAGCAACTGTGAGGTTCCATGGCTTGCCCGTCAGGTTGACAATGTTGACAAAAAGGGAAAATGACAAGAGTTGGAAGGCCTGTGGTCAGAAGGCACATTAATTCACTCTTAGTGTAGGTATGAATTGGTCTTGCCATTCTGGAAAGTAATTTGGAACTATGCCCAAAAAGTTAATCCACCTGTGGTTACTCATCAATTGGGAAGTCACTAAACAGATTATGGCATGTGACTCTAAGATTATATAAAATTTCTAAAAGAAAGTTTCAGAAAAACCTGACTTGTATGAACTAATGCAAGGCAAACAGAACAAGAACAGTTTTTATAGTAATAGTAAGGTAAAAATAAACAGCTTTGAAAAATTTTAAAACTCTGATCACCATAATGACCAACCATGATTCCAAAGGATAGATGATAATTAAAAGCTAAATATGCAAATAGAGACACATTTTTTAGCTTGGCCAACCTGGGCATTTGTTTTGCTTGATTATGCATATTTGGTAAAATAGTTTCATTTTTCTTTCTTTTTTTTCCCAATTAGGGGTAAAAGAGTGGAAATTTTAAGAAAGCAAATGCTTATTAATTATATTTTAAAAGTTGCTCCAAGCTTAAGAAAAAGACAAATCAAGCATCTGTTACCTTTTAATTATTGAATGGTTTCTTCTAATATCCTGCCTATCATTTGTGTGTTGCTAACTTAACAGACCTTTCAGGTACGCATCTTAAAAGATGTAATGGAGAAGCTATCATCTGGTGTTTTCAGGTAAGTTGTGTAACGGTAACATTTGAATGCTTCCATTCTTGCCTTTTTAATAATAATCTTAAATTTTCATGAGATATTTTGGGGCTTAACACTGAAATTGTTGCTACTTAAGCTAAACAGTTCATTCAGTAAATATTGTTTTTTATTCTTTAAAACAATGACTTGTAGTAATCTATATACCACAGTCTTTCTCCATCTTGCTCTCTCAGCAAGAAGAGACACAAGGGCTGGGTAAGGCAAAGTGGAGTGGGAATATCACCCACTTTGAAGAATTTTTTCTTAAACATTGGCAAAAGACTGAGCAGATGAAATAGAGGGCTTTTGCCCTCTCAAGATTTGAACCTTGTCACTCTTACCAAAATCTAGAGGTAGAATTTTTGCCCCCATAAAACTTAGGTAAGGCGAAATTTGGCTGTATTTCTAAAAATCATGGGTTAAATTAATATCAGTATTAGACTGTCACCTTATTAATATTCTTTTCTTTATCTTTGTACTTAAACCAGACACTTTTTTAATTTATTTTTAGTTTTCTACTTTTATTTCCATAAGTGTTTAAGTTTTAAATTTTCTGCCCCTTCCTTTCCTCCTCCCTCCCCAAGATAGCATGCAATTTTATATAGGCTCTATATATACATTACATTAAACATATTTTCACATTAGTCATGTTGTAAAGAAGAATTAGAACCAATAGGAGGAACCACAAGAAGGAAAAAACAAAAGAAAAAAAGAGCAAATAGTATACTTTGATCTACATTCAGACTCCATAGTTCTTTCTGTGGATATGGATAGCATTTTCCATCATGAGACTTTTAGAGACGTCTTATATCCTTGCATTGCGGAGAGAAGGACTAAGTCTGGCCAAGGTAGTTATCAAACAATGTAGCTGTTACTGTGTACAATGTTCTCCTGGTTCTACTCACTTCACTCAGCATCAGTCCACAGAAGACTTTCCAGGTTTTTTCTGAAATATGCCTGCTCATCATTTCTTATAGAACAACAGTATTTCATTACATTCATATACCACAACTTGTTCAGCCATTCCCCAAATGATGAGTATCCTCTCAATGTTCAATTCTTTACCACCACAAAAAGAGCTGCTATAAATATTTTTGTACATATGGGTCCTTTTCCCATATTTATGATCTCTTTGGGATACAGCCCTAGAAGTGCTATTGCTGGGTCAAAGGGTATGCAAATTTTTATAGCCCTTTGGACATAGTTCCAAATTGCTCTCTCAAATGGGTAGATCAATTCACAACTCTACCAACAATGCATTAGTATTCCAATTTTCCCACATCTTCTCCAACATTTTTCATTTTTCTGTTCTGTCATGTTGGCCAATCTGATAGGTGTGATGTGGTACCCTCAGAGTTGTTTTGATTTGCATTTCTGTAATCAATAGTGATTGTAATGGGGCAGCTAGGTGGCTCAGTGAATAGAGCACCTGCTCTGGAATCAGGAGGACCTGAGTTTAAATCCAGGCTCAGACACTTGACACTAGCTGTGTGACCCTGGGCAAGTCACTTAACCCCAATTGCCTCACCAAAAAGAAAAAAAATTATCCATTTTGCATTTCATAATGTTCTCTATCTCCTGTTTGGTCATAAATTCTCCCATTATCCATAAATCTGATAGGTAAACTATTCCTTGCTCTCCTAGTTTGCTTATAGTATCAGCCTTTATATCTAAATCATGCACCCATTTTGACTTTATTTTGGTATATGGTGTAAGATTTTGGTCTATGCCTAGTTTCTGCCATACTGTTTTCCATATTTCCCAGAAGATTTTGTCAAATAGTGAGTTCTTATCCCAGAAGCTGAGGTCATTGGGTTTATCAAACAGTAGATTACTTTAGTCATTGACTACTGTGTCTTGTGTAACTAACCTATTCCACTGATTCACCACTCTATTTCTTAGCCAGTACCAAGTAGTTTTGATGATTGCTGCTTTATAATACAATTTAAGATGTAGGCCATCTTCCCTAGCATTTCTTTTCATTAGTTCCCTTGATATTCTGAGCCTTTTGTTTTTACAAATGAATCTTATTTTTTCTAGCTCTATAAAATAATTTTTGGTAGTTTGATTGGTATGACACTGAATAAGTAAACTAATTTAGGTAGAATTGTCATTTTTATTATATTAGCTCAGCCTACCCATAAGTAACTGATGGTTTTCCAATTATTTAGATCTGACTTTATTTGTGTGGAAAGTGTTTTGTAATTGTGCTCACATAGTTCCTGGGTTTATTTCAGCAGATAGACTCCTAAATATTTTATAATGTCTATAGTAACTTTAAATGGAATTTCTCTTTCTATCTCTTGCTGTTTGGCTTTGTTTGTAATATATAGAAATGCCAATGATTTAAGTGGGTTTATTTTATGTCATGCAACTTTGCTGAAGTTATTTCAAGTAGTATTTTATTTGATTCTCTAGGATTCTCATCATAGTATATCATCACATCATCTGCAAAGAGTGATAGTTTTGTTTCTTCTTTGACTATTCTAATACCTTCCATTTCTTTTTCTTTTCTGATTGCTAAAGTTAGCATTTCCAGTATCTTATTGAATAACAGTGGTGATAATGGACATCCTTGTTTCACCCCTGATCTGATTGGAAATGCTTCTAGCTGTATTTATTACATATGATGCTTGTTGAAGGTTTTAGGTAGGTTTTAAGGAACCCTCCATTTATTCCTATGCTCTCTAGTGTTTTTAATAGGAATGAGTGTTGTATTTTGTTAAAAGCTTTGTCTGCATCTATTGAGATGATCATGTGGTTTCTGTTAGTTTTGTTGTTGATAGGATCCGTTATGCTGATAGTTTTCCTAATATTGAACCAGCCCTGAATTCCTGGTATAAATCCTACCTGGTCATAATGTATTATTCTTGTGATAAGTTGCTATAATCTGTTTGCTAATATTTTATTTAAAATTTTTGCATCTATATTCATTAGGGAAATTAGTCTACAATTTTCTTTCTCTGTTTTGACTCTTCGAGGTTTAGGTATCAGCACCATATTTGTATCATGAAAAGAATTTGGTAGGACTCTTTCATAGTATTGGAATTAATTGTTCTTTAAATGTTTGATAGAATTTGCTTGTAAATCCATCTGGCCCTGGAGATTTTTTCCCAGGGAGTTCACTGATGGCTTGTTCAATTTCTTTTTCTGAGATGGGGTTATTTAAGTATTTCACTTCCTCTTCTGTTAATCTGGGTAACTTATATTTTTGTAAATATTCATTCATTTCACTAAGGTTGTCAAATTTATTGGCATACAGTTGGGCAAAATAGTTCCTAATTAGTGTCTTAACATCCTCTTCATTGGTGGTGAATTCACCTTTTTCATTTTTGATACGGGTAATTTTTCTTCTTTTTTCCTAATTACATTAACCAAAGGTTTATCTATTTTATTGGTTTTTTTCCGTTCATAAAACCAGCCCTTAGTTCTATTTATCAGTTCAATAGTTTTCTTAATTTTAATTTTATTAATCTCTCCTTCGGTTTTCAGTATTTCTAATTTAGTATTTAATTGGGGATTTTAAATTTGTTCTTTTTTCTAGCTTTTTTAGTTGCGTGTCCAGATCAGACACTTCTAATGAATTCATCTTTCTTTAGACCTCTTTTGGATGAACCTGTTCCACCATATGATGCCAGAGTTTCCATGGAAATTGTTCAGAAAAATCAAGCAAGAAAAAAACAAGTTATCCAGTTTTGAAGCACTATTTCCTGCTAAGACAAGAAGCTCGAAGCTATATGATGTATTTGAAAAGTAAATTATTGTGCAAACATTCTATACATTTTGAGATGGTTATTTAACATTTTTAAGACACTTTCCTACCATCAGTGTGTTTAGAAGGAATATTTTGAAAGGTGGTTTTAGTTGCATATTTTGTTACTGTACTTCAAACAATTAAGTACTTTCAAAATCATTACCAAGAAAACTGCTGTCTTCAAGAAAAGCTGCAGAATTAAGGGGCCTATGTTACCATTTTCCTATAGTTGCCCTTTGGGTTTTCTTATCAGTTCCCCTCTCAACAATTTCTTTTATGTATATATTCAAAAGCTAGTCCTGTTAACTAGTTTTAGGTACTCCATGGGGCATCACAAAATTTTCCCAATTCTTCACAAGGACAAAAGGCAGTGAGCACTCTAGGCCCTGCAGAGAAAACCCACCTCCTTCCCTCCTATCCCGGCCCAGGCCTCTCTTCCCGGGATTTGGCAGGGACCCTTCTCACTGATCCTCCGGGCCCTGATTGTGCGGGAGAAGCCGGAGGCCTGAGGCCGTAACGGAGCCCCTCGGCCATAGTGACAGCCTGGCGCAGAATCGCCCCTCCAAGGCAGGCTACACGCTGCTTCGGAGCCTCCTTAAACGTACAAGGAAAGCCTGGGGTGACACACTCCTGCAGTTTCCGGAGTGAGAGAGGGGGACACGAGGGTGCCTGCTGGTCCCAGCGGGAGGGGTCTGGAACGGGATTAAAACTCGCGTAATATGGTGTCCACAGCTCCAGGTAAGGGGTTGGCCGTCAGATTCGTGACGTACGGCGCTGAGGCCGCGAATCCAGGCCGTCAGGCGTTAAGTTCTCGCGGGAGTGGGGGCGGGCCCCGCGCCTTGCTGTCAGTCTGGCGCCGGCGCACTTTCCCGCGCTCGCTGGCTCGGGGGCCGGGTGGGGCCGGAACGGACGTGGGCGCGGGAGATTCCGAAATTTGCCGCCATGTCAGCGACAGTCCCCGGTTACTCGCCAAGCTTCAAGAAGCCTGCAGAAACACTGCGACTCCGGCGGAAACGGCCCCGAAACGCTGCCGACCCTGCAGCAGAAGCCGCCGTCTTCCCGGCGGGTCTGGCCGAGCTCGGGCCCCGCCGAGCCGCTCTTGCGGCTGGCCTCTGCCTTCGCCCTTTCCCCGCCGCGGGGAGCAGGAGCGGAGGAGTCGCCGCTGCTTCCCTCCGGAGAAACCCGTTTGCCCGCTTGGACAACAGCCCGCGGCCGGCCGTGGGGCCAGAGCCCGTCACCGACCCTGCGTGGCCGCCGGCCACCTTCCTGCAGGACACGGGGGAGCCAGTGAGTGACCCTCCTCCCCCCGCTGTTCACTGCGCGGCAACAGCCCCCCCACCCCGGGGCCATGCACCAGGCCGGGTCCTGGGAAGGTGACCCTTGGTTTGGGTCTGGGAGGGCGCCCCTCCTTACCTCCCCCCGACAGGCGCCCCAGGCCATTTCACCGGTGATGACACTGACTTGCCCAGGGTCTGCCCGCCAAGCCTCGCTGCCCCCCAAACGTCCATTTCTCTTGGGCGTATTTGACAGTTTTGGGTGGAAAACTGTTACCGTGATGTAAGCAGGGGTTAGAGCACAGCAGTTTTAAAGAAACCCCCTTTCACGCTCATCCATCCCCGCATGGATTGATGCTTATGTTCATGAATTATCAGGGATGAGTAAAACAGGTTTTATGCCCGTTTATTTATGATCGATAAATAAATCGATCCATTTGGGCACCAGACAAGATGGCCAGAGTTACCCATCTCCGAAATGCCGGCTGTAGATAAAAAGATGAGAGCACAAGGGTATTGTTTGAGATTTGTCTCTGGCAAACAAAATTACAAACTTCCAACTTTGTTAATCCCCAAATTTTTTGCCAGCACCTCCAAGTAAGATACCTGTCTAGCCTGGAGATAATAAGATGGGGCTAAAGAAACTGGCTTCAATAAATTGAAACCCATTCTCATGTGTGCTTTCAGGATCTCTTTGGAATGGGTTGAATATAGGGGGTGCTTTGCTATGTTTGCATTTTGAAATTCAAGTAAACTACTTGTCTTTTGGTATAAATATGTGATCATTTGCCTATGGATTCCATAATATAATAATGATAAAGTGGGCAGATACTTAGAGCAACTTAAGCCTTAACTCAAGTTTAAGCAATACGTTAAAAACTTTTTTCTTCTCAGTTTTTAGATTTTCATCAAGAAAATAATGTGACCTGGAAACAAGAGTTTTCAGAAACAACAGTTAAGCAATTATCTGTGGTAATGATTTTTAAATTGTTATGAGATGGCGTTGAATGTTTTGCCATACATGTAAATAACTTTTGCTTCTTAATAGCATTTTGCTTTTACAGATCTATAATTTTCTTCTCTCTATACTGCCTCCTCTACACACCTGCCAATGGCCAGATCTGATCATGTCAGTCTCCTGCTCAGAAACCTTCATTGACGCCCTCTTGGCCTCTAGAATAGAACATTTGGTTCCAACCAGATGGTAATTTTGTAAATTACCTTTCAGTCCTTCTTTCACATTACTACTTTTCATGAACATTATATTCCAGCCATGCTGCTAGACCTCTCTCTCCATTGCCCAGACTTGATCTTTGATTTCTGCATTTGCGCAAGATGTCTGCCATGGCCAGATTGTACCACCTCCTAATGTCTGTCTCTATCTATGAAGGCTGAGCTCTGATACTATCTCCAGAAGCCTCCCCTGAGCCTTCCAGTTCACTTTGTTCTCTCCCTCAATATATACTTAGTTGTCAGAACTGTGTAGTGGACAGAATCTAGGCCTTAGAGTCAAGAATGTCTAGATTCAGGTCCTGCCTCTGATACACACTAGCTGTGCCAGACATGGGCTTGTTGCTTCACAGTGCTCTTGGTAATTCTTTAAATTATAGGTAACAGTCAATTGTGGAAGTTCCCTATACCAATGAAATCACATGTCCAGACTGATTCCTCTACCCCCAAAGTTGCATTTCTTTTTTTCTGGGACCAAGATTGGTCATTATCTTTATACCATGTTTAGCTACTTCTACATTGTTGTCATTGTGTATCATCTTTTTAGGTTCTGCTTCTTTCACTCTTATCAGTTCATATAAGTTTTCCCATAATATGTTTTCTGGAAATAGTACTTCTTTCTAACCTCTCAGTTATTCTCATGCTTTTCTGTTATATCATGCAGAAGTGTGACTAATGGAAAATGGAAAGAAATTTAGACCACATAAAAAAGAGAGGGCAGGTGTCAAGTTGATGGAAGTGATAGATATTTTTAGTTTATCAGCTCTCTGTGGATTGCTCTGCAGAGGTATCTACTCATTTTATCTTTGCATGTGGTTTGTTTTGGTTTCAAGGTCAAGAAATTCCACGGGGTAGGGCAGGGGGAGTAGGGGGAGTACTTATTTTGCATTTAATAGGAATAGCCGATGATTGCTAAAAGACTTTAAATAGTACTGTGTAGGTAATTTTGAAATTAACTAATGAAATATTTCAACTTAAAATATTTTTCTTCTTCTAATTTCTGTGTTCTTTATTTTTGAAAGACTCCTCATCAACAGCACTCCAAATATGATATTCCATCTTCAGAAAGTGTTGAGTTTCCTGTGGATTGGAGTATTAAAACTCGCCTTCTTTTTACCTCTTCCCAGTCTTTTACCTGGGCAGATCATTTGAAAGCTCAGGAAGAAGCTCAAGGCTTTGTCCAACACTGCAGGGCAACAGAAGTTCATCTACCTGAGAATATACAGGTACTTAATTTTGAAAAAATGAGTCAGTATAATGTCCATACATTTGTGAGCTGCCTAGGTAATGTGCTAATTATTTTCTTCCGTAATTGTCATTCTCCCTGTTTTTAAGACAAAGATTTGAAAGTTCTTCAATTTATCTTATATTTCTGCCAGGTAACTTTTTTTTTTACTTTGGAATTAACCATTAAATGATTAAGACATTATGATTTAAGAGAATTAGTAAATAAATGTTGAATGGCAAAAATTAGAGAAGAAAAATTTGAGGAAATAAATGAAAGGTAACTTGAGGATATAAATCAAATCCAAAGGCAGATAAATTATTTCACTGACTTTGCTATGTAATTCATACTATAACCATCATATGCCAAAATATGCAATATATTAGACTGCATTGGATTCTTTTTTTCCTAATTGTAGGCTAGCCTTTTTGAATTAGTATATATCATGCATATTTGAAAATATTGATACTGCATTTTCTAAACATAATGCCACATAATAACTCAAAATAGACTAACAGTGTTGCCTAAAAGAAGTGTCCTTTGCAGGCTAAATCACTAACTACAGATGATCTGCTATTAGCATGTCACTTGTCCTGTAAGTAAAAGGGGGCTTAAAAGCTTTGTGTTTATGTACGGTTTAAATATTTCTTGTTATTTTTCTCAGTATTAATTCACATTAAATAGGAAAGGTTTGTTTAAATAAAGCTAAACTGCAGCTTATCCCTTTCATAATTAACCACACATTCTAAATTAGTGAAGTTTTTCTATAAATAGAAATAGGGGCATTGTGGTGTAATGAGTGGAGAACAGTGGCCTCAAGATCAAGAACTGCTCCAAATCTCTGCCTCTGACACCCTGGCTTTGTGCCCTGCGCAGGTTATTTATCATCCTGTTACCACAGAGAGCTTTCTGAGATAACAAGTTGTAGAGAAGTTGTCAGTCTTGGATTGGTAGAGGAAGTTTCCCACCCAGAACTTCTTATACAAATGAAATAATACTTTTGGTAAAATCATCATCATCATCATCAAGGAGAGAAGTATTGAATTGCGTGGCTTGAAAATGTTCCTTTTGTGAAACCTGCGTACCTAAAGGAGTTGAAAGTTTTTAATTTTCCACCACAATTTAGGAGCCAAGCACTAATCCTTACATATTTTAGGATCCACGACTCTCCACTGAGCTTCGCTGTGCATTCCAGCAGAGCCTCATTTATTGGCTTCATCCCTTTCTGCCATGGTTACAACTTTTTCCACGTATTGGGGCTGACAGAAAAATAGCTGGAAAAATGAGCCCATGGTCAAATGATGAGGGCCTACAACAAATTTTAATGAGTGAATGGTAAGATCAGTGAAATAATTCTAAATTAAATCATTACTTCTTTTTTATTATTCTGTTGTATTTAGCACATAGAAATATATAATAACCAAATCACCTTATTAATGGTTAAGAGTTACTGTATTTCATTGAATAATTGTTGCCACTACATAACCATCACACCCTGGAGCCAGGGAAGCTGCCATGAGTAAGTCACATAACCTGGTAAGACTTGGCATCTTCCCATGCTAGCTAACTTGTACAGTTCATCTGAAAGCGATACCTTAACATGTGAAGCATTTCTTTCTGATTATGGATAAATATAAAAACTATTCTGTGGGCTTCAAGCTGAAAGTAATTGTGTTTGCTGAACAGCATGGAAACAGCTGCAGAAAGCCAGCTTTGAAAAGTTGTTGTGAGACTCTCGGAAACTAAAAGACAAGTAATACTGGCACAATTTTTTAACCTTCACATAATGGTTGCACCCCACTTTTTTCAAAAATTTGTCATAAGCTCTGCAACAATTATGGAGTGAAATACTGTATTGCAACATTATGGATTTTTTGGTTAATTTTGTAATAATGATGTGCTTTAAGGTTTGAAAATTGTTTTTCATTTAATTAAGTTTAAACTTATTTTCATTCATTAACTTATTTAAGCCCCACGGCTAAATGACGTAGATAGTATAGGTATTATTCTTACCATATTATAGATTACAAAACTAAAACTCAACAATTAAGTGACTTGCCTACGCTCAAATACCTAATAACTGTCAGAATAGGATTTGAACCCAAGTCCTTCTCACATCCAGTACTCTACTATGCTGTGCTGCCTCTCTAAGAATCTGATATTCAAATAAATAATATTCAAATAAAATACCCTGAATTCAAATTAGTAAACATTTATTTAACAGTTAGTTTAAGCATGAGCCAACCATACATATTTCCTCCTTTGCTCCTCTGAATTACTTATGATATGAACTTCGATATCTGAATCGTGTATCCATGGAGCTGATTATACTATTTTGTGTAAGATGTTGATCTAGACCTAATTTCTAACAAGCTACTCTCCAGTTTTCCTAGAAGTTTTGGTCATATAGTGATCCTTGCCATAAAAGTTTGCATCTATGCAACTATATTCTTTTTTCCTATATGTTCTGTACCTAAGCTTTTCAAATGATTGACTATGATTTTTTAACTAGTAGTTTAACCAATAGTTTTGAAAATTATTATTCAAAGTATAGTTTGAAGTCTGGTATTGCTGACCCCTTTCCACTTATTTTCATCATTTCTGTTGATATCTTATCCGTTTCAAAGCACATCTAACATATGGTGAGTGGGGCTGCTCAAAAAATTGGCTTACCCTATCAGTTTTTGTACATCTAGAGCACTGGTAAAATGTTTGGCTTTAAAAGTGCTAGCACTACAAGCTAAAATTTGAGGGGATTAGCTGGGTACTTCTTTTATCACTTGACTAAGTTGCTTTGTTTAACTAACTTGAAGTCATTTAATCACTTCTTTCCTAAAATTCCCATTAGCAAGATTTACAGATGAACTAGATAAAGAGAAAGCCAGTTATCTTTCTGTGAAATGTTTTTTAATGTATTTCTCATTTCATTATTTTGCTTTTCTCCTACATCTTTTTTAATTAATTTATTTTTCGTTTTTAGCATTCACTTCCATAAGCTTTTGAGTTTTAAATTTTATTCCCCTCCTCCCTCCCCAAGACAGTGTGCAATCTGGTATAGGTTCTACATATACGTTCCTATTAAACATATTTTCAAATTAGTCATGTTTTAAAGAAGAATTAGAAGCAATAGGAGGAACTACAAGAAAGAAGAAACAAAACAGCAGAAAAAAAAGAGCAAATAGTATGCTTCAATCTGCATTCAGACTCAATAGTTCTTTCTCTGGATGTGGATAGCACTTTCCATCATGAGTCTTTTGGAGTTGTCTTAGATCCTTGCATTGCTGAGAAGAGCTAAGTCTATCAAAGTTAGTCATGGAACAATGTGGCTGTCACTATGTACAATGTTCTCCTGGTTCTGCTCACTTCACTCAGCATCAGTCCATACAAGTCTTTTCAGGTTTTTCTGAAATGTGCTTGATCATCATTTCTTATAGCACAATAGTATCCCATTACATTCATATGCCACAGCTTGTTCAGCCATTCCCCAATTGATGGGCATCTGTGAAATATTTTTAAGATGAGTGATTCCATCCCAGAGGTGATTTTATGTCTCATTAAGTCACCTAACAGTTTCAGGCTTTCATTTCCTCACCTGTAAAATTGCTTCTACTAGAAGATCCCTCCCAGATCTAAAGTACTATGACTTTTCCTTAGGTACCTTCTTTATTTCAGCAGCTATTTCAAACTTTTTTTTATCCCTTAAAATGTCTAATAAATGTTTGTTGAACTTAAGGTTCTTTAAGCTGGGATTGACTTTCAGTCTAGTAATTAAAATAGAAGATATTTATCATTTTTGGTAACATGGGTAGATTGCAAAAGCTCACAAACTTTGAAATGGTTTTAAGTTTTTAACTGGATGGTTTAAAATAAACATTGGGGTTTTTGTCATTTTAAAATTTCAAAGTAAAAATTGTTTCTTTCATTCATAGGTCCATCAGCTTCACTTCTCTGTATAATCTACTGAAAACAAAACTTTGTCCCTATTTCTATGTTTGTACCTATCAATTTACTGTGCTGTTTCGTGCAGCAGGGCTAGGAGGAAATGATATAGTTACAGCTGTCTTGTCACCCACAACCAGAGGTTTAAGAGAAGCTATGAAAAATGAAGGTAAATGTACTTTTTTTCATTAGGTTCAGAGGCACCGTATAATAGTATCTTACTTTGTGTTGATGTTTTCATTAAAAAATGTGTGTAAATTGAGATATTTGCCCTGTTTCTAGGAGGGCTTTTTATCTTTTTTAATTTTTTAAACTGTTGTTTGCATTATAAGCTTTAAGATTATCTGCTCACCTTCCCAGGCTTTCTGTTAAGTGCATAATAATCTGTATTTAAAGTATAATTTACTTGCAGAAGATAAATTCTGTTGTAATGCAAATCATTGTGGCACATTACATAGAAATGTAAGGTGTTTAGGGTTTCCTTAAAGTCGAATAAGGCAACATAAATTTATAAAAATCAAATGAAATAAAATTTGATTGTTACTCTTGTTTTTCTTGCCCAGGTATTGAATTTTCTTTGCCTTTAATAAAACAAAATGGTCAACGGAAACAAAAAGTATCTGAGACAAGTGTACATGTAGCAGAGAGTGAATGTAAGACAGAACCAGAAGAGTATGTAATTAAAATAATTTTCATTAATCATAAATCCAGTATTATAATTTTATGGAATTTTGTGAGTTATATAAAACAAGAACCTAAAACGAAATATGATATATTTCTAGGGAACAACTTATTAGTGATGAGGATGAAGAGGAAAGTTTTTCCTGGCTGGAAGAGATGGGTGTACAGGATAAGATTAAAAAACCAGACATCTCTCTCAAGCTGTATCCTTTTAATTGCTGCTGTTCATATGATGGGTACTTAACTTTTCAGAAATTAACTAACTTTTTTTGCTTTAGTATAAATGTAGTGCTTTAAAGCCTATTCATGGGGCACCTAGGTGGCACTGTGGATAGAGCACTGGCCCTGGAATCAGGAGGACCTAAGTTAATTTCTAGTTCAGTATCAGACCAGACACTTGACACTTAGTGTGTGACCTTGGGCAAGTCACTTAACCCCATTGCCTAGCAAAAACAAACAAAAAAAACTATTTGTTTCCATGAAAAATGGCCTGCTCCTTTATTGAACCTTGAACTGAAAGTCTAATTAAACTAAATTGATAAAAACAACATCTATGTTTTGGTCCTATTTAATTTCTAGTGCAAATGATTTATAAGTGGAGAAGTAATTAAAGTCCTCAGTAATTTCTTAATAGTTTAATGATCCTTTGTTAAGCCCCCTCTTATTGCAGCATTTTGCACCACTAAATATGATATCTTCCTACCTATTCTTTACTTTTTCTGGGTTTTCATGACACTCCCATTCTTGGATCCTTTGTTGTTGTTGTTGTTGTTGTTGTTGTTGTTTGTCTGTCCTTCCATGACGTCAGGAAGAGGATGCCAAGACTTGCAAGTGAATTGGATTTTAGTGCAGGAGGGCCTTGCAAGGTCACCAGCTTCACTTTGTCCTCTGGAACCATCTGTGTCTGATGACATGATATAGATCAGAATGACTGAAAATGGACCCACCTTGGATCCTCTAGCTGTTCTTTAACTTCATTCTCTTTGTTCCCACTCATTCATCATCCATACATTTCCCATAACTGGCTATACACAAAAACTTTTTTTCTTTTCCCTTTCAGGGATCCTTTTGTTCCCATGGAGTCAGTTATCCTTTCCATGTAGATGATTTTCAGATCTATATATCCAGACTTTGGTTCTCTTCTGAATTCCAGGCCCTCATCGCCACTGGACATTTTTGAACTGAGTGTCTTACAGGCATCTCAGACTTACCAAGTAAGGCTGCCGCAGTCCTAGGTTTCCAAACTTGAAATTTTCCCTCTTCCTTAATCTCCATGTACAGTCAGTTGCCAGAGATTGTTAATTATTCCTTCATACCATCTCCCATCTTTTCCCGTTTCTTCACTCTAGACCAAAATCACACTAGTTCAGTCTTTCTTCACCTCAAGCTTGTAATAGCCTCAGTAGTCTTTCTTCATGCATTCTTTTTTCTCTAATCCATTCTATACTGCTTAAGTTATATTCTTAGATTCATGCCACTCTTCTGCTTTTCAAAAGCTTCTGTTGCTTCTTAGATAAAATACAAAAGCCAGTTGAGCATCTTCATAATCCACCTCCAACCCTCCTTTCTACATATTAGTGCCCATTTACATACACACCAGCCAAACTGACCTACTTGATGTTCTAAAACCTCTCTCTCTCTCTCTCTCTCTCTCTCTCTCTCTCTCTCTCTCCTCTCTCTCTCTCTCTCTCTCTCTCTCTCTCTCTCTCTCTCTCTCCCCCTCTCCCTCTCTCTCTCTCTCTCCCCCTCTCCCTCTCTCTCTCTCTCTCCCCTCTCCCTCTCTCTCTCTCTCCCCCTCTCCCTCTCTCTCTCCTCCCCCTCCCTCTCTCTCTCTCCCTCTCCCCTTCCCTCCCCCTCTCCCCTTCCCTCCCCCTCTCCCTCTCTCTCTCCCCCTCTCCCTCCCTCTCTCTCCCTCTCTCCCTCCCTCCCCCTCTCCCCTTCCCTCCCCCTCTCCCCCTCTCTCCCTCCCTCCCCCTCTCTCTCTCTCCCCCTCCCCATCTCCCTCCTTCAAGCACCACCTTCCCAATTATCCCCGTTATTGCCTTGTTCCATTCTTTGTCCACGTTTCCTTAGTGCCTAGCATGCAGTAGAAACTTACTGATTGCATGTCTCTTCTTTCCACCACAGTTTTTCTCTTTATGGCCCCAATGTCTAGCATATTGCCTGCTAGTAGTAGAGGATTACGAAGCAGATCTTTATTTCTAATGGAAGAGTTAAGTCAATGGTTTCTTGGCATTGATGTTTAAAATATTTTAAGTTTCCTTGACTGATGATATTAGTCGTAAAGAGAAAAATGAGGTGCAAGTGGATCATAGGCCTGAGTCTATTGTACTGGTAAAAGGAATCAACACCTTTACGTTGCTAAACTTCTTGATAAATTGCAAGAGTTTAGTTGCCACCTCAGGTCCTCAGGCAGGACTTCCACCGACACTATTGTCTCCAATAGCTTTCCGAGGTGCCACAATGCAAATGCTCAAGGTAAAAAAAAAAAAAAGCAAAAAGACCTTTACTAACCCCATGCCTGCATTCTGGCTGAGCTGAAAGTATTCTGTTTTCTGTTATTACAGTCCTTTACTTTTTGGGTTTTTGTAATCTTTCATCTGATGTTTTTGAGGAATTTCTCACAAACATACTTTATATAAGTCCTGTTCTGAAGAGGGTTGATAATTCTCCTGTAAAATACTTTTAACTAATGGAAGTGTTACCACATTGTCAGTCACTTTAGGAAAATTAATTTCATTTTTGCTCTTCATTTCTTATCTGTAAAGTTTAATCAAGGAAACTTTGTAGAAACTTTTAAGACAAAAAAACTCAATCATTGACTTCATTCCATCTCTTGTGGGAGGTGGAGAAGAGGGGGTTTGTTTAAAAGAGATGCTCACGTTTTACTTAAATCAGTCAATGTCCAGTAAAACATAGAACTATACTTGCTTTTTCTTCTTCAGTGTTAGAGGAACATTATAAAAGAAAAGGCTAATATGTGATTGTACGTTTAAAAAAAAAAAGGAAAGGCATTATCTTGAATTTTATAACATTGTCATCATTTTCTTTTTCTTCAACCTGTACCCAGGCACGAACAGTAAATGTGAAAACACCAGTTTATACTGGTTATAAAGATCAATTTAGTTTGGAGATTACAGGCCCTATCATGCCTCATTCTCTGCATTCATTGACTATGCTGCTGAAATCTGCACAAAAAGGATCTTTTTCTGCAGGATTATATACTCATGAACCAACATCTATATTTAACACATGTACTCAAATGGAAAAAATATCAAACAAGGCAAGTAGACTATCTGATTATTAAGGAACTCCATTATTCCAAACTGAAAAAGTTACAAAGTGAAATTGTGAAGCTGGCTTGGGGAATTAAGGAATGGCACAGAATGCCAACTTGTGACTAATTGAATATTAGTCACCTAGAATTGTCCCTTGTCCATTTGTGATTATTGAGACTAGAGAATATGTTAAGTATAATGAATGTTAAAAACAATGCCTGCTGACCCTTTAGCTTGTTGGCTTTTCTTGTTGCTTTATTCACTTGAATTCCCAGAATCCTACTACATTTAATTTTTTAAAAATATCCTATACCTTCAAAATGTCTAGACTAGAAAAGTTATTAATGGTTCATAGGATGCTTGCTTCCAAAAGGCTGTATTTCTTGAGCCTGATTTGAGCTTTTCAGAAACTGATTGTATAGGTTAACATTCACAAAACCTTTAAATTTTTTATGAAACCTTTGATGCCCAGCATGATTATGCTGTTCTAAATATGTGTTTTTAGGAAGAGTTCCTAATTTAAAATTTCTGTAGTAGCCAAAGCAAATGTATTTTTTTAAATAAACATGTGAATTTTTACAGGAAGTCCTTGAAAAGGAGCTTACAAATTGTGGACTGCATCTTAAAACTCTAAGTCAACTTACCCAGTTACCAATACTAGGAAAATCATCTTTACGATTCATGGAAATGGATAATTATGCTTGTAATTGGAAGTCTTGAAACAAGTGGAATGAGATTAACTGCCAACTTTTAAGAAACATCTTCCCAAAATTAAGCAATCTAAACATATCTCTCTGTTTGAAAGTGCTTGTCTCAGGGTTTGTAAGAAAGGAACAATATCCAAATCTTGCAATAGGTTTGTGTAGTAAGGTAACGTCTTTAATATAACACGTCGGGAGAAAATGAGACACTTCACTTCCTAGTCTGATCATACCTCCAAATGAATGAGAAGAATGTTTTGTTTGGCCATGATAGATTGTAGAAAGCTTACTTTGATGTAATAACATTCTGAGAAACTACCTCATAATGGATTTTGATGAGGATTATAGATACTCAACTGGTTCCTACATTGCTATTTTTATCCTAGAAAATTTAGGAATTTTTCTGTAGGTTATGCTAAAATATCTGCTTGTGAGATAAATTTCATATAGTTAAAGCAGCATTTTAGTATAGTTTATGTAAAGTGTGGTTAATGTGTATGTTTTTATAAAATAAAGTTATTTTCCCTTCAGTGGGTATCAAGTGATAGTGTAATCTGTTACTGCAGCTGAAAGAAGAAAAACACCACATTTATTCCAGAAGTTTGTATTTGGGCCTTAAGCATTTTGTAAAATAAAGTTTAAAGACAGCATGTGAGTACCACTATAATGCACATATGAAATGAAATTTTCTATTAGACCCTAAATTAACATGAACTTATTTTTGCAGTCAACAAAATAGTGGCCTGGTGCTGATTTTATTAGATAAGTTGGTTACAGCATTTGCATTATCATCTTGAGTCTATCTAGTTGTAGCTGAAATTCAAAATGCACATTAAAGTAAAACTACATCACAACTCAATGCCATTAAATTTTCTTGGCGTCTGCATTGGAATTCTAGTGGGTCTTCATTTTGGACTTCTTCCTTCTTATGGCATCAGTCTGGCTTAATATCCTTTATTTTAGAACACAGGACATAAAGCTGACTGTAACACAGCATACCATATTTGTTAACCCTAATAAAATTTAAAGGGAAAAATGGTAGCATTAGCCCTGTGGAACAGAACTCCGATTATCCAATAACACTGGCCCAATATCTGTCCAGCAGAACCTTCATGAAATAGTCTAAGGTGCACAGCCCTTCACTGATTATAGGCAAGTGTTACAGCAGCCTAGCCATAAGGGGAAAGAATTACATCATAGTACAAAATACAGTATAAAAGCGTTATTTAACATTCCACACTTAGGATTACTGATGCCTTCAAACAATTGTTTTGATGTTAAGCCACTTAAACAAATACATCACTAAGGTAAACAATATAAACATACCAAAACCCTGTATGGTTAAATACAATTTTCATGGTACAAAACCAAAGCTTGGAGATGTTTGTACAGATTGCTTTTTACACAATGTCTAAGTTGCCAAATTATTTACAACATTAAAGAAGAAATACATTTCTGATGCAGAGTAAAATTATCCGAAATGATTAATATAAAACCTCAATCTCTATCTACGTGAGGCACTCCTGAAGCAAGTGGCATTAGCCATGAGGTCCTTTGGTACAAGGCCCATTGCTTGAAGAACCACAGTAGCTGCTGTGGCTTTAGCATGCTTCTTATTAGGGCTGGCAAAGCTGGGCTGGTAAGCGCTTCCATTTATCAATACCTATTCAAGAAAAACATACAATTGGGCTGGTAAGGGCTTCCATTTCTCAATACCTATTCAAGAAAAACATACAATAAGAACAGCATCAAACTTTAATATCTATAAGCTTTGTATTTTTCACTAATATCTAGGAGATTATAAAATGCAAAACCCATACCTTAACACCCTGTCAAATTAATCTCAAGCCAGCACTTGGAAAGGGGACTCAAAATTTAAAGCTTGTTTCTTATCTATAAATGCCAAATTTAAAGTTCAGTAGCTGATCACTCTCATATCCACTTCCTCCCTTTTTAAAAACTTTTTTATGAAACTCTCATCTTTTAAGCAATAATGTCAAAATGACATACTTTCAGAGGCCTCAAACGCATCTAACATCAAGGAATCAAAGACCTACAATCCAAGTGCCGACCCCACCCAAATTCTGACCATCACCAATGAAGGATAACTTCCGCCCCCCTTTCCCATCTAAGCCAATTTAGTCACAACTACAAAAAAGCTGATAAATTAAAGAGATCCCCCTTGTTATTTTTAGAGTCTTAGAATTGTATGCTTACCCTAAAGAGAAAGTGTTTGCGGTGATCAGGGCCACTATCATGAACCAAGAGAAATTCAGGTGGTTGCCACCTCCTTTTATTACAAATCTCCATCAATGCAGATACAGGATGTTTACCTAAGACCCAAAAGTTAACTGATCAGAAACTAATTTCACCAGTTTTAATGAATAAATTATGAAAGTTTAATGAAAACAGAAAAAAATTAAAAGCAACGTACTCTCACCTGACAGATCCTTCATCGCAGCAGAGAAGTTTCCAGATCTTTTTTGTGCTCTCTCCCCCACGGCAACAAGACCTGAACAAGACATGAAACTACCATAAATCTCAAGTATTTATTTGTGGCAGACATTTTTGCATTAAAACAAATCTGCAGTAGGGCTGTCAAGTCTTTTAAGCCACATGCCAAGTTACCTTAATATAATGATTAATATCAATCCTATAATGTTTTCCCAGTTCAATCTGACATTTCTGAGGTGCCTCATCTATATGATCCTTCTACTAATCTACTCATACTACAGCATACTGAAGTACACCACCAAAAAAAATCTGAGAATACCAGCTAAATGTCTTTTTAAAAAAATCAACATTTGTTAAATAATAGTTTTCAAGACAAGAACTAAACTATTAGCTTTACTTGCTAAATAAAATCCTACCCTATACAAAAAGTGCTATTAACACCACAAAACTTAACCTTCCCTCATCTGTCAAATAGGGAGATGAGAAGAGCATAGTGCATTGCTTACTCTTAAGACTAAACTGTAGAGAGCAGGTACCAATCAACACTGATAGAGGCTGCTTCTCACCCAGAGCTCCCTATAACTGATGAAACCTCAGGAATGATTTTTTAAAATGTTTAATTCCAAGAAGTAAGCATTTATAAATATCTGGGAACTTTAAAACACTTATATTAGCTATGTATTTTTGGAAAAGAAAGAAACAAGAGAAGTGAAAAAAATAACATTCTTGGAAATATCCACAGACCATTCCCTCAATGTATACATACTGAACATCTTCACCAAGCAATGTGTAATCAAAAAGAGTTACAAGTCATCTTATAAGACTGGTTAGCCCAAACACCTAATTTTATCAGAGATGAGGAAACTAAGACCCAGAAAAATTAAGTTGACTTACACGAAAATCACACAAGTAAGCAGAAGAGCTAGGATTCAAACCTACATCCTTCACACTGAATCTACACATGTATTTTTTCTCCTGGTTTCCTTCCCAAATAGCCAAACACTGCTTACAGAACCATCTTAGGACAATGACAACTTATCACATAATCCTTGGGAGTTTTCAAAAATCCCTTCCCTAATATAATTTTTTTAGTTCTCTACAAACCCAAAATCAACTAAAATCCCAAGGATTTTTGCTTCAATGAATTACACATGGACATGAAAGTTTTATTTCTATGCCAAATAATAGTCTTTTTCTAATTTACCAACATCCTCCATATGGGTTCATTAGTTGTATAACTTTAGTCAAGTCATTTTAAATTGAGCTTCCTTGCCTGTAAAAACTTGGAGGGCTTAGGTAGGGTGAAGTTAACTAGATTATTTGTAAATTCCCTTCCATAATTCTGTTCAAAATCAATTTGTATGTGAATGATCCAGTGCAAAATGTTAACTGTGTAATTTTGAAGACTGTGATTCTATGACATGTATTACACTTAATTCTGAGAATAATCACTACACTAAATTTCATATTCAAGTTAAAGAGAAATAGCAAGGACTCAATAAATATGAGCCCATTACAGATGAGAGTAATTTTGATGTTCAAGTCTGTCATACAGAATTAGTGGCCACCCCAAGTCACTGATACATTTACTGAAAGTAGGCAATTAGACACAAAATGTAGCCTAATTTTCTGCCAACTTTAACTAAATAGGTAAGTCACATTTCTCTACTCCAATATATTACCATAATATGGAAGTGACTCTGGGTTCCTAAATCAGCACACTTGGTACCTAAGACTAATGAATTCATATACTGCTGAAGGAACCAAACCAACATAGTACAGTAGAAAAGGCTCTGGTTTTGAAGCCAGAGGCCCACTTCTTCCACTCCCTTCTGTATGTGTGCCAACTAAGGTACATTACTTAACTACTCTGTCCTCAGTTTCTTCATATGTATAATGAGAGGATTGGTCTTTAATGTTTATCCCTACTCCCTTCACATTATTTTGAATCTAAGAGCTAGATGTCTGTAAGATACAGATTTCTCTTATAGACATTTTAATTTTAAATTAATTCAGAAGACTTGGAAAAAGTTGCAGCTAAAAGAAAAGATAGCTCACCCATTTTCCACAAAGAGAGAAACAAAGCTGGCAGAATCAGTTCCCTGGTACACACAAGGGAATTAAGATGTAATTTAATGGGACATCAGATCAGTCACGTCACTTTACTGCTCACAATGAGTGTAAGCAAGGAAACTATCATAAAGATAGTTGTGAGCTTATGGACCAACATCTGTGGCAAAGCACGAAGCAGAGAAATTCTGTGAGGAACCTGAAAAGATACTCTAAATCAAGTCCAACAAATACCTTGATACTCAATAACTTCGTTGTGAAGGATGGCACAGAGAAGCACAGCAAAAAACAAACAAAACAAAACAAAACAAAAAAAAACTACAGACTGGAATTAGGAAATGAATATAGACTTGAATATTTTCTTTAGAAAAGAGTCAGAAGACAGAGCATGGTAAGCATAGAACAAAAACTACACACACAAAATCAGATGTCTACAGCTCAACAGGAAACTGGTGACAGACAGAGAAGTCATTTCAGAATCTTTTGTCTGTGTCATTACCATCAAAGAAAAGGTCAAAATTAACACCAGCTTAGAACAATAAAAATGAGCAGACATTATATACAATTACAATTCTAATATGAAATGAGTATGGGTGAAGATACTCATCATCTCCACTTCTTGGAGAAATTTAACAGATGGCAAAAAACCACAGTAAGGAGGTGAAGAGCCCAGAAACTACATTAGCCAATAAAGACTTGAACTCTTTGCCAAGCAGAGACTTGGAAGTCAAAGACAACAACGACTCAGAACATAAGCTCAAATGCAGAACATTTTAGAAAATAATAATAGAAGATTACAAGTAACATCATGAAAAGATGATGAAGCAAGGTGCCTCATGAAAATCTGGCTTTCATCAAATATATACCAAGGAAATTTATGCTGCAGATCACAATCTTAAAGACATTCAGGAACAAGTTTCTAAGATACCTCAAATGAGGAAACAAAAAACAAGAGAATATAAAAGACTCTGGCTCATACTACCTTAAAAGTGTAACTTACTAATAACCAATAGGCCTACTTCATCAAAACATTTATCCATGTGAACAGGGTAGCTGTAATGAAAAGGGGCCATAGATGCTTTTTGATGACGGTTTTCTAGGTTAGAGCAAATATTCAATCTCCAACTGACTAAAAAGGACAGAGAATACATGATCCCATTGTGTTTATAGTTTGTTAATTTTAACAATCAATGTGATTCACTAAAGCAAAATCAAGGAATCTCCCATGCATACTTTTAAGTTCATACAAAAAACACTGACAACTACAAAGATAACTGTAAAACAAGCATTGATCACAAAGGCAGTCTGATGAGTTACTCAATCATCTCCATCTTTTGATAGGCCCTGCAGATGGATGATGGCAGAATTGCCAAGACAATGAATTGGAGAACAATGTGCGTGCACTGGCACTTTCAATGGTCCCAAGGAACTCCCTGCTACAAAAGACCATCTTCTTAAGAAGAACATTCCCTCAGTGACTGTATAGCTAATTCTATATTCATTGTGAACAAAGAGCGGAAAGATGCATGCTGGGATACAGAAAGGCAGCAGCAACCTATTACCAAGAATGACTTGCTCTGACAAAGTCATGAAAGACAAATTTGACTGGAAAAGGTGGACCAGTCAGACAGTGAGGAATAATAGATGGACAATTCAAAAGTTTCATTGTTATTCACAAAATATCAAAAATTAAACTAAACAAAACAAAACCAAATATTCAGAGAAGGTCTGCTACTGGTTGAAAAGAGCCTCTATGAAGAATTTATGGAAGGGCAAAGATAAATTGTAATGATCTAGACCAGTGAAGGAATATCCACAGAGAGCCAATGAAATAAGGATAATTCAGCTGAAAGTAAATTTTAATTTAAAAATTTTTATGCAGTCTGATTATTAAGGCACCATTGTACTTGCTCTACCCTTTCTGAAGCTTATAGGCAACTATTCTGATGATGTTGAATTCAACAGAATGTTGCTATGGTGATATTTCCCCACTAGGCAGTATCAGTTCATTAAAGATAGTCTTCTAATCTCTAGCCCCAACCCAAGGAAAAGTACTCATTGTTACTCATCCCTAAGCTACTTTTAACAAAGCAGGAAATCAGGGAAAAGGTGCAATAATAAAAATGACATTTCTGAAGGAATCATGATGTGGTATGGCAGAGTTCCTGGAGTATTTAAAACAATTCTGTAAGAAAATAAGGGCAGTGAAAGAAAAAAATTTATGGTGAAGGAGAGAAAAAGAAAAAATGAAATTATTATTATCATTAATAAAGCTTGGAAACAAATTAGTATAACTGAGTATGCCCTAATCATTCAGAATACGATAACCTTGTTGCTTTTAAACAAATAACTATAACCTAAAATTTGAAACATTATATATAGAGTCTGTTATGTTTATTGATAATGCTGATGCCTTACACTCAAGAAATACAAACTCATTTTGCAATAAATAAATAAATAAAATTCAAGGCTGCTGACAAAGCTGATATAGTCAAACTACAGTTATAAAGAAAACATCCCCCAAATTCTGAAAAGGTACTTATAAAACTGAAAATATGGCAACTATTTCCAAACATCTATACAAATTCGAAAAACCAGGTTCAAATGTTACTGTACTTTAAAAAAGCATACTACTATAATTTAAAAATACAGAGTAATGAAATATAACAAATTACATAAAGCTTCAAAAAAGTCAAAGAATTACCTTTTCGGTCTGTCTTAAAGTCAACTAGAATAGGCTCTTTATTTCCTTCTTTGTTTTTTCCTAATCCCTCTCCTTCTCTCCAGCCCATTTTTCTCATCAGAACGGCTCCCATTCCACCAGTTACAGGGGCTGCTCTTAAGAACTGATCCTATCCAAAGAAAGAGAGGTAAAATGTCCCAATTCTAAAGTTAGAATCTGATTATGAACACACAGGCAACTGTCTAAAATTATCTCACTTTACTTCTAGATGTTACATAGAATAAAGCAATAAATGAATATTTCCATGATTTACCCATACTGGAGTTTCTATGTTCTAATTTTTTAAAGTATTAAATAATAGGGTTTTTTGGAAAGTTGATTACGATGATTCAAACTAAAATGGCAATTTTAAAACAATGGCCCATATGTCCAAAAAAATTAGAACATTCCTTTTTTCATCCACTATTTACGTTCACTGGTATCTCTTCTTAGCTTGCAAAATAAAAAAAAGGCAGTGTTAAAATATTTGACAATATTAACTTTCCCAGGTGTACCTAGTTAATGAACAAAAAAACTCAGAAAACATTTAGAAATAAAGTTCAGACAAATGTTGAAGCATATTTTTGTCCAAAATTCTTCCAAATTCTACCATAGAACAAGTATAAAGGTTTTACTTAAGACAATCCAAATCAATATTAAAATTATTCGTACATGTTTACATGTCTATCAATAGTAATGACAATCACAGACACACTGTAAGTATACCAAACTGAATTCTTTTAAAACCTGAGGTTAAAAGACTTTAAAAAACTTCCTTAAATGTTTACATACCTAGGCCTCGGTGGCCGCAGTGTTGTGAATAGTAGGGCTGGCACTGACCGGGGCAAGAAGGCAGCTACAAGCATTTGGCCCTGAAACAAGTTTCCATATAGAGGGGTGAAAGTTCACAGGTTATTCTGTGAACTATCATCTCTCCTGTATCCAACCCACTGAACCATAATTTCCATCAAAGCAGCAAACTGCTTAATGTCTTAAAATACACAATACACTGGCATTTTCAACACAGTCAGGTATTTTCATACAGTAAGAAATATATTAAAGGGCATCTAGATATACCCAAAATGAAGATACAAGAGTTGACTTCTACTGAAGCAATTGTTCCAAATGCATAATGTGCTTTTTTTCTTCTCTCTTTTTAAAAACTTTACTTTTAACTGATCTAGCAAGTTTGTCAGTAAGAATTATTAACTTATCAAAACAGGAAATGACAATATACAGTTACAACTACCATAAAATTTACACTTCCTGTTGTTGCTAAGTTAATTCTAAAAAATGGTCCCAAACTACACTGAAGCTGTGTGATCTTGTTTCCCTCAGATATTTAGCTACTGGGGGAACATATGCCAAAAAATCACAATTGGACATTAAGTTTATCAATGTGCTCTGATGGAAGGAGGTGGCTGTGGAGATTTAAAAAATATATATATATATATATATAGCCCTGGTTCAGTTCCTCAGGCTCAAAATCATAGATTTAGAGCTAGAAAATTCCTCAACTGGTGCAGGCCATACAGAGTATGTGTATGAAAAGAAAATTTAGTTAATGCTGATATATTAAACTGCCTTGATGCTACACACTTTTTTTTTTATTTAAACCTACTTCCAGGTTCATCCCCACCCCTCTTTTCCACCAACCTCTCCCTAAAGAAGGCACTGTACAGAGCATAATGCACTGCACAATTCAAAAGCAAACTCCAGAGCAACCTAGGCTTCTGATTCTTCTTCTGAATTCTTTACCATGTTTTATTTCTTATATGTAGTTGACAACGTGGCTAATTCATCTCACGATTTCATATCACAGAAATTTCAAAATTCCTAAACTAGTTTTGGAAAATATACCAACCAATACAACATCACATTTACTTATGAACAAAGCAATAATGCCTCCTTTCTCTTTAGCAAAGAAAAGACTTTAGATCTTAAATCCAATTTCTACAATTGGGTAAATGGAAAATGGAAATATTCATTAAGATATTAACATTTAAGACTATTTTGTAGCAAGAAGAAAAAACAAAGGCTATCACAAATCCCTATAGCGATCAATTAAACGTTAGTTTTTATAGTATAATATGAATAAACAAAGTTTATGGGTCCTTTTAATAATTAATCATCAAAAGCAACTCAAAATAAATGAACATAGAATATTTTCTGTCAGGGAAGATGCTACACTTTCAAAATTAGTTTGCATCATCACAACAGTTCCCTTCCTTGATGTAGGTATGGCCTTTTAATATGGAAAATGTTCTTTTCAAAAGTTCATTTGAGGTACAAAACTTATTTTAGTAATACAAATACAAAATTTTACTGATGAAAAAACACCATTACGGCTTTTGTCTATGACAACAAAATTTCAAATGGGATATTCTAACTAGAATTTCTCATACTAGGATCTGAATTTTAGATGTTTTATATAAAGGACATTTTAAATACCTACAAGCAACCTATTACACTGAAGATAAAAACGGAAAAAAATTTGGAGGAAAAATTTGAAGAAGCCAACTACTGCATCAACATAGTACAGGCTTTTAAAAATTATTACTCTTAGAAATATACTCTATTCCATGATCAGTCACAGTCACCACTTCACTACCAAAATCAAAATGGAAATCTTCCAAGTGAAAGTTCTCAGATATTTCTACCCAACAATGTTCAGAGCTGTGGGATCATAATATACCCTAAAGGTCAAATAAGTGTATCCTCTAATTCTAATTTCCTAAAAAGCATTCACTCTTCAGAGATAAAATATAATAAGAAAACTTTATAGAAGTAGATTAAGTGGACAAATTTTGAGAAAAAAAGAACGCCATTTTTCAAATGCTATAAGAAAGTAGTTTTTATCCTATTATCATGTTTTAAAATGTATCTAAATGAAGTGCTATGTGTTTTAAAAACTTCAAATAATAATGTCAGTTTCTAATCCAAACTCTTCAAGAAGTGTCTCCAGAGAATTAAATACAAAGTAATTCCACTAAAGAGTCACAGAGGAAGTTAATCTGGCCAGTTACTCATTGTACACATTGTCATGCAGCTATTTTCAAAAACAGCAAGCAAAGAACACCCAAAGTTCAATACTGGCTCTGTGAAAATGATGTTCTATAAAATCTAATATTTCAGAGGTGAACCAATCAAGTTATTTATTATGTACACGTGCCTGGAGCAACTAGCAAATAACAACAATACCTTCAAATTCAACACCTTAGCTTAGTATATATGTACCATATCTCATTATGCCTCACAACCCTCTGAGGCAGGTAATAAATGTTATCGTCTCCATTTGGAGATTCTGGAGCGCCAAGAAGTTACTTGCCCAAGATCACACAAGGAGTCAGAGGTAGAGCCGGACATAGAACCCTTCCCAGGCCTTTAGACCACGCTGCCTCCCAGTTTCAGCACTGGTATGATGCCAATACTCCTGAAACAAATTCCCATCACCCGCCCACCAAGCCAATTTCCTCCATCATCATGCCGAAAAATTCATTTCTTCAGGAAGCCCTTCCTTAACCACCTAAGGCTCCCCCAACAATGAGGTAGCTGTAGGTGGAGTCCGCAGATTTTATTGCAGAAATCTGAAAACAGATGCACCTATGTCTTCGCCGCACGAGTCGTCCATCCACTCCCTTTGTTTTTAGGGTCTTAAATATCCTGTTGTTCTCCTGAGATCAGTGGTTCTCAATCTGAGGTCTGTGGACCACCAGTGGCCATGAGGGCCTGATTGGTGGTCCATAGCATTCCCCATTCCAACCCTTCACCCCCAATTCCCACCCCATCACCACTGCCAATCCCACCACTGCCAATCTCCAGCCATCCTCCCCCAACCCTCCAGTCCCATGGCAACACTGCCACATGCAATTTTTCTAGAGCTGGGAATCTCCCCACTACTTCTGCCTAAAACCAACTAAGAATCAATGGGAAATAGGAGAGGGGCTGGAGGTCATAAAAGGGGTGAGGAACTGGGGCTGAGGGATTCTGTGGGAGGGTGCAGGCACTAGGGTAGGGGCAGGGAATTCAGGGAAAAAACAGTGGATGGAAGACAGGAGGTGATAGAGGGATCCTAGGGGTAGTGATCCACCAAAGATAAACCTTTCACGCGTCCCATGATGAGGAAAAATTTGAGAACCACCGCTTTAAGTTATTAGATTAGTAGCCCAACAGGAACTGTGGAATATTCTTTACAGCACCTGGCACACAGTTAGCACTCAAAAAATGGTTAACAAAAATACCACCACCAAAAGCAACAACAATAATAAATTTTAAAATGACCTAAGGATATAAACTGGGTGGATCATGAGCCAGTTTTAAACATTTGCCATTTTTCCATGGATCAGGTCCATCTTCAATGTCCATCCTAGAGTATATATACATAGCAAATTTACTTATGAATTTCAGTTAGAGTCAGACAATAGGTTTCTCACTCATGCACTTTAAAATTGTTTAAATGTTTTAGGATTCTATTTGGATGCATGTGTCCATCTGCATAATGAATACCTTTTTAATCCAGGCTTGAGCACCAGTATTTGCCAATTGTTCTTGTGTCAGAACTTGTACTCCTGTACTTCCTGTGAATTGGCCTGGTATTGAGTTGAGCTGAGCCCAGGCATCAATCTAAAGAAAGCAAGTAATCACATTTGAATAAATTAAGATGAATAAATTCCATTATTAAAAACAATCTCATTTACCTTGTCAATATATATGCTCAGTTTAAGATAAACAGAAATTAGAAACAATGAATTTTTAAATAATGACATTAACAACTGGATTATGATCATAGATTTAGAGCTGTAAAGGATCATGGAGGTCAATCTAGTCCAACCCCTTTATTTTACAGATGAGGAATTAAAATCCAAAGGGGGTCCAAAGTCACAGTAAGCTTCAAACCCACGCCAGAAGTTCATACATTCAGAGCTAAGAGACTTCAAAGGCCACAAAATCCAATTCCTTCATTTTACAGATTAAGAAATTGAGGTGCAAGAAACCTAATCGACTTGCCCAAGATCACACAGGTAATAACACTAAGAAGCAGGTTACGAACCCAGGTCTTCTGCCCATCTCCAGTGTTCTTTCTCCTGAATTATGCTACTTCCCTAAACGTCTTGTGTTTTTTAAGTTACTAAAAGTTTAAATCACCACTTTGTGTGAATTTTGCTGTTTTTAAAAAATGAAGAAAATTTAATGAACTCCAATTCTGACAAGATTTGTAAACAAAGCTTCTCCAAAAATGAAACAAAAACAACATGAAACCATTCTTGCTATTCTGGCATAGGGGCAAGAGGAATTTAAAAGAAAAAATACAAAGGAAGCTTTCTTGCTCCCCAAGAAATGTTTGAAACTGAAAAAACAAAACAGATAATGCCCAGCTAACCTATTTTGAAACAAGATTTCTCCCTCTTCTTCCATCTATCACCTAAATGTATTTTAAGACATTAATTTACGTATTTTTAAAAATAGGCACCTTGAACCTCATCAATCTGAAAAAAAAATAGAAATGAAGATAAAAAAGCAAAGATAGCTAATGTTTAAAATATGGTTATAAATTTAACTAAGTTTTATTCCTAATATTTCACTAAACAATAAAGTAAAAAATTAAAAATTAAAAAAAAGGAAAAGTTTGGGCTCTAAAAATTTCTGCCCCCAAATGCAAACATCAGACTAAGTACGACTTGCTTACAAAGACATTCACATCCTAATTAAGTCTCTTCTCTCCAAATGCTGAACAGATACTTGTTCCATAGTAATATTTTCATCTAAGTCTACAAATAAAAGGCAAACTGAACCACTAAAGTAATCAATCATCAGGATTAGATTCAAAAATTGTTTCATCTAAAATAGCTAGTTTATTAAGATAAATGAATTATTCCTTTCAATTGTCTGGATAACTATGTTACTCTATTTTAAACTTTATATCCTAAATCTGAAATGGGTTAAAAATATATGTCCCCTACAATTAGAAATCTGAATTACACAAGACTGCTACCTACCCGCTCTTGTGCTCGATTTAACATGCTCATGGCTTCAAGGTCAAATGCATTTTCACTAAGTCTCTTCTGAGCAAGTGCACGCTCACTCATTGCTGTAGAGATGTCCACAGGCTAAGGAAAAAGAAAAAGATTTCAAATTATCATGACCAAAAAAAAAGGGTATTTTACACATCAACTTATGTTCTTAGTTGTCAGAAATCAAAAATTTTAAAATGCAGGAAGGAAAACATCACTAATACCTTATATTTGCACAGTACTTGACAGTTCCCAAAGTGCTTCTGCATACAATATTCTCATTTAGCTCTTACAACAAACCAGTGAAGTAAAGAGGGAAGGTATTATGAACTACTTTCCTTTTTTATTAAAAAAAAAAAAGAGAGAAAACTGAAACAGTGTTCCTTAAGTGACAGAATTATACTGCTAATAAAGTGGCAGAAGCAGAACTAGAATTTAGGTCTTCTAACTACTACTCCAGTGTTATTCCCGCTTCTAAAAACTTTAAATATCAATTCATCCCTTTCACTAAATAAAATTATTTTATTTTTCTTGTATTCAATTTACTTTTATTAGAACTTATTTTTATTTTGTAACGAGATACCTTGACTAAAGATCGCCTATAAAAGGCCAAGTTTGAAAAGTAAATGACAAAAGATATTATGACTTTACTCTTCCCTTAAATCAATCACTAACCCAAATTTTTTCAGCTTGATTCAAGGTGACCTGGTGAACTCAATTTCTTAGAAAACTGGTTCTTAACCCCATTACAATCCAATATGACATCAAAACACTACGGTATAACTGAAACAACAGATTTTAAGTTGGAGGTCCTGGGATCAATTCGTGGCTTTGCAATCAATAATTAGGAACCCATATTCACATCAATTAGCCTCCCTGAGCCTCAGTTTACTCATCTGTAAAATTAAAGGAGTGGATTAAATAAGTTTTATTCCAGTTTTAAACCTGATGAATGTTTATTTTAATCCCAATTTATATAAATTTGTTCACATAAAATGAAATCTTTGAAAAGTTCTAGCATTTAAAAAGTCCATATTACTTGTATAAATGATGTACTAAAGAATTTAAGCAAATGTGGAGAGATTCTTTTAGCTAATAAAGAGTAATAAGATTTTTGTAGGGGGCCAAGTATCTGAAAACATTTTGAAATGCCAACACAAAAATAATTTATGAGATGTACATATAAAAACTAAATGATCCAAAACACTATTCACTAAATTCATCAACTTATAACAATCCACCTAATTCTCAAGATTTTCTCTTCTTAGTGGGAGGGGTAAAAAATTATTACATATATATATCTCAAGTTGTCTTATAATTTTTTAAATCCTAAACTGATTTGAGTTGAAATGCACATATTATAAACAACTACCAAATCACATGGACTATAAGTGTTATATTATAGTTCAATTTCCCACCAAGTGTAGATTTCTTCCATTCGAGATCCTTGATCTTAGAAGACCTCACATTCAAGCACCAATTTGAACACCTCCACTTTTAGCAACAACAACAAAAAAATTGGGGGTATTCCAAAATAGTTACTTCTTAGGTCACTGTGTGTAAACGTGCGGCCTAGGCCAAGTTACTTCCTCTCCTTAGGTCTGGTTCTTAACCTGTGAAACGAGAGGACTGGGTTCCATGGCCTTTAAGATCTCTTGCAGCTATTCTAAGATCCCACAATCCCACGTTTTCCTATAGGACCTTAAGGACCAAAACAGCCTAGGTGAATATGCACAAGCATTGTCTGACTTGATTTTTGACAGTAAGAACTTAGACGTTTCAAATTTTTTATGGTTATTAGATAATTTGCAATTTAATCTTTTCTATTAAATCTCAGTTAAGTTTTCACTCTCTAACATCTCTTTTTATTCTATAAAGTATATGCTGAAAAGAAATGTGTTGTTGGTAGTTGTTTGTAAACCATAAGCCCTTCGAAAGGATTTTAAATTGCAACATATGAATATTGTTAAAATAGGTATGACAAGATTAATAAAACTAGCCAGTAATGCTGATATGAAGAAATATTATTGATAAATGAAGCAGATACCATTTAATGTTGTTAGAAGCAAAGCTGGATAGACAAGTAGAATGTAACATTGTGGTCTGAATCATTGCATCCATCTTCTGTGTAAGTCAACTTGTTCCTCTCTCTCTGTGTATATACACGTATATGTGTATGAATATGTATGCATTTCTTCCTATTTTCACTAGTTCCATACCTCTTTACTTTTTGATGAGGTGATGATGTTACATACTTCAATAATAAAGAGTCCACATGTTTCTTTCGTGCTAATATTAAGTCACCTCCAAAAATCATTAAACATGTATTTTAGAGATCCCATTTTAAAAGTTCACTGTAAGTATAATTCGTGTGCACTTGTTAATACTGATCTTAAAATTATACAAGTTTATTTAGTTTCTTCTTAATATGACTCCTAATGACATCTAGTGCTGTTTAACTTTAGCTTCATTACAAAACAGCATGTTGACTATTAACTCAGTACTCACCATTTTAGAGATTACAAGGAGACCTCTTTAAAATAACATGAATCAGTACCACCTTGTAACCCTTTAGATATTGAAAGTTTGCCTCAAAGCCCACTTCTCCTGCTTTTCAGGCTAGCTGGGACTATAAACAACAATGCACAAAAAAGCTTATTCAAATCCTTTTAGATGAGAGTACTGAATCACTTTAAGTGCCCACCCCAAACATCACAATATCGATTCTAGAAAAAAAAAACTAAAAAACTTCATAGCCTGTATAAACTTAACATTTTAAAGGCAGCTCAGAGGCTAAAAAGTAATGTAAATATTCTAAATAATACTAAAGCCTAATCTCCAAAAAAATTGATAGGAAATATAATTAACATCAATATTTTCATGAATATACTAAATCCTGAAGGATATAATTATTCCTATAAATCTTAAGTGTAACTTTGTTTAGTTTTTAGTTTGGTTCGTCAGTTTTCTGAATTAGGACAACTCTAAAACTATTTTTGATACCATTATTATTTATCAAGTGCCCATATGGATATAATCATGTGCCAGACAGAAAAACAGCTCAAAATTCCAATTACACTCTCTAGCACTTCTAAAGGTGATATACGTGTTTAATCTCAACTCCAGTTTTACCATACTCAATAACCACCGTCCATCAGGTAACCTCTTCATTTTATCAATAAAGGAGATTACTTCTTAACAAATAGCACTGAGGTTAATCTTAATTTGCATTATGGGCTCCATATTTGTGACCTGAATCGTTAAAGTTTGCCTACTTTTTCCTTGAACAAATATATTTCTTTTTTAACTGAGTTGTTGCCTCTAAAGTTCAATTTATTCTATTTAATGTCAGCATAAAAAACTTCTAAAATAAAGTAGAATAAAAATGAACCACTTTTTAAAATCAGAAATAAATTACTTTGATTAGTATCTAATAGGGCATGAGATAAAGGAAATTTTTAAAAATAAAAAGATTACAGATACTAGAAGACTAACATCTACAATAAGAAATAAAAAAAGGAGCCAAAGAAATTATACCATGTAATAAAGAATTTTGATTATCTTTCCTGTGTTAATGTGTAGATATATACAGGGGAGAGGGGTTATTTGGAGTGGAAAACTCAGAATCTATCCATAAACCAAGTTCAAGTCACATCTGATACATACAAGAAGTTTTGCCTTTCTTTACATACCCAGTACTTAGCATAGTGCCTGGCACATTGTATGTGCTTAAAACTTTTTAACTAGACTTGTGTGATCCTGGGCAAGTTACATTAACCTCTCAGTTTTTTCACTGAGAAGTTTTAAGACTTATAAGAATATATAAGTAATAAGACTATCATATAAAAATCTAAGAATAGTTCTGATCTGCATTGGTAGAGGGAGTTTGCTCAATTAGAACTGCTTTCATCAAGGAAATTATAAATTCAGACATAAGTAGCAAGAAAAATCAAAATTTGGTGTTTCAAATGTTTGGCTATTAAATATTCGAGCCTCACACTGGTAATGTACACATCAAGGGAAACCTTGATTATATATAAAAATTAATTTCAACTATATAAATTAATGGGGGAAGGGGAAGACATACAAAAAATAAAGGTAAACTAACCTTTGAAAAAACCTTTACATTAATATACATCTCACTTTTGTGGATGATATCTAAGGGAACTAGAGAAGGTAAAGAAGGAACTAAGGTGAGATTTTCACTGATAAACTTTAAATATTACAAAATTCTAAGATTTGGCTGTACTGGAACATCTAGTTAATTAGGGGGTGGGGGGTGAAGAGGTGGGAAAGGGAACAAAGGAAACTCAAATTCAAATGTCTTTATGAAATACATTTAGCTAACACATCATAATTCTTCTAAGAAGCTTAAAACTAGAGTCTCCTTGATTAAGTTTAGACCCTTTTGTACCACGATATTTACAAATGGCAAGAAACAAATTACTCCTGGCTAGATATTGCATTAATATTACTGTCATTTAAGAAACTTTTCTTTTAAGCCTCTGAAATGGTTAATTTTATTTGTTTTACCAAAAACCAATCCCCTTATTCTACAGTAATACATTTCTCAGAAATTTAAGACAAGGTGACATAAATTATACAGTCTCTGCTGCAGGTTCTTCATATATAAAGATAATATTACTGACCCACTGTCAATGGAATATAGTAATTTATTATAGTAGAAGCGACGGTTTTATGTTGATCCATCCACATCTCTGAGTAGCCCCAACCAGGAGCAACTGTAGTACTCATTTGCAAAACAACTGGTTGGAGTTAGGAATGCAGTTTGTGGCCAGAGCACAGCAAAGCTAATTGGCTTAAATGAAGAATGTGTCTTTAACCTTCACATAATACAATCATATTTGGTACATACAAAGTTCATTTCCTTTATTAAAATGAAAAGCTCCTTGACAAGTAATTCTACTATCAAAAAAGATACTGCTACATTAACTCACTGAATTTTACTTCTGCCAAAAGTCATTTCAATTCCAAAAATGTGGCATTTAAGTATTTCTCCCATAAATTTATTACTAGCTCTTCAATAAATGTAGTTCCCTTCAAAAATCTGTTGACAGACTACTTCATAAATTTGATCACACTCAGTATGAGATAACCAATATTTCTATTTCTAAAATTTTCTTCTAGGTGTTTAATAAGACTATGTAATATATGTATTATGTGAATAACAGGTGAAAATGAAAAGAACTGATAAAAAAAATCTTCACCCTTTCTCAAACTGTGTACACTTAGGAATCACTTAGTCTAAATTAACATCTAACCAGCATTTTTGAGGCATTCTAAGTAGCTAACTCAAATATACAGGACAACAGTGTTCATATAATCAGTCAACCAGAAAATAGTTGAATTCCTTGAAAAGCATTTGTCATATTCCGTCTAATCCTCCAAATAGGAAGCCAATGGATTCAAAGGTAAATGACTTAAATACCCTCACTTAACAGCTTACTTTGGGGGTGGCAAACCCAAAGCGTCAAGGAATATATTGCTTAGATCTAGGTTACTTCAAAAGTGGTGAAAGGTTGGACAAGCGTGATCACACTAGTCTTTTGGTTTAAATTAATACATCTTCCTTTCAGTTGAATTAAGATTCGCTAAGCATTTTCCCCAATGTTTTCTTCTGTCCGCTGTTAATGTTTGCAATCATATTAAAATATTCCATGGCAGTTTTGGATCTTAGGAAACATGATTTGGAAAAATGTATAATAGTTCTTCATTCCGCAGCAACACTTCCCACGTTAAAATGCTTCCTGGCTATTCATATTAATTTTGAATGTGTTCCCCCATACTTGTTAAATGCCTAATTATATGTATTAAATTAATTTAATACAAGTGTATGTTATGAGGAAACCTATGTAAGTCTGAGGCTGTTCAGAATTCCCAATCTAGTTTTTCACATAATAAAGGAAGTCACTAGCAATGTTAATCATGTCCCTTTTGAGAAATTTAAAACCTACACGTAACTTGATCTGGGTATTAAATGTTGCCATTAATTCATTAGAATAGCTTCCAAACAAGGTAGAAAACAAAAAAAAAAGGCTAATATGAAATAAGATGACAAGTTCCCAATTTTTTTTTCCATTCTGGGGACATTACAGCATGTTTCAATTCTGTAGAACCATGATGAGAATCCCCAAAGCAATTATCAGCTGGTAAATAGAATTTTCAATGGCTAGTTATCATGCTTCCCAGCTTCAATGCCTAGCGCTTGCTGCATGTCAAAATGCAGGACTAAATGCACAGTGAAAACGTTGCCTGTGAATTGACAGGCTAAAGGGAAAAAAATACTGCTATCAAAGTGTTATTATGTTTCTGATTTGGGTTCTGTTCACTTTCTAATTTTAAAAACTGATTTGTTTACTTATGACATTAAAGGTGTGGAGTGATAGAAGAGTATTCAAGGCCTCTGAAGGGGCATGGATCTAAATGACAGGTCTCTCTGACCTACAGACACTGAGACTGCAGGGACAGGAGGATGTGGGGAAACCAGCCCACCACTTTTACAGGGCATTGGGGAGCTAATACAGTCCACGGAAGTGTGTCCGGGATATGGAATAATGGGCAGGAGAAAGAAAAGGTGGTTGAGGGATCATTTGGGAGTTCCCACCCCCCTACTGAATCTCCACCCTCCCAGATCCCCCAAGCGTGATTTTGCACAACAAGTTAAATAAAAGTAAACTGTTTATTAAAAGATACAGCAAAGGTACAGATACAGAGATACATACAAAGATACAGATATATATATATTTACATATATATACAGTCTTGCTGTTCTGATGTGCACTATAATGAGTAGCACATTATTTAGTCAGGCAGCATTTTAATGGGGGTTGTTTGGCATTATCACCACATCATTTTGACAAGATACTACTAGAGCCACACAAGTATTTCCAAGTGTGGATTCCACTTCTCCAACTTTTAATAGTAGCAGAAAGGGGGAGAAGGGAATGGAGAAAAAGGCTGAGCATTAGGTTAAACACAAGAATAAAAAAGGGCCAGGGAAGTGCAGGGGAAGGGAAAATGAGGAAAAATAGAAGGGTATCTGACAAATAATCTGGAGGTACAAGTAAGGAACTTTATTTATGGAAAAATGGACTGTGTACCCAAGTTGCTTGTCAGCCTGCAAGGACCATTTCAAGTTTGATTCAAGTGTTCAACCTGAAGCTCAGCCTATCTCCCTGATTCCTTTACCCACTAAACTTGCTACCACCAAAATCTAGAGCTATAAAGCCTGGAAGCAAAACGGGAAGCTAAAGAAAAGTTGTACCTTGGGCTACCTCCCCATAAATGCAAGGAGGGCCCAATGTTGGGTAAGGACGTGACAACACTGTTCTCTGCAATTCGATGCTGTTCACTTTGTGGCGTGGTTCCACAAAGTGAATTGCATCGAGTTACTGTGAAATGAGTAGCTGCGGGTTGTCTCATCTGTCGTCTAACCCGGCCCTGCCGTTTAACCCGACCCTAAGAAGAGTGAAACAGAATCCAAATCAGATATAAAATAACAATAAAATGGCAGTTTTAGGTATTTTAAGAAAAAAAGGGCAAAATGTTACATTTACTTACCTCAGTAGGCAAATTGCTACTGAAGACATTATCATCATCTTTGTTTTCTTCACCATTTTTCTCTACGGGAACCCACTCTCCATAAACACTATCTGCTTCCTTTTTTCTGTGTTGAGAGCCAGATGATACAGGAAATTCTTTTGTCAATGTTACCTGATTTTTTGGTGGAGTTGGCTTTGCAGCAGCGATCTAAGGAACAAAAAGAACGTTTCACAAATTAAAGTTTGATGTAACACCAAAATCTGAATAACTGCCAAGTGATATTCACTTAACACATTCTCAGGCACTTAATTTTAGTTCTCCTCAGAAATCTAAATGAATTTAAAAATATAATTTCTAAAATGGAATTGAAAGCCAAAATATTTTAATATAAACTTTTAAGTTACCAGCTTTTGACTTCTTGTATCAATTGCAGTACTCACATTTAAGTTGAAAAAAATGGGTTTAGGTTCATTGAGTTTAAAAGGATGATGATAGAAAGGACGTTCTTCCTCCTCTTCATCCGAAACATGGGGCTTGTTCACTATAACATCATCATCTTCTTTACTTTGTGCAATCTGTTTGCATTTCTTAAAGAGTGAAAAAAAAAACAAACAAAAGATAATCTTACACACCCTGTATACATAGACAACACATCCACTTCTTAATGGGACCAAAACCATGTAAAATAACTTTTAAAAGTACAAGTTTACATTTACAGACAGATGAGTTAGCTACTTAGCAGACTCTGGCCAGTCAGTCAGTCAACAACATTTATTGAGCACCTACTGTGTGCAAAGCACTGTACTGGGTACTGTCAGGGAGATACAAAAAGTAAAAGACATGGTCCCTGCCCTCAAGGAGCTTACAATCTAGATCAAAAGACAGAATACATACACATGAAATAACTGAAGAACGCTTTTACAGAGCAACACATTAACAAGTGCAAACTGATATAATACAAACTGAGTACATAAGTGCTGAGGGAATGCAGGCTAGAGTGAACAGAGTCGGGTGGGATTAAATTATCAAGGAAGATCCCCTTAAAGGGGCATAAAGCCAGATTGTGAAGGTGAGGGACACTGATTCAAGAGAAGGAAAGGTAATTCTTAGGGGATAGTTAGAACAAGATTCATAAGACAGGAAAAATAAAGATGTCTGTTCATAACTGTAGAGTAGGAGTGGAGGGGGAGAAGGGTAACCACTGACTTTTTTTTTTCCATGAATGTTTTACAGATCAAAGACTGAATGGATTCCATCTTGCATACAAGTAGAGTTCAATTTTTTTTTTTAAAAAGGTAAAAAGGGCAGGGAGTTAGTGACAAGGTCTGATATATGAAGCAGACAAAGTCAATTCCTTCCTGAGAAGTTAGGTAAAGGCTCTGTTGCCTGGCTTAAAAAATGACAATGAAAATTTGGATGGACCTGTCTCTGTTTTCTCTATACAAGCACTAGAATTCTTCACATCCATTATCAATTTGAAAATATCACAAAAGGGGGCTCATTTAGCCAAAAGAACAAATTATATAAGGCTTGTGACCAAAAGGAACAGAAAGTATTGACAGTGGAGGGCTGGCGTAAGGCTAGCCAATAACAAGTTTCAACATATGAAACAATGTGGTATTTTCTGGATCCTAGCAGCAATATTTCAGCGTTCTCAAAAAAAAAAACCCACAAAACAAGCCTCAACTGAAAAGACCAAATGAAAACAGTAAATATGCTTAATATATGTTACTGCCAAAACCCGAACCGCAGGAAGAACTGATAATGGCCGGCCATTATCGACAACGGCTGGTACCGAGCGGCCAAAACCCGAAATGTTGATGCGAAAGAAGTTCCTTTCAGGCAATGGCCGGCTATTCTCATTAATTTCCAAGCTCCGGTGGCAAAAGATCATTTCTGAAGATTGTCTGTGTCTTTGCGTATGTGTAGTACACTCGTGGCGGTCAGTGAACACGTCGTGAATGGAAACGAAACGGTAGGCGCGCTTCTGCGTGTTGCTCACTCAACACCTCCTCCATTCAAACGAAACGTCCCGCGCCTCAGTCAGTTTGGCTTCTAAAACTGGAAAGCAAAAGTAATGGGAAGTAACTTTTAGCTAGCGGAGCTTAGCCATCCCGGATAATGGCCTGCTAAACGGAGCTTCTGCCGCTGCCATGTCTGTATTTCGGGTTTTGGCTGCTCAGTGCCAGCCATTATCAGTTCAGCCCGCAATTTGGGTTTTGGCACGCTCCAGAGTCAACATCACTGAAATAATCAATTTAAAATTGGAGGCAAATTTTGAACTAGCTTACCTCAGTGAGCTCTTCTATTGTGGCTCCTCCTGACTTTTTAGCAACTTTGTCTTCTACTGTTGGTGGAGGTGCAGGTTTTAGGTTTGGCGGTAAAGGAACACCAGCCTTAGCACACATGGCAGCTGCATTAGCTTTGGCTATTTCAAGTAGTTGAGCCTTATCTGTAAGAACAGTAAAAATTTACAAGTAGTGTACTTTTCACATTATACAATCAAAACAGTTTTGTACTCTTCTAAAGATTAACAAGCATCAAGGTTCTTAAAGTTAGTTCTACAGAAATCCATTTCCTATGAGGGAAAATTATACCCACATTTCATATCACTTATTTTTCTCTATCTCTAATTTCCTTCTTCTGTCAACCTAATTCAGAGACCCACAATTTAATTTACTTAGATGGAAAACGCAGCCACACTCGCACACTAGATTGATGTATTATCAGTCAATATTTAAATGCCATGGTCTGTGGCTAAAACTGGAGATAGGATTTTAGCTCTGGTAATGAATGCTCAAAGCAGGCCCGGTTCTCTTAATTTAAATTCACCAATGATACCTAATCTTACTAACACCACATACTAAATTGGCCCAACAAAAATCTTTTTCCTGTAACAAAAGCAAAAACTATATACACAAAAATTATTTAAAAATAGTTGCTGAAGGGACAGCTAGATGGTGCAGTGGATAAAGCACTGGCCCTGGAGTCAGGAGGACCTGAGTTCAAATCTGGCCTCAGACATGTAATACTTCCTGGCTGTGTGACTCTGGGCAAGTCACTTAACCCCAACTGCCTCACTAAAAAAAAAAAAAGTTGTTGAACCTATAGTTTACATGGTATTTGTTAAACGAATGAATGAGAATAAATTTTAAATGGCATTCCAGGTTGCCTTGTGACAATATACATTTAGAATATAAAAAATAAGTACTTTGAGTAAGAAGCTGGAAAAAGATTTTGAGATTTCAACGTGTGTTTTGAAGCATCACAGCCAACTCATCACAACCCTTCTACTCCCCAAGATTTAAATCTGTAATCTCCAAGTTACCCTTTTCCTAATGCATTCCAAAAGATATTTGGTCCCCGGATAAATTCAGCTCAACACTGATTAACCATTTACTACAGTACTAGGAACAAAAAGGTAACAGAATAGACTCTGCTACCCAAGAGTAAATATATTTAAGACTATGGCATAGTGGGGACAGAGGGCCAGCCAGCCTCAGAGTCAAGATGGCCTGGGTTCAATTCCTGCTTAGCTGTCACTGAAACCTCTCAGTGTCCCAAATTCTGAAACTCTTTTCAGATATGCTATTTACAACACTGCTGAAAGCAGCTACCATGTCATATTCAATGACCTAAGACTACAGACAAGCTGACAGTTTGCTTAAGTGGAAGGAGTTTCCATACCAGAAATTCCCCACACAGAAAAGGTCCATACCACCCCCTGCTCTGCTCCAAAACTAAGCTGCATAAAGAGATAAAGGTGCTACAAAACTGTAACTTGATAGACTAGAAAGCAACCATTCAAGTTGATTTTTAGTTTTCTACAATTCCAATCATTTTTTTTTTAATTATAGACTGACTTACCCAAATCCGTTAGACGTTTAGGTGGTGACCTGCCTCTTTCAGAAGATCTGGAACGTTTTCGGCGAATAGGAGATCTACTAAAACGCCTCCTCAAGGGTGTCCGTGATCGCCTTAGCCGAACTGGTGATATGCTAAAGCTTCTTCGTCTTACCACAGATCTAGATCTTCTTCGACGGCTTGGGGTGCGGCTGCGGCGGCTTGGAGTACGGCTGCGGCGGCTAGGGGTGCGGCTGCGGCGGCTAGGGGTGCGGCTACGACGAACAGGAGAAATGCTAAAGCTCCTTCTTCTAACCACAGACCTAGACCTTCTTCGTCGACTAGGAGTATGACTTCTACTGCGACGACTAGGTGTACGACTTCGAGCTCTGGCTACTTTGCGATTATCTCTAGAGCTAGATCTTTTCCTTTTTCTTTCCCTAGATTTGGACCTGTGTTTTGGAGACCTTTTACGTTTCTCTTTTGATAAAGAACGCCTTCCTCTGGACTTTGATCTTGATCTGCTGCTTCTCCTCCTACGTCTTGAACGCGACCGTGACCGTGTTTGGGATCTATGAGACTTAGACTTGGATGATCTCTTCCTTGCTCTTGAACGGGATTCACTTGTGCGTCTACGTGATTTGTGTTCTGAAGATTTAGAGCGCTTACTTCGAGATCTTAATGAAGAATCTCTTTTCCTCTCTTTCTCACCTTTATCACGGCTTTTAGTTTTTTTGCTCTTGTCATGTGTGTCCTTAACTTTCACAAAGATTTCATAATCATCCTTTTCTTCTGATGAAGACTCTGACGCTCTTTCAGGTATGCTAATAACAACAGGGCTGGCAGTAGTTACTATGTCACGTTCAATTCCACTTGTAGACAAAGGTCCCTCTATATCAGTCCTAAGGCTTGTGACACGTTCCATATCCTTGGGAAGTAAAGGTCTCACTAGATCTGCATCATTAAGATCACAAATGCTGGCAGCAAATACAGGCTCAGGTTCAGTATTTTTGGCAGGCAGTGGAGTCTCTTTCTCTGCTTCACTACCACCATCTTTATGGCAGATACCAATGACCGTATCATGTTCACTATCTTTCACAGGTAATGCTTCTTCTTGATCAGTCTTACCAAGTAGATTATTAGCAGACAATACATCATGGTGAATGTCATTAGCAGGCAAAGGCCCCTCAATATCAGCTTCACTACCACCACTAGGACTAGTAGAAATTACCATGTCATGTTCAATCTCTTGAGTAGGTAAAGGTCCCTCCACATCAGCCTTACTTACTGAGCTGATGATAGATGCTGTATAAAGTTCAATTTCCTTAGTAGTTCCCTTTACATCAAGTTCATGAATATGGGAACTGGTGGTAGATACAGTTCCAACTATACTAGCTTCACTAGGGCAGGTGGTCAACACTGTGTTATGATCAGTTTCACTGCCAGGCAAAAATTTCTCCACACCAACTTCACCAACAACAACAGGGCTAGTGGCAAAAACAGTGTTGTGTTCTGTCTCTTTTGCAATTAAAGGACTATTTACATCCAAAAGTATATTTACATGGTGCATGCTTTCATAAGAATGACTCTCCAGTTGCCTTTTTTCATTATTTGCCTCTTCACTCAACTGAATGGACATTTCCTGTATGGTGGTCTGTTGAGAAAGATTAGACTCAATAGATGAGGCTACATCTGTTCTTTTAATAACAGGCTCGGAAATCATGACTGTAGACTCCATCATTGGTGTAGGTTCTGGAACCACTACAGTACCATCAGGCACTGTGGCAGATGGCTCTAAGACTGTGGGTTCTGGTATGGCCACCTCAGTCATGGTTGGCTCTGGGAGTGCTGCAGTCAGCTCTGGGACCAGCATGGCAGACTCCTGAACCACCGCTGTGGCTGGCTCCTGGAACATCACCTCTGCTGTTCCCTGGACCATCACTTCTGTCAGCCCTTGGTCCACCATCTCTGTGGGCCCCTGGACTACCACCTCTGCTGGCCCCTGGACTGCCACCTCTGCCGGCCCCTGGAAAGTCACCTCAGCCAACCCCTGGAAAGTCACCTCTTCTGGCCCCTGGACTGCCACCTCAGCCGGCCCCTGGACTGCCACCTCAGCCGGCCCCTGGACTGCCATATCTGCTGGCCCCTGGACCACCACCTCAACTGACCCCTGGACTGCCATCTCAGCTGGCCCCTGGGCCACCATCTCAGCCAATCCTGGGATTGCCACCTCTGCTGGCTCTGGAATCACTGTCTCTGTTGGTTCTGGGATCGCCACCTCTGTTGTCTCTGGGACCGCCACCTCTGTTGGCTCTGCAACTGCCACCTCTGGGACTGCCATTTCTGAGGGCTCTGGGACTGCCACCTCAGTCAGATACATAATCTGTTCTGAGATAGGCCCAGATGCTAAAATAGGCTCAAAGGTTTCCACTGACTCTGTCACAATAGAAGGTTCAGTAGGTTCTGCAGTTAGTATAGCAGTCTCTGACACTGCATTGGGCCCAGAAGATAGGACAGCCGCCTGTGGCCCTACAATAGCATGTTCTTGTGTCATATGAGACTCTAAAGATGTTGATGTCATAGAAGATTCTGGCTCTGGTGGTGGCTCTGAAATAGTTACAGCAGGCTCTGATGTTAATATTGAGGGCTCTGGAGCTCCTACAGAATAATCGGACATTGTAGACTCTGGAATCTCTGTCTGCATTACAGGATGCTCAGGAGGCAAAGCTGGTTCTTCAGAGAGTAATGCTGTTCCAGCAGTAGCCCATGTATTTTCAACAGGTAATGCTGACTGCTCAACAGGTACTGATGGTCCCTCAGGGGGCTCCTCAGGAGGCAATGGTGGTGTCATGGGGGGCTCCTCTGGTGGCAAAGGTGGCATGGTAGGGGGCTCCTCAGGAGGCAGAGGTGGTACCATATATGCCTCAGTATATGAATCTGTATAGGAATCAGCGTAGGAATCAGCAGTCATAGACATCATTGAGCGGTCAGCAGTATAAGATGACATCATAGAACGGTCAGAATAGGATGACATCATAGAACGGTCAGAATAGGATGACATCATGGAACGGTCAGCACCCATAGACATCATTGACCTCTCAGCCATTGGAGACATCATGGAGCGCTCATAAGCCATCATGGAACGCTCGTAGGCTGACATCATAGAGCGCTCAGCCATGGGAGACATCATAGAGCGCTCATAGGCTGACATCATAGAGCGCTCATAGGCCGACATCATAGAGCGCTCAGCCATTGGTGACATCATAGAACGTTCATAAGACATCATGGAACGTTCAGCAGCATAGGATGACATCATAGAGCGTTCAGCAGCATATGACATCATCATAGAGCGCCTAGATGCTAACATTAGGGGCCTGGGTGCTAATCTATAGGGCCTAGGTGCTATTCTATATGGCCTGGGTGCTATCCTATATGGCCTGGGAGACATTCTATAAGGGTCAGGAGCTAGCCTATAGGGATCATGGCCTAGCCTATAGGGGTCCTGCCCTAATCTGTAAGGGTCATGACCTAACCTGTAAGGGTCGTGACCTAACCTGTAGGGATCCTGGGCTAACCTGTATGGATCTTGGGCTAACCTGTAGGGATCAGGTGACTTGGGACCTAGCATAGAGGACTCTGGTGTACTAGATGCCAACATCTGGGCATCCATGGTGCTGGAGGCTAACATCTGGGAGTCCATGGTGCTGGAGGCTAACATCTGAGAGTCCATGGTGCTGGAGGCTAACATCTGGGAGTCCATGGTGCTAGTTGCTAACATCTGAGAGTCCATGGTGCTAGTTGCTAACATCTGGGAGTCCATGGTGCTAGTTGCTAACATCTGGGAGTCCATGGTGCTAGTTGCTAACATCTGGGAGTCCATGGTGCTAGTTGCTAACATCTGGGAGTCCATGGTCCATGGTGCTAGTGCTAGCTAACATCTGGGAGTCCATGGTGCTAGTTGCTAACATCTGGGAGTCCATGGTGCTAGTTGCTAACATCTGGGAGTCCATGGTGTTGGAAGCTAACATCTGGGAGTCCATGGTGTTGGAAGCTAACATCTGGGAGTCCATGGTGTTGGAAGCTAACATCTGGGAGTCCATGGTGTTGGAAGCTAACATCTGGGAGTCCATGGTGTTGGAAGCTAACATCTGGGAGTCCATGCTGTTGGAAGCTAACATCTGGGAGTCCATGGTATTGGAAGCTAACATCTGGGAGTCCATGGTATTGGAAGATAACATATGGGACTCAGGGGCCATCAGGGGATCCACTGATACTGTTACAGATGTCTCCCCCATTAATGTGGTAGGTAGCTCCTGTGCTACTGTACTGTATGATTCCAGCGCTGTGGTTGAAGGCACCTCCAGGGATTGGGAAACGGTCATCGTTGGCAGATCCGATGTTGTCATCACTGAATGACCTGACATTTCTAGCGCTACAGTTGCCACAGGCTGCCCTGGCAACTCTAGCGCTGCAGCTACTGTGGGTTGCCCTGACAGCTCTGCTGCTACAGGCTGCCCCAGCAACTCCAGTGCCACATTTGCCACAGGCTGCCCTAGTGCCCCAGACTGCCCCGGCAACTCCTGTACCACAGTTGCTGAGGGCTGCCCTGGCAACTCTGACACCCCGGTCACCGAAGGCAGCCCCCGCAACTCTGGCACCTCAGGCTGCCCAGGCAACTCTGGTGCTGTTGTAGCCACAGGCTGCCCAGGCAACCCTGCTGCTGTCATCACCTCAGGTTGCCCCGGCAACTCCAGCGCTGGCATCACTGTAGGCTGCTCCGGCTCTGTTGTCATCACAGGTGGTTCTGCCAATTCCAAAGCCACAGTCGCCACAGGCTGCCCAGGCAACTCTGATGCTGTTGTCACCACAGGCAGCCCAGGCAACTCTTGCGGCATTTCCAGCGCCATCGTGGGTTGCCTTGGCACCTCCTGAGGCAACTCTGACACCATCGATGGTGCTGGAAGCCCAGGCAAATCCTGTGACAACTCAAGCACTGGTGTTGCTGAGGGCCCCGGCAACTCTGGTACACGTACCAGTGTCACAGGGGGCCCCGGCAACTCTGGCACCAGTGTCCCGGGGGGCCCCGGCAACTCCGGAACCTGCACCGGTGTTGCAGGGGGCCCCCGAAACTCAAGTACCGATGCCACAGGGGACCCTGGCACCTCCAGAATCGGCACCTCTGGCACCGGAATCACAGGGGGGCCCGGCACCTCTGGCATCGATGTCATGGAGGGCCCTGGCAGCTCCGTCACCGACATCACAGGGGGCCTGGCAGCTCCGGCACTGACGTCACGGGGGTCCCTGGCAGCTCCGGCAATGACGTCGCAGGGGTTCTCAGCAGCTCCGGCACTGATGTCACAGGAGGCCCTGGGAACTCTGGCACTGGTGTTGTGGGGGGTCCTGGTAACTCCAGCACTGGTGTTGTGGGGGGCCCAGGCATCTCTGGCATTGAGACTGCAGGTGGTTTGGGCAACTCTAACACGGTAGTTGTAGGAGGCTCCACAGACAACAATGGTATTGTTGTAGATTGCTCAGGCACCCTCAAAACTTCAGTTACAGATGACTCTGGCAACTCTAAAGCTGTCATCGAGCTTGACCTAGGATGGACCTCTGCAGGTGTCTCTGATGCTGTCACCACACAAGTTTCTGATAACTCTAGCAGTTTTGATGCTGGAGGCTCAAGCAATGTGATCTTTGACTGCTCTGAAGATGGAATCTCCAAATGCTTCGGCATAGATCTTGCACTGTATTCAGATGATACTGTCACATGTGCCTCAGATGACTTCAGCACTACTGTTGTAGTAGGCACTGGCATCACTGCAGGAGATTCCAATGTCTGTTTCACAGATGATTCCAGTGTTACTGCCACAGAAGATTCTGGTCGATCTAACGTGAAGGGGTCTGGGACTAATGCTGCATGTAGTTCTGATAGTTCCCCAACTGAAGCTGGCTTCAGTGCTACTAAAGTATGTGGTTCTGATACCTCTACTGCCATTGTAGGAGGTTCCAGAGCAACTGCAGGGGATTCATTCAGTCCCAATGTCATTGTTGGTGACTTCAGCATTACTGCAGGGGGCTTAGGCAGCCCAAGTGCTCTGACAGGGTGTTCCAGCCCCATCACTGAGGGCTCTGAATCAAACTTCAAATAGGAATCAGACTCTAACCCTATATTCCCACCATGATGAGATTTCAGCTTTGACTCAGATTCTTCTGACTGTCTCTTGTATTTTTTCTCTTTCTCTTTCTCTTTCTTCTTTTTCTTCTTTTTATTTTTGTGTTTTTTATGTTTCTTTGATTTTTTGGTGGGAATTTCATCAGTAGGGTCTGTCTGTACAGATACACATCTACTTTTTCTGGAAGCCTCCTTTAAATCTAAAATAAAAAGAAATGACATTAAATTTTTCAGATCACTCTCAACAGTAAGGTTTAAATAAATGTTACAAAATTTAAATTTACATATCAAACTATAAAGAATTTTTTTCTTAAATACTTAAAGGCACAATAGAAAAGTCAACATTTCCTCAAGTCAATCTGTCTGAAAACTCTCCATTGTGAACTTCTTCAATAACACTCCCACCAATATTTAAAATATAAAGCAGACCTCAGAGTTTGCCACAAAATACATGTCCATTCACCAATTATTTTAATGTTACCACTTATATGTTAATCCACATTTTTCCTACTTATACTTTAAAAGCTACAAAGAGAAAATACTAATATTTAGAAAAGGATCATCCACATTGTATTAGCTTTATTTCCTTCTAACAATGCATATCCACACAGAATTACTTTTATAATGCTTATCTATTATGTCTATACATACATTAGGTCTGATCATCAACAAAAGCCTGAGATGATTCAAAAATTAATACCAAGAAAAGTAAAGCTTTCAACATTCCGCATAAATTAAGACCTTAATAAAATTATACTCTTTAATACTAGAAAGACCAGGAACATAAAATGACACAAAATTAAAATAATAAAAACATGGTTATCCTACTATCTCTATTTCTTTTGCCTTATGGATTAAAAAACAAAAACAGTCAATTGACACATGTCGATCTTCAGAGATATTCTTATATTCCTGTCCTTCCAGTGTTAAAACACATTCTAAAATTAACAAGTAATTTTTCAAAGAGAAATATCCCAAAAATGGCTTTCAGAGGGAGAAACTTCATAATCTTTAATGTTTAATTCAATAAAATTCATATTCAATTAAGTACTAAAAGCAGGAAATTTTATTGCACTAATAAGCAAGTGGGTTACACTACTTTGTACTGCCACAAACACATGCATGATCTTATCAAAATGTACAGGCTAGAAAAGAACACACAGAAAGATCTCAAACAGAAGTCAGACTGTGCTAAGACCTATGCAAAAACAAAATCTATTAAGGTTGTTTTTTCTTTTTAATTCCAAGTATAATTAAGATTTGCCTAACTCAGATGTAAAATTATTTTACTTTAATTTCTTTATGTTATTATTCCTATCCTAAATCCTAATTATCTGTTGCTTTATCCTTAAAAAGGTAATTTTTTAAAATGGCTTAGATTCTTGAAAAGATTCATGAATTGAATGTTTTAATTCATATCCTAAAAATAATTCAGTATAGGTCAGTCATAAGACTGATATAAGATAGGTCCTCAGCAGTAAAGTTGATTTTATGCTTCCCTGACTACCTCTTAATGAGAAGCAACTGGTGTTGTCAGTTATATTAAATTTTTAAAACACACTCTAGAAATAACCTACTTTCCATCTTTTCTCTTTGTCTCCGCCAGGCAACACACACTTATATGATAATAATATGATATAACATAATGTTCAAATTGTTTAAACTACCTGTGCCTCAGGTTTTTCATCTCTAAAACATGAGGATCTGATATAGGATTCCAGCTATAAATCCTACCATCCTAGTATTAACTGGTGTCATCAACATACCCATTATGAAATTCAGAATCATGACACCAAGGAACTACAAGACCACAAATGAAAAAAAAATTCAGTTTCAGTTAGTATAAATGAAAACATACAACCTTGTTAGATTTTTCTGGAAAGTCTGCTTTTAAAAAATAGATTTCTTTTCAATTAATCAGAAAATTTAATTAATCTAACAAATGAGTATAGCAAAGGTTTCCTGCATTAGGAAATATGCTCAAAGACAGTGCTTTCTAAAGACCACTTAAGCTTCCCTTGAGATTTCTAGGGAAGGATAATCCCTGACACAGATAATCTCTTTTATTTTACCTGGTTTATATCGCAATTCTGTGTCTAGGACCCCAGACAGCACTTCTTCTATCTTCTGCACTATTTCTTCATTTGGTAGGCTCCTTGCACAGGCAGCTGCATCACCTGACTGGTTTCCTTCTACAGGTGGATTTGTTTCACCATTCAGCTGGCCTTCAACCCTGCCACTGATTTAAAAAACAAAACAGCAAAATTCATTAACACTATGAGTATCAATATACAATAAACCAGCACAAAATAACAACCTATCAATAATTTGTCAATTTCAGTGACTTTATTATCACACCAGATTATATAAGATACATACATTGTCATCTTTTGTGGTTTTTGTAAACATATTCTTTAACCTTTATAAAAACTCTTCCTCAAATTTTATTAACTTCTAATTTACTTCCAACTAATTTAAATTCTAATTTTATAGTATCACATTACCACAATTTTACAATTGTGCAAATCAAGTAAAATCCTCCAAAACAAAAGTTTTCTGAGCTCATCTGTTTCAAAAACCTCAGAAATCTAAGTAGAGGCTTTTGGTTACTTATAATTGGCAAAAATGAAAAAAAAATCCCATAAAAATACAAAAAAAGTATAGCCTAACATACACTAGGAGCATATGGGTATAAAGAAAGGGGAAAAAAAATCAGTATTTTTAGCCAATCTGTTTACACAGATATTACTATCAGCATAAGGAAGACATACAAAAGTTAGCAAAATGTATGCAAGGTAAAAATAAATCACATACTGTCAAGTTCAATAAAACTTCCATAAACGTGTAGAAAAACATTCAGGACAACCTCTTGTATACAAAAATGGCACAAGATTAAAATAAACCAATTAAATAATGAGAATTCATTATACTTTAACCCATACCACTGTACACATAAAAAAAGAACTGGTTTAAGTTTACACTTTCAGAATACAATTAAAATATCTGTAATATTCCCTGTTTAAATCCGAACAATTTTCCAGGCTAGTTATGATTGTGTTCATTTGTTTGTAATGTGCCAAAGAACGAACCTAAGTATAAGTTCTTCCAATTCACATTTGAAAGCATTTTAAAGAATATTTACTACAATTCTGATTCTATTCCTTTCAATCAAAATAGATCTGACCCATCAGATCAAATTACGTGACCAAAAAACTAAATCTCAAAAACAAATTTTTAATTACAATGGGAAATATAACCAAGAAAGCACACTGAAACTACCACAAAAAAACTGCTATAATACTAATACAACTAATTTTGGCTAATTTAACAATGACGTTAACAAAACATAACCCAAAATCTAGTCATATCTGGTTTAGAATTACATTAAGACAAGGAGACACAAAAACATATCACAAGAGGGGGAGAGGTGTGAAAGAGGGTAACTAATGTTCAATAATTATGTTTTGCTTGGACTAATATTAAAATTGGCTTAGGTTTCCTCTAAGCACACCTTTAATGCTGAAAGTGTTTCGTGGTCCAGAAACTTGCTATGCATGATCAACAAAGTGGACAATCTACAAGCAGTCAATTGACTGTAATCAAATGAAATAGAATTACACTACACAAATTAACACCTTATGCAATTAAATCTCAGGAATAAGCCTCATTTGAAAATTACTTATTCACTCATATAACCAATACCTTGGCATCACCACACGTTTCCCCTCTCCCGCCCCTCAACACAATCCGGCCCACTGCTCAGTACATGAGAATTAAGAATTTAATTTGGCTATTTAATTTACTCTTGGAGATTCAGTTAAGACTACATTGTGACCAACAAACAGACGTGACCAAGATGCTGGAGTTTAAAGATAACGAATAGCCACAAAGTGAAACTGTAACAAATATTTAAATTTCGGGGATTCTTGTTTCTATCTTCTTACTTATAAAGGTCCATGTAAGGTATACAAGGCAGAAACACTAATTGAAAACCACTCAAAAGCAGTACCTCCTAGCTATTTTCCTTTCTGTCTAAACAGATTTTTTTTTTATTTTTGCAAATTTCCTTTCTCCCCATTTTTGGTGGGGAAAATGAGAACATAAAGGACAACAGTGGTTTGGGGACACTGCCTTAGTCAAACTCAACTTTCCTTGTAATTTCAAGCCGGGATAGTAGAAAAACTGAAATTCAAAAGATACGTCCTCTACTCCCAACCCACACACACCCCAACAATTTCAACCATCCCCCCTTCAAACCCTGAGTAGCTAACCGACAACAAACTGCACAAATTTGAACAGCTTCCAACTCTTTTAAAAACAGGTGGAGAGAGCAAAGGAGGAACCAAAAGCCTGGATAATTCACAAACTGTCGGACCTTGAATAATCGAAATCTAGCAAGAATGAAATTTTAGGATTATGTTATAAAAACACCGTTATACACTCTTTCCGGGGTAGGGACAGAATGGTGAAATCTCCAGAGATGAAGGCGGGGGATGGGGTGGGGGGGAGGGGAAACGAGGAGGAGGAGGAAGAAGAAGAGGAGGAGGAACCTAGGCCCATCCCAAGGTGGACAACGGGGCCTGGAAGACGAAAGGGAGGGAGGTTACTCGAAGAGAAAGAGAAGTCTACGAACGCGGCCCGTAGGTCGGGGGTTGGTGGGGGCGGGGGGAGGAGGAGAGCGCCACGGAGCGAGAGACGAAAGCCCTCGCGCGCGAGGAGAGAGAGGAAGGAAGGTAGGAGATGGGGGAGGGGGCGGGGGCCAGGAAATAGATCCTAGGCCCGGGCGAGGCTCCTGCAGGGCCTAGGCCAAAGGACGATGGCGGCTTCGGGGATATCGCGGCGGAACACTGTATCGGTCCCAGTGGTCAGCTGAAGGCAGATGCGCCTGGGGACACGTTACCTGGAAAGCTCTTGCTGAATTTCCCGGAATTTACTGACCACGAAGGACCTGAAGATCTGCTCGATGTTTGTCGCCATGGCGGCCGCTCCGTTCTCTCAACTCCTCCTCCCAAGACCTCCAGGCTCCCAGCATGCGTCGGGAGTAGGCGCTACGGCCGGTTCCTTATCTTTCTTTCCTCATTGGCTCTTGCCGGTGCTCCGGGGAAGGCACGCTCTTCCACTGGACCAATCAGCGGGCACGTATTAGCTTTCTCGGGACGTTCTTGCGAGACGAGGGAGGAGCCGTTGACGTAAGCTCCAAGCTCGGGGCTGCGGCGGCCATGTTAGAGCCTGACGCAGGCGCCATTACAGGGCCAGTATCTGCGGGTGAGTCCCGCCAACGTGAGCTGCTTAGTCCCCCGCGTTCGGGGCGGGAGGTGGGCTTGTACTTATGCGGGTTGGGTTGATTCAAGGGCATAACTGTCCAGATAGGAGCCTGGCGGCGAAGTGAGAAGTAGCCAGTTTCCCCGCGGAGCCCGCGCACGCCTGAGGGGGGCGCCAAGTCCGGCTTCATTGCCGTCCCGGGGATGGACCCGCCTCTTCGTCGCCTTCCTCCCAATACTAGTGCAGTCCTGTGACCCTGGAAAATACAGCCTTTCCTTTCCTCCGCCCCCGGCCCCTCCCCCGCCCCCAAGTCTGAGTGCACCTCGATTTCTGAGCCCCAGGCTGCACGGTAGCTGTGGCTGCTGAGCATCCCCGGCTGCTCCGGGAGCCTGCAGACCCCGCGTCGAGGCGGAGTTCTGCGGCGGGAAACCGCGCGTCCATCGCCACCTCGCGAAATAACCAGCCGGCCCCGGCCGGGCGCCCCTCCAAGGGACAAACTATTTGCGGGTCCTCGGCCGCGCGTGAGGTACAAGACTGAAGGGCAGGGCGGCGGTGGTGGGGGTGCAGAGTGGGGGGGTCATTACGCAACACGTGTGAACAGGGTTCCCGGGGTCTGGGGTCGAACGCATAGGGTTGGAATCTGTAAGCCCAGAAAGGGGCGCCTGGTGGGCCGTCCGGCTGCGTGTTCCCGAGGAGGAGGAGGCCGAGGCCGCCGCAGGGGAGGGGGGTGATTTTTGTGTCCCCAGGCTTTGCCAGTCGCTGGGAATGTGACCACTGGGACGCCTGATTGCGGATCGAGGAAAATAAAAGCGCCCAAGACTGGAAGATTCCTGAACTTAACAATTTCCTTTCCGCCCCTCACAGACTTCCGCGGAGCGAAGGACCTTGGGGTTTGTTCCTTTTGGCGGGTCTTGACACTTGTTCCTAGCAAGTAGGTATGGGGGAGCATTTGCATTTGTGTTTTTGTGTGTGTTTACACATACCGCGGCCCTTCCTCATTTAAGTTAGATTTCCGTAACTTTTGATTTGTTAGCAAGAGGAGAGTGAAAACTGTTACAATTGTAATTTATCTTGGGTAGAATTTCTGTTTTCTAATTCTGTGGGTTGGCCATGTGCATTTTGCTCCATCCTGTGACTGATGGTGCATTTTTCTTCATATGTACTTAAGATAGAATTCATTTTGGTTTTTAATCCTGTGGGGTTGGCCACGTGCTTTTTCCTTAAGCCTGCTACTGAGGGAGAAGTTTTTTTTTCTTGATAATGCACTTCAAATAGAATTAATTTCTTTTTTTAATCCTGCGAGATTGGCCAAGTGCTTTTTTTCTTAACCCTGTGACTAATGAAATAGTTTTTTTCCCCCTTGATATGTATTTCAAATAGAATTCATTTAATTTTTTAATACAGTGGGGTTTACCACGTGCTTTTTCCTTAACACTGTGACTGAGGAGTGTTTTTCTTGAAATGTCTTTCGGGTAGAAAGCATTGGTTCTTTTGATCCTATGGCCATGTGCTTTTGGTTATACCATGTGCCCAATGGAGGCTTGTTTCCCTAGTCTTTTACCACTTGTTTTTTAACATCTACAAGTGGCAGTGTTTAGGATCTTGATTTTTAATTAAAATGTTCCTGCTCATGGTTTTGGTTTTGAATTTCTGATAAGCTGCATTTTTCCATCCAGGTTTGATCACTTTTCTAGCCTGTTGAAATGGTTTTGGTTTTTGGTTTGGGTTTTTTCCCCCCATCTTTTAAAAAAATTAAGAATTGATCAGTTCCTTAATTTAATTTGGTTTTTCCACATAGTCTGAAATGTTTTCATTTGGTGCTTTTGCTCTCGAATAACGCAAGTTGGGAATTTTGAAAGTAGCCTTTATTTCTGCTTTATACTATTTAGTAATTCAGTGGACTGCGAGTCATCCTTGTAAACTGAACAATACTGTATCTTGTCTAAGAAAAGAGGTAGATTTACCTGTTTTAAAGATTAGGTTAAAGGTAAAGATTAGAGATTAGAGAACTGAGAATTGTGCAGGTTTAGATGGCAAGTAAAGTTTTGCCTAGGGGCACCCTCCTAAATGAATAGGGTTGAATTTGAACTTGGGTCTTCCTGACCCCCTGCCTTCCAGATCCAATATTCTTGTCTACTGAGCCATTTAGCTGCCCCTGGGTACTAGTTAGCATATCTAATTAGTTGCCAAGTCCTATCAATTCTACCCTACCACCTCTTCACTCATACCACAACTACTTTATTTTAGGTCCTTATTTGCTTAGACTCCTACAAATAGTCTCCAGATGGGTCTGATTGATATTCCTGAACCATAGGTTTGCCCTTGTCATTCCTCTGCTCTACAGTCTTTACTCCCTGTAACAACTTGGCCTAGAGCCAAATCCTGCCAGCCCCTTGTTTTTTATGACTCCTGAGTTAAGAATAGTTTTTGGCTTCTTTTATTTTTAAATGTAAACACCATTCTTAGCTCCCAGAAAGGGATGACCTCTTGCCTGTAGGATAAAATACAAACTGATTTCACAAGCTCCATGTTTCAATCAGATCAGCCTTTTTGCTGTTTCCTGCATATAGCATACAGTCTCTTCTCTTTCCTTCTGCTTCCCATGTCTTAGCACATGCTTTACCCCATATCTGGTATGTCCTCCCTCTCTACTTCTACTTTGTGTATCCTCCAGTTGCATTCATAACTCATTTTAAGTGCTGTGTTCTTTAGGAAACTTTTTTCTGATTTTCCAAATTGTTAGATTCCCCTCATCCTGGAGTGATTTTGTATTATTTTTGTATATGTTCTGTATTTTTCTATAAACATTTTATATTCCCCTCCTTCCCCAGAGGCAGGTAGAGCTAGGTGGTAAAGTGAGTAGAGCAGTAGGCCTGGAGTCAGGAAGACCTGAGTTCAAATATGACTGGACATTTAATAGCGATGCGACATTGGAGAAGTCACTTAAACTGTCTATAGCATTCACTTTGTTGTAGTTTGTCCTTTGTTCTCAAAGAGGACCACCATATCTGGAAGGTGATGTCATGACTTGCAAATGAATTGGATTTAAGTGAGAGTGGGCTATGGAAAGTCATCAGCCTCACTCTCCTCCAGAGCCATTTGGGTTCTGAGGCAAGATATACATCGGGATGACTGGAGAAGGCCCTAGTGCTGTTTTCAATGGGTGGGGAGACCTTAGCCTTTTAAAGTTAAGGTCCTTCCCAGGTTTCAGTTTATCTGAGGCAACACTCATTCATTAATTAAGGCTAGGTAAGAAGAAATGAGGCAAAGAATAAGCTCTTTTATCTAGTCAAAAAAATTAATCTGGAAATGGAAGACCTTCAGGATTTCTAGGCAAAACAGAAATAATTGCTGTTTATACCCACTCTGAAACATTAGGGCCCAAACAGTAACCAAATGTGGCTGGGGCTGGTACCTGTTGGCCAATCAATGAGAGTTGGAGTGATTTGGGTTTAAGGCATGGTCTTTAAAAAAGAAATCTAGCCGGTAAACCCCAGGATGTTTTGTAAGGTTTCAGCAATCAAAATTTATATTCCTTTGGGCAGAGCACCTGTGGGTAGGGGTGTGATGCCCTGTGTGGACAGAGGGAGAAAGGGAAGGAAAGAACTTTCACATTAATGAGAAAATGAAGAGACAGAGAGAAGTAAGATAACCAAGAAAAATTATGCAGCTTTTCACTTTTGACCATCATTTCCTGCTAGATAGCCAGAAGAAGAAAGACTAGTAGGAAAATGGTAGTCAATGGTTGACAAGCCGAAAAAAAGTAAAGCAAGATGACTGGACCCGTTGGACTTGGTGAGCAGAAGGACTTTAGTAATCTTAGAGAAGTTTGAAAAGGGTGACAAGGATAAAAGTCTAGTTGTACGGTGCTGAGAAAAATTGGTAGAGAGGAGGTGAAAATGCCAGATCTTAGTAATGTTGTGGTCATGTGAGATACTGAGATTTAAGATGACTAAAGTGGGGAGAACTTGGTCATGGTTGTTGATGAATCATGTGGTCAGATTGTTAGGAGGATTCATTAACATGAATACTGAAATCCCTGGGGGAAATAGGAGAGTTGAGTTACAGAAGGCAGGAAGAACAGTTAGAAAGAAACCAATTCTAGTCCAAATGTATGTTAATGTGGGCCTAAATTAACATTAGTGGTAATGAGAATGGAAAGGAAGACGTCATAAGTGTAGGATGGTCTAGACTGAGCAACTAAGTAAGGGAGGAGGAATCAATGATGCCTGAAGTTTCTTGACTGGAGAATTGTGGCATTTTTTTAACTTAGTTATACAGACAGCAGGAAGAACTAATTCGGAGTGGGGAAAGGAAGAAGAGAGAAAAAATAGTTTGATTTTGAACATAATGGTCAAAAGTGACAAGTTACTAGAAGTATTGGTGGGCCATCTAAAGGAATATGTCCAGCAGACGATTTGAAATGTGACCACAGTCTCACATTTCCAAATGCATGCTAGGCATATCTACTTGGACACCTGACTAGCTCCTCAGGCTCAACATATCTAAAACTGAACTCATTCCTCTCTCTTCCAGCCTCCAAAAAAAAAGTTGTCCCTTCTAAGTAACTGAAATTCTCTTAGTTGTCCTAAAATTTCACTGTCCTATTTTACTTTCCTCTTCCAGTTATTTGCAAAGTCCTGTCCATTCTGCCTCCAAAAAATGCCTCCTGATTGCATCTTTTCTTCCTATCCACTCTAGTGCCCCCTAGTCTAAACTCTTATTACCTCTCAAATGTATTACAGTAAAAAGTTTCCTAACCTGCTCTCTTGAATCAGCCCTTCTTAATGCTGTCATTGTAATTATCCTGGTGCACAAATCTAATCAGGTCACATTCCCCTACTCAGAAACTTTCTGTGATTTCCCATTGCTTGCAGGATAAAATGCTGTATTCTTACCATGCTATTCAGTGTCCTCCTCAAGTCAGCTTCCAATCCTGCCTCTCAGTTTGTTGAATTCCTTGCTTTCAAGACCTAATTCGTGTACCACATACTCCTTGAGGTCTGCCCAGATTCCTCCTAGCCAGAGAAAATTGCCTTCCTCTCTGACATTTTCTATATGTTTTTCTCATTCTAATTATACTAGTCCTCCTGTCTCTTTGCCCTACTATATTTCACTTGAGACCAGCAACTGAAATTCTTAACATAACTTAACATATCTCTTTCATACAGTGGTTGCTTAAATATTGAACCATTGTTGAAGGAAGAATGAGACCAGAAGAGCTGACTGGGGAATAAGTTGTGTAGAGGTGATAGTTGGAAACATATGGGAGTAGTTAAAATTGGGGAAGGAGGAAAAAAAACAAAAAAGAATAAAGAGCCTGATGATAGAACCTCAAGGAGTAAATTTAGGAGGGAGGAAGGAAGAAAGAAAAGGGACTCTTCAAAGGAAGGGTCATAAAAACGAAAGAGTTAAGTTACTGCTACATTTTTTAAAAAGCCAGAAGCCAATGAAAAGAATTTTTCAAAAAGGAGAGAGAATGATCAACTCTGTCAAGTGCTGGCCAAGACTTAGGAGAACAATAAGGAGTGAGGAAATGAGTGGATTTGAGTTGTTGTTTTGTTTTTTTTAATTTGGCTGAACTTGATTCTCCTGGCACTGTTTCTCAATTTCTTTTCCTTTTCTTTTTTTATCTGTACGCAGCAGACAAATTAATGGCAGTGCGAGTGCTTGTAATTGGCAGTGGGGGAAGGGAACACACACTAGCTTGGAAACTTGCTCAGTCTCGGCATGTCAGCCAGGTGATAGTTGCTCCAGGAAATGCAGGAACAGCCAACAGTGGGAAGATTTCAAATTCAGGTAAAGACATTTTGATTTATAGAATGTTTGATCTAAAGGGGACCATAGAAGTCATCTAACTCAGTTTTATCAATTTATAGATAAGCAAACTAAACATTAAGTAACAAGTCTAGTTATTTTATGTTGATTATCAGTAGCTCTGGTTTTTCTGTTATTTTATTTGTCTTAGTCATGGGGGGGGGGGTGGAGTGCTTTCCCCTCTCCTTAATAGGAAGGTATGAATCATTTTGCCAGAAGTGTAAGATGTACTGTTCTGTTTATAACTCTATCTTAGGGAATCATTTTATGCCTGCATAGTGCTTTAAAGTTTGTACAAAATTTTATGTACATCTTCTCATTTGGTTTTTACAATAACCTTGTAAGGTAGATGCTCTTAATTTCCCCATTTTGCAAGTGAGGAAATTAAGGCTAAAAGTAATTTGCCCAGACCCACAATTAGTGTCTGAGGTACAATTTGAATCCAAGTTTTTCCCACTCCAATCCCATCACTATGTGTTATGATACGTGATTCAGAATGGATTAGATAGCATTCCATAACAACCAAAAGTTTTGTCAAACTATTCTATATATCTTACATAGTTTTAACTAACAAAACTAACAGTAATATTAATAGCTAACATAGAGCTGTGGTTTGCAAAGTGCTTTATGAACATTATCTCATTTGGGATTATAGATAGGAAACATTATCCTGGGGCTTATGTTTTGAAATGGATTTTGAATGTTCCTGATTAATATCTCTGCAAAATTCTATTTGAATGGTGATTTGTTCTTAAACTTGCAAAGGAAGATTCATTTTTGAATGAACTTAAGATAGCAAAGGTATTTAAAGTGGAATCTTATTGCTATATACATAAGAAATGCATACTTATTAATGAAAGTTTTGTCTGCATAAACTAAATTTTTTAAGCAAGTGTATTTTAAAATGATACATTAATGCACATAGGTGTTGTGCATAAATGCAGTGCTCAGCAGCTTTAGAATACTGGTGTCCTAGAAATCAGCTATTACATCTTTCCACTGTGTTTTTTCAACTTTTAAGAGATTATTAAAATTTAACGTGTAATTATTTGGACTTAGCTATGAAATAATTGTTATTTTTTCTTATCTTTACAGCTGTGTCAGTCAGTCATCATACTGCCCTCGCTCAGTTCTGCAAAGATCAGAAAATTGAACTTGTAGTTGTTGGACCAGAGGCTCCTCTTGCTGCTGGTAAAGTTGGAAAAAATCCAGTTAGCTTTTATAAGATTAGCTTTATGGAAGAGAGTATTTAATCATAGAATTTTAGGGTTAAATACTACGTCAAAGATAAACTAACCCAACTTTATTTATACTAAAGTTCTTTAAAACTTGCTATTGAATAGTTTTAAAAAATTTTACCTCAGATCCTGAGTAAGATTTAAAATCAAACAACAAAAAATATTCACTAAATAGTGATAATTTCTGTAATTTTTCAATATACAGACTACTTAGTTGACTTTCAAAATACAAAAAGAAATTGCTGTGTAAGAAAGCCTTGCTAATATTAGAATCCCATTTGTTTATACAAATTAAATAGATTGAATGCAAATAAGAAATTGTTTTTGCTGTACTTAAGAAATATTACTAACAATTTCTATTTGATATCAATAAGAAATAAATAACAATTCACATTTTCTGTGTCCCCAATCATTTCCAACCTAATCTCTTTTCAGCTGAGACTTGAAATAAGTCCAGAACATGTTTTACTATTTACTTCCAATGAAAACGGAGTCATTGATATGCAAAGATTTGGGTCTATTTGGTAATCTGTTTAGATTGGATATACCTAAAATCAGAGTTAGCTTTTCTCAGAATCACTCAAAACCAGCTTCATCATGACAACATCCTGTTTTCTGGCAATCTAGTCTCTATTGACAGAGCACAGTATTAATGAGAATTGGGTACGTCGGTGGACATGGCAGAAATGAACTGTAATAAGGCAAAATATACTCAGACATTTTTATTTATAGGAATTGTTGGGGATCTAACATCTGCAGGAGTGAGGTGTTTTGGTCCCACAGCAAAAGCAGCTCAGTTAGAGTCCAGCAAAAAATTTGCCAAGGATTTTATGGACCGACATGGAATCCCAACTGCAAAGTGGAAGGCTTTCACCAACCCTGAAGAAGCCTGCAACTTTGTTATGAGGTAGAATGCTGTCTATAAATAATAATTGTTTTGTATCTGTGTTTAAGTTTTGCTAAACCCATGCTTGCTCACGATCCTGTGCTGCTTTCACTGTAATAAAGAACAAAGACACAGTTCTTGTCGTCATTTATCTTTATATGTACATATTTGTGTAAATACATTTACTCATACTCATGTAAGCACATATATATATTTATATTCTTATATGTATACATATATATTGAAGTAGGGTGATTTTCTACCAACCTCCCACCCCCAAGAAAAGAAGAGAATGATACGTTACCACTGGCTTCTTTCACTGCCACCTACAACACCTCACTTTCTACCATCTATCCTTTAAAAACCCTTACTTAATTCTGCCATAACCTCTAGCTAGCATCCTATATCTTTTACTTTCACAGGCTAACTGTTAGAAAATTTCATCCATATTCATTGCCTCAGCTTACTCAGCTTCCCATTCAGTTCTCAGACCCTTGAATTCTGACTTCTGACTCCACTGCTGAAAAGAAATTACTCTCTCCAAGGCTACTCACAGCCTCTTAACTTTTTTCCTACTCCTCATCTTCCTAGACTTCTCTTTAGCCTTTGACATCAATCAAAGATGTTCCTTCAAGGTTTTCCTTGCATTAGATTGTAAATTCCTCCATTAGAATGTGAACTCCTTGAAGGAAAGGATTGTTTTTGCCTCTTTTTAGATCCCTAGCTTTTAGGACAGTGCCTTTCAGATAGTAGGTACTTAATAAATGTTTATTGACTGACTTATCTGTCCTTTCTCAAGTTTTCTTTGCTGTATCATCATGCATTTCCAGCCTCCCTTAACATGTGGAATTAAAGGTAAACGTGCTAGTTCAACCAAAAATATCACATGGCAAGAATTTTTTCCTCCTTCAGATTATTTATGCTTTTTATCATAATTATTATTAAAAAAGACATCTTGTCTTCCAAACACCACTCAACATCAAATTTTCTCTTGTAACAAAGAAAAATAATTAAGCAAAAGCATCTGCTATAGCTAGTAGTCCCCAGGAGGTATGTTTTCATTATTTATTTCCACTACCATCATTAGTTTTGCAGTTACTTGGAGTATAATTTCTTTCTAGTGGTCCTTTATAGTTATAGCCATTATGTATGATTATTTGTTTGCTTGTGCTTATTTCATTCTGCAGTGCTTCTTATACATCTTCCTATAATTCTCAGAAATGTTCATGTTCCCACTAAAAAATAAAAATCAGCTTTGCTGAGGATCAGCACTAAGAAAGAACCAATTCTATAGTGCTCTTAATTTCAGAAATGCAGAAATTTGTACAGCAAAGGTTTTATTAGATATTCAAGACAATTTCTGTTTCTTTGCAGTGCAGATTTTCCTGCTTTGGTTATAAAGGCCAGTGGTCTAGCTGCTGGAAAAGGAGTAATTGTGGCTAGTAACAAAGAAGAGGCCTGCAAAGCAATTCAAGATATAATGCAGGTGGGATGAAGAGACTTTGGAGTTTTCTATTCTATTCAATTTCTATTCCATTCAGTCCATTCTATGAATGGACTACTGGAACATCATGTATAAATATTAATTTTCTCATTAACAGACATTGGTCATATAAATACTTATATCATAATATTCCACTTAGTAAGTGCTCCAAAAATTCTATTATAATATGTTGAAAACATTCCTAATTCTCATTGTACTGGAAATAACAAACATAAAGAAACCTAAATCATGACTCTCACTGTTAAGTTGACTTCAACTATTGCTGCCCAAGTACAAAAGGAAGGAAAAAAATTTTCTGGGTCATGCCTAAATAATTATCTTCCCATTTTATTACCAATTGAGATAATATAGAATGATCAGAATTTTGTTTTTTGAGAGTTTCCCACAACTTTTTATGCTTTTCTTTTTAAAAATATTTAATTGAAGCCTTCTATTGGTACAATACCTTGATTTAAAAATATTTCATTCCTTCCCTATGTGGTTGCCATCTCTTCAACAAAGACTTCTAAAGGAAAGAAAGAAGGAGCAATTCATAACTTTTTTATTTTTTTTACATCACTATCACTTCCTTATCCTCATTCTACCTCCTTTATATTAAATAAGTATAATCAAGCAAAATAAATCAACACATTGTCCATGAATGGCAGTGTGTGTCTCATTCTATACCTCTCGTACACCATCTCCTTGATAAAAAGCTGGAAACATGTTTCACCATTAGCCTTCTAAAGTATTTCAGTGTTGTTTTACTTTATGTTGTCATTAATTGGTTCTGTTTATTTCATCGATTCATATGTATCTTCCCAAATTTCTCAGCATACCTGATTTCTTATGATCCAATAATATTCCATTACATTCTTTTGTACCAGTTTGTTCAGCAATTAACCATTTGGTGAACTCTCACTTTGTTACTAAATCTTTGGTGCTACAAAAAAAAGTACTTAAATATTTTTATGAAAATGAGTCCTTTCCCCCCACTGCCTTTAACTGACCTCCTTAGTTTCATGTGGGATATCTGTCTGCCATAACTCTTAAGCCCTCTTCTTTTCTTGAGTTTTGGACCATGGGTTCAAACCTATCAGAAGAAAATATAAGGCCTAGGGTATGTAGTAGTAGCCTAAGAATCCTAGACTCAGAGGAAAATTTGGATGTATTTCACTCTTATAAAATGATGAGATTCTAGTTTACGGGGACAAGTGTGACAAACGTTCTTTCCAGTTATACTAATGGGAATAGAATGATTGATTAGTCCCTACTCACCTTTGAGATCTGCACCATAGTGAAATACTGTGATCCTATTACAAAAACACCGCACACCATTATGTATTCATGACTTCACTTTTATTCCAGCAATACCTGAAAAAAAAGGTACATTCCACAGTTCTTTAAGATTCCTGAAGTTGCAATATAACTGCCTTTTACTTCTTAATCATCGCACTATCTTTACATAGATGTGCATCCCATCTCCAGCATCCTCAAATAACTGGGCATCCAGCTTCTGCTTAAAGAACTAGTGACAGACTCACTGTATCAGAAGGCAACTTAATAAATTTTTATTTTTATTTTTATTTTTTTTTTATTTTTAGGCTTTTGGGGTTAAGTAACTTGCCCAGGGTCACACAACTAGGAAGTGTCAAGTGTTTGGTCTGAGACTGGATTTGAACTCAGGTCCTCCTGACTATAGAGTCGGTGCTGTATCCACTGTGCCACCTAGCTGCCCCCTGACTTAATAAATTTTTTAAGAACTTTGTTTATTAGAAAAATCTTCATTTATGTTGAGCTGAAGTCTAACTGTAGCTTCATTAATCCTAATTCTTCCTCTAGAGCCAGTCAGGATAAGTCTTTTTTTTTTTGACTGCTATTAATGTAATGAAAAGACACCTAATTGTATCCCCTTAAGTCTTTTCTCCAGGCTGTGTACTTTTCATTGTAGCCAAATTTCCCATTATTGGTCTACCATGTTGCTGTTTTTAGTCCTTTGATCATTATGGTCACCCTCCTCTGCACGTAATCTGGTTTGTCAATTCCCATGCTAAGAAGTGGCACTTAGAATTGAACACTGTTAGAGTTATGATCTGACCAGTACAATATATGAAAGAGTGTGTTGTTGTCTTTTTCTACACATTCTACAGTTATTAATCTAATGATCTTTGTGGAGTCAATAACACTTTGACTTATATTTATAATCAGTCAAAAACCCCTCGGGGGGGTTTTTTACATGAAAAATCCTCATGTCTCCCATCTCATGGCACATTCAGTGTCAAATCATTCCCTAGCACTACAGACCTGTAAGATAACATGGTCAGTTTTTCCCAAGGTTTCCATCATCTTCACCAACCAGTTACTCCTTGTGGTCAAAATAGCCACTGAGTTCATTGCTTTCTCTCTGCCTTATGAAATGCCTTTAGGAGAAAACAAGCAGTGCTCCTCAAAAAAAATAATTGTATTCCATTTCTTTTTTGCTCTTTACTCTGTTTTCCATTAGAATCCGCATTTTTTTATTGTTTCATTGGTGTATATTTCAGATATATATACATAGTCACAATATAAGGAATAGTAATATGGCTTATATTGGGTTTATGGAAGGAAAGTAAAAGCTGTGCATACCAAATAGAAATTTTGTAAGGTTAATTATCAATTTAAATGATGCAAGACTTCCTTACGCATTTGGGGGGTGGGGTTAGGCAATAAGGTTAAGTGACTTGCCCAGGGTCACACAGCTAGTAAGTGTTGTATCCGAGGCCGGATTTGAACTCAGGTCCTCCTGAATCCAGGGCCAGTGCTCTATCCACTGTGCCACGTAGCTGCCCCTTTCTTACACCTAATTAAAGACATCTTAGGCAATGCTGAATGTTACATTTTGCTTTATGAGCATGAGATCATTGGTTTGGATCTTCACCAAATAAAATAGTAAACTAGTGATAAATTCTGTGAGAATCAGTGGTATCAGTGCTCATGTTATATTTCAAGTTGAAATATAAGAATATAACATCTTTCTTTGACCCTGGGGGAAAAAAAGAATTTCTAGTGTTATAATGGTTTCTTCCTAATTTGGCAAAAAAACCCAAGCGACAAAATAAACTTTGAGGTAAACCTATGAAGTTAACAGTTTAATTTCAATACAGGATAAAGCTTTTGGAGCAGCTGGTGATACTGTTGTAATTGAAGAAGTTCTTGAAGGAGAAGAGGTGTCTGTAAGTTGATTTTCCACCTATAAGGTTTTTTTTTATTCCAACTCTGTTTTACTAATAGACTGTTATTTGATTTATTCCTCTCTCCTCTCCCCCACCTCCACCCCCAAGGAAAAAACCATCTCCTCAGTTAAGTTTCATCTTAGAGAAATAAATCAGTAGTCCCAAAAGAGAAAGACATAAACATCATAATTTTAAAAGTAAACATTTTTTAAAAATTTAATTTAAATCTTATACAGCTGGAAAGAAGCTGCCTTCTCTTCAGCCATTCCAGAAGTACACCAGGGGAAAAAACTAGCATAATTTTAAAAGTTATCTCCTATTTATTTACCAAAGTAATATGTATATTTCAAGATAATTTTCTTCTGTGGTGAATTACAAGGTAAGGAGTCCCCTACAAAGTACTTCAATTTCAAAATAAATGAGGAATGAATGAAACTATTTACAAGTAATTGGAAATAACTAATAGAATGTAGGAAAATACAGCATTCTAAAATGTTCTTATTCTTTATGTACGACTTCTTGTGTGGACCTGATTTTTCTACTTGAAAGAGGTGTCCGTCTGTTACCTTATAGAATGGATTTTTGCTGCTTTTACATCATATTTTGCTACTTTAACATAATATATAATATAGATATTAAGTCACTTTTCATAAAATAAATAACAATGTTAAATAATTGATAAGAAATAATAGAAATTTGTTAAATTAATAATAAATAGAAAATTTGTTTTTCTCATAGTGTTTATGTTTTACTGACGGTAAGACTGTGGCCCCAATGCCACCAGCACAGGACCATAAGCGATTACTGGATGGAGACCATGGCCCAAATACGGGAGGAATGGGAGCTTATTGTCCAACACCTCAGGTAAGTAAAACAACAATTCTTTCTAATAAATAAGGCAGGTATTACTATGCCTATTTTATTGATGAGGGAACAGGCTCAGATTAAACAATTTGCCTATGGTCATGAAGCTAATAAATGTCTGTTCTGGCTCTTAAATACACATCTCATTCCAAGTCATGTTGTCTCTCATCTTCTCAGAGCAGAGCATTAGTTGCTTCTTGGAAATTCTGAATTCCTCCATAAAGGATCTGTTATTTCTTCAGTTTGAATCTCCTGGTGTGTGGAAGTTCCTTCCATCAGTGTACATTGCAATTGTCTGTGACTTCAAAGAAAAATCCTAGACGTTCCTTGAGGCACATAGAGGTTGTGACCTGCCCACAACTTATTACAGTCAGAGAGGAGATTTAAATCAGGTCCTGATTCCAGAGCTTAGCACTCTGTCCACTACATTGTTGCCTCTATGATTTCTAGTTCATATGAGTTGATTAAGAAGATCTACTTAAATAATTGGATTATATATAGTGAGCTTTGTTTTCTGGTTTGCATTTCTTCCCAGTGTTGGTTTATATCATGCCTCCTTTTTTTCCTTTTGTAAGAAAAAGTTTGTACCCTAGCTTTTTTATCTTTTAAAAGCTAAGCTGATCTATAGCATGAACAGATCTTCCCAGGCACATCCAATATAGAGATATTAAATACTTTCAGTAGGATTATATCTAGATCACCAGACAGACTACAGTTTTGATTTTGTAACCACGCTTTTGATTTTGTAATGGGCAGATGAATCATAGTTTCTGAGATTCTTAAATAATAGAAAAATGAATTCATTGGAAGTAAAGTAAGAATAAATTTGAGTGCAAAAATTTTACTAACACTTTACAGACTCCTGAATATAGCAATCCCTGAATTGATAGTGCAGAGGTAATATTATTCTTTCAAAAATAGATGCCATATTTCTGTTAAATTGTGGGTTTGTTTGTTTTTTGGTCTGGACCCTATGATTTCATCAATACAGGGAGCTCACCAGTAAATGAACTCTTTTCTACCAATGTAGATTGGCACCTTCTCTGTAACAAGTTGCCTGGTATACTTATAGGTTAAATGACTTCCCCAGGCTCATACAGTCAGTAGGTGTTGGAGATGAAATTAAACCCAATCTTCCTGACTCTTACACCAGCCTTCTGTCCATGGTGCCACACGGTCTCTTTTCTGAAAATTAACTTGTTTTTCAAAGTAACTAGCATTTATATAGCACCTTAAGATTTGCAAAGCACTTTAAAATATGATCTCATAGTTTAATCCTCACAATAACCCTAGGAGGGAGGTACTTTTGTTATCCCCAGAGGAGGAAAGTGAAACCCACAGAAGTTACATGACTTGCTTAAGGTCAAGTGATCTGACTTTTTTGAATTCAGGTCTTTCTGACCCAAGGTCCTGTGCTCTGTCCACCGTGCCACCTAGCTGCCTCAAAAAAGAAATGTCTTTGCCAGTTTTTATTTTTTTGTTTGTTTGTTTTCTAAAAGTTTATTTTTCTGGATAAGCTCTTAGAATTTTTACTGCAACTTAATAATGCTTGGATGCCCTTAGCAGGAAGTGGTGAATGATAAGATCACTGTAGAATTTGTTGACTGGTGCTGCTGCATTACCTGAGAATATGTCCTATTTATTAAATATGGTACCTTAGTAATCATAGATCATTTTGTACTTGTAAATGACATGCTGCATTTTTCTAAGTGTTTATTCATAACCCTAGATGATATTAGTAGAATAAAAGATAACAAAATTACTTTAAAATAATTATTTCTGGGTTTTTCCTAGGTTCCTAAAGATCTGTTATTAAAAATTAAAAATACCATTCTTCAGAGAGCAGTAGATGGCATGCAGCAGGAAGGTGTTCCATATGTAGGTAGGAACTTGATCTATGAGTATCATTTTTAGGAAAACCTGAAAGTTGCTCCTATGGCATTCAAAGAAATGATCAAAAATACCTTGGTCATAACAAATAAACCTTAGAAGGTCATTATTAAAAAGTTTAAAACTGTGTGGCTTTATTGTCTTCACTGTATACGTCTGCTCTTTATCAAAGGGATATTGTATGCTGGTATAATGCTTACCAAGGATGGCCCAAAAGTTCTGGAGTTTAATTGCAGATTTGGGGATCCAGAATGCCAGGTAGGTAATGATATATAACATGTCAAAGATAAGTGAAATATGAATGTATAAACACTAAATTTTCATTTCAGACTTGTTATCCTTTTTACTGTGATATTTCTCAAGAATTACATATATCCTAACATTTCAATGATTATGATAACTAGAAGGTATTAAAATTTATCTTTTAACTACTGTGTGCTATATTTTTGTAGGTAATTCTTCCACTTCTTAAAAGTGATTTATATGAAGTAATTCAATCAGTTTTAGATGGTCAGCTTTCTAATTCTCTGCCAGTCTGGCATGAAGATAGTGCTGCTGTAACTGTTGTCATGGCGAGTAAAGACTATCCCGCAAATTACACCAAAGGCATGGAGATAACAGGTAACTCAGACCACTGTCTTGTACTGACCATAACAGGTGGCAAACACAGCTTTCTTGTTGCTTCTTTCCTAGGATTAGATACTCCCCATGTTGCAGAGAATTCACAAATATTTAACTACTGTGTACCAGGCACTGTTCTGGAGAATAGGGATAGGATGACAAAAATGAAACAGCCCATGACATTAAGACAACATAGGCTAAGCAAAACAAATATTCTAGCATTTAGCAAGTGCCTGCCTACATAAGTACTAAGCTCTGCAAATAAAAATACAGCCAATGAAATAATCTCTATTCACAAGGAGCTTGTGTTCCAAATGGGGACACAAGTACTTATATAATCATATACAGACTCACTAACAACTAGTCAATAGATAGGTTAGGAAGAAGGGCACCAGCATTTAGAAGGATCCAGATAAGTTTGACATAGACATAGAGTTGTGAGTTGAAGAGAAGGGAGTGTATGAGGTGGAAGTAGGAAGGGAGAATGTATTCTAGGCATGGGAGATAAAATTGTGTGAGAGAAATAGTGAGGCCAGTTTGGCTTTACTGTAGAGTGTAGGAAGAAGTGTGATAAAACAAAAGTAAGTTAGATCCAGACTATGAAGAGATTCAAATATCCCTTTAACTGAATCCAATTCTTTAAGCTATATTTATCGTTTATTTTAATTTATATTTTTGTTGTCATGACCTGTTAGGTGATTTGTTTAAATGTCATCTCTTCTAGGAATTCCTGAGGCTAAAGCTTTAGGCCTGGAGGTGTTCCAAGCAGGCACATCCCTGAGAGAGGATAAAGTAGTAACTAATGGTGGTAGAGTTCTTACAGTAACAGCCGTGCAGAAAGATCTGATATCAGCTCTTGAAGAAGCCAATAAAGGAATAACTGTTATAAAATTTGAAGGAGCAGTTTATAGAAAAGACATTGGCTATCGAGCTATCTCTTTCCTAAAACAGTCCAGGTAAAATGTTTTTAGAGACATGATAGTCATTATGAGCTCAGACCTAATCTGTATCAATTATTGCTAAAGTTTTACATAAGATACCAATCAGTAAACATTTTGTCTTGTACCAACAATGCAGGATTAGTGTGTTGTTTCCTTAAACTAGGTTAACCTAGACCCCAATTTAAGATTTTTATTTACTGCTTTGGAATAAAACCATTATCAACTGCTTTGAACCAAACTTGGACACAACAGGTCTCAAATTTAGTAGAAAAAACTTCTTGGTACTTTCCTTTAAGTTAGGAAGCCATTTAAGGATCAAAAAATAATGCTAATGTATTATTTTTACACCGTTAATTTTTATGATTTTTAAAATATCTATGTATGGTTTGGATTGTGTGCATTGTCTTGAGGGACAAAATTATTAACTATTTAAATGTTACCGACTCACTATTATGTCCATCATATCTGCTAGTTAATGAAAATTTCTTTTGGTTTTGTCACTGTTCTCTGCAATTGTCCTATGAAAACGATAAATTAGGTTTTTAAAAATCTTGGTACATATCCTCATTTTTAAAAATTATACATAGCATATGACCTCATTCATTAAATATTATGAAAAGATATCAGAGACATGCTGTACTTAAAATGGAGAAGCATTCAGAAGACACCATGTTGAACTGGCAATTTTTCTCAGGTTTTAATACAACTTTATCTGATTGCCGAAATCTATATTATACTTTTTAAAACAACCTCCAAGAAAGGATTTTTTCCTGCTTGTTTACCCATTGCCCTAACCAGTATTGAAGATGTTTCCATTATTATTGCTTTGTTCCGTTCAACTTAATCAGAGCGCTGCATTCTTAATTCCATCATGGGATCTTATAATTGTGGGTTTCTTTGAGAGAGTTGAGAATTCTCTTGATTTTTTTTTCCAGTTACTCCTGTCTCTAGTGAGAAATTGTTTCCCTTTGATAATTAAAGTTAATCTACATACAAACTCTACTCCTATCTTGGCATATTATTTCTGTCAAGGTTGAGTGGACATATCATTGCCACCTCAGAAGTCAAGTCTTTTTCCCCTTTTTAAAACATAAGGTGATGCCATTACTGTCCAACTTCTGTCATCCTGAAATTGTTATTTCTAATGAAAACCTACTTGATTCCATGGGGAGTCCCACCCCTGGATAGCATACAGTCATATACTATATCCAGTATTAAGAACACATTCTCATAACACCCTAATATATAGAGCACTTTATTCATAACAACCTTGTAAGATAGGTAGCAAGAGATATCCCCATTTTATACTTCAAGAAACTAAAGCTCTGAGACATTATGACTTGCTTAGGACCCAGCAGCTAGGTCGAGTGGGGAACCTGTGGCCTTCTAGATGCTTGGGTGCTGCCTTTTGACTGAGTCCAAGTTTTACAGAACAAATCCTTTTATTAAGGGGATTTGTTCTGTGACATTTGGATTCAGTCAAAGGGCTGCACTTGAGAACCTAGAGGGCCACATGTGGCCTTGAGGCCACAGGTTCCCCACCCCTGAGCTAGGTTTTAGTCATTAGAATGCTGGTTTTAGAGTTGGAAAAGCCTGAGTTCAAATTTTGCCTCAGACACTGCTGTACGATCCTAGACATGTCACTTCATCTCTCCCAGCCTCAGTTTCCTCATCTGTCAAGTGAGGTGGTTGGAATAAGTGATTTCCAAAAGTCCCTTGTTTTTCTGAAGCTGTGAACCTATTTGGCAAGGAAGTACCTGAGATTGGATTTGAGCCCAGGTCTAGTGACTCTTAGATTTAGCACTTTATCCACTGCACCAGGCTACCTCTGTTATTAGAGTAGTATGTTTAAAAGAGAATGACATCAGTAAGCATTGCTTCGCTTTTACACGAATTTTATATGGTTCTTCCTTTCTGCTATATCTTCATGCTGAAATGAAACTGATTATATGCTATTACAAGTATTTAATCAATGTAATTGTTGGAAGCCTTGTTTTCTAATTTTATGAATGTTCACAGCCATTATTGGTATTTGAACAAAAAAAGCTGAAGAGGCAAAATTTAAATTGATCATTTTGTCTTCAAATCAAAAGCAGTTCTGATAAAATTTTTAGTTATGCTGTAGGCTAGTACTGAGCAAACTAGGATTTTATTTGGGAATTTTCTTTGTATTTAATTAGTCTATGCTATAACTCGCCCACGTTCTAAAATAAGTATCCTTATGATTATAGATTGTTTTGTTCTTTGTGCTTTTATCCTAGTGCCTAGCCCAGTGTGGAGCACGTAGGCACTTAACTACTTGTTTGTTATTTGATTGATTGGTCATACATATATGCATGAATCGTGCCTTGTTAGTATGTTAAAGTGAAGTAATTAGCCCTCACAGATAAATTTTAGCTTAACATTTTTAATGTTTTAGAGGCCTGACTTACAAGGAAAGTGGGGTGGATATTGCAGCTGGCAATGAACTGGTTAAGAAAATTAAGCCTTTAGCTAAAGCCACCTCCAGACCGGGTAAGCCAAATCCTGTCTTTATAAATCCTTCATGACTTATTTACTCACTTAAGTATACTTTATTGATTGCTCTGGCATTTTTATGGTGTGTAAAATCTAGATTTATACCCCACTACCAAATGAACTTAAAACAATTAAGCAAAACCACCTGATCTGATACCATGATCTCATCTGATATTGTGTGCAGTATTCCTCATCAGTAGTCCACCACTTCTTCTGAAAGGAGATAGCTTCCTCAGCTATTTTCTAGTTTTGGGTTGGCAGTAATAATTAGTATTCAGCTTATTGTTGTGGGTGATTTTTTTCCATTTATATGAAATAGAACTCAAAAGGCCATTCTATCTTTCTCTAAATCCTTTATTTTTTTATGTCACAATAATATTACATTATATACCACAATTTATCCGACAACAGTTTTATATTGATCAGTTGCTCTTGATTTTACATTTAGAAACAAATATTTCTGATTAATACTACCAGAAGAAATTAAGGCAGTATAAAATGCAGGTTCCTTTCCAATACAGATAGGCCTTTTTACTCTTGGAAAGTTAAAAAAAAAATCAGGTCAACTGTTTGCCCTATTATAACCTATCTTATACGTCCTTCCTTCCTATGATTAGATGTTATGGGACATGAAACTATCAAATATACCTTAGTTTATGATCTAGTGCTCTTGTATTAAATACGTTTTTAGTAGGTAATTTTCATCCAAAATGCAGAACTACAAAAAAACATAATAATCACTATAGTATTACTCCAGATCCGTACTTCATTCAGCACAACATTCTATTTCTAATAGAAAACTCAGACCATATTTTAGAATGGAATGGTTTGTCTCAGTACTGTCAACCTCAAAGGGTCAGCAACAGGCTGGATTGACTTAAAATTTTGATATATGAATGGAAAAAATGTTAATGTGCAATTCAGAGAAATGTGGAAAGACATGAATGAGCTAATGCAGAGTGAAATAAATAGAAAAACCAAATACCATAAAGTAAATAAAGATAACTAAAAGCAAAATAAAGTCTAGAGAATTGGAGGGGGGAAAAATAAAGGTCCTAGAAATAAGCTAATGAAATACAGTCCTTCCCCCAAAAAGTGGACATGGACTCAATATTAGCTATTTTTGCGTAATCGGGACAGCTAGGTAACACAAGTGAATAGATCTAGTGCCAAGTCTGGACTCTAAAAGACTTAAGTTCAAATGCAGCTTCAGACACAGTAAAGTGCCTGGCATATAGTAAGCACTATAAAATTATTAGCTATTATTATTCTCTGTAACAAGAAAGGATTTGTTGTGGAGAGAGGTGGGAAGTAAATGACTGGTGTAAATTCAATTAAATTTTCTAATATCTTATTAGATTATTTCTCGGTGCTCACCTGTCCCCTTTGAATCGTTTGTTGATGTGAAGGGATAAGAAGATAGAAGTGGAGCTATTCATGGTTTTCCTTTGTGTTAAACTGTATTTTACCGTTTTCCTATTTCATAGGATGTAATGTAGACCTTGGAGGATTTGCTGGTCTCTTTGACTTAAAAGCAGCTGGTTTTAAAGATCCCCTTCTGGCATCTGGAACAGATGGAGTTGGAACCAAATTAAAGGTAACCAATTCAAAGATTAGGAATTTATAAAAGCCTATATAGATGTTTGTTTCATTTTTCTTATCAAAGGGTTAAAAAAAAATGGCATGCCATATATTTGGTAAGGTTTATTATCCATATATTTAAGGCTTGATAAAAGAATAGTAATGGTAGAAGGTAGGTAATAAATGGGGAGTGGGGGGCAGGATTGGTTAGCAGTTCATTTGAGGGGTTTTCACTTGTTTTTGTGTGAGAAAATAATTCTTTTGGCCAGCTCTTTATCAGTTTTTTTTTCTTAAGCAAACAGCTTTTTGCTTATTCTTTTAGATTGTAACAAGGGCTCTATATTATTTCTCTATAGATTGCCCAACAGTGCAATAAACATGATACCATTGGTCAAGATTTGGTTGCAATGTGTGTCAATGATATTTTGGCTCAAGGAGCAGAGCCTCTATTTTTCCTTGATTATTTTTCCTGTGGAAAACTTGATGTCAGCACAGCTGAAACTGTCGTTGCGGGTATAGCAAAAGCATGTGAAAAAGCAGGATGCGCTCTTTTGGGTATGTTGGTATTACCTATGATAAATATGGGCTTTTAAAGCTTGCTTTTTAAGCATTTTATTGATGCTTTTTGGTTTTTAAGATCACTGTCATTTCTCAATATTGCCCCCAAACCCCAGTAGTACCTTACCTTGAACAATGAGATGTCATCTAAATCTAATGCCTACTGAACTGCTTTCTGTTTTGCCTAGCACTTCACATCAAATGAGGAGTTTGTGTAAAAATGAGAAACAACTAAGTAAAATAAGCATATTCAATATTCTACAATCATTGTCTGCCTCTTACCTGAACTCTTTGTGATAGCCCCCTAAGTGATCTCCCTGTCTCAAGTGTCTCCCTTCTCCAGTCCATCTTCCACATAAGCTGCCAAAGTGACTTTCCTTCTCAATAAACTCTGCTTCCATATTGCCTGTAATGTCAGATGTAAACTCTCCTTGAGCTTTTTTTAACCAGATCTGTGAGGGAACTCATGGTGTGGAACTGCTTTACCAGTACAGATTGGCACCTTCTCTGAGGCAAGTCAAGTTGAAGTGACTTACCCAGAGTCACACTAGCAGGATAGGTCAGAGGCTGAACATGATCCCAGGTCTTTGATTCAGAAATCAGCTATACCCACTATACTTCTTTATTTGCTTTTTTTTTTAATATGAATATTTTCATATACAATGGATAGGAAAAAAAAAAGAATTGTAAATGAAATTCAGTCCAAATGCCTGGCTGGAATTTTGTTTTGTTTATAATGTAAATATCTACTTTTAAAATGATTGTACCAGGGCAGCTAGGTGGCACAGTGGGTAGAGCACCAGCCCTGCAGTTAGGAGGATCTGAGTTCATATCCAGCCTCAGACATGTAACACTCACTAGCTGTGTGACCCTGGGCAAGTTCCTTAACCCCACTGCCTAGCCAAAAAAAAAAAGTGGCTGTACAAACATTAGCTTTTTCTTCTGTGTTCCCTTCTAAACATCTTTCTGCTCTCTTCTGTGTGTTTTTGTTTTATTGATTGATAACTTTTTTCTTTCTTTTTTGTCATCACCCTCCCTATCATGGTATTCCCCAATCCCTCACTAAAATTGCTCTTGTAACAAATAATTTATAGTCAAGCAAAACACATGTGTGTTGTATTGGTTGTGTCTGAAAATGTATGTCTTGTTCTATGCCTGTTGCCTTTCCACCAGGCTGTAGAAAGCAGGTTTCACCATCATCACTCTTCTGAGTCCTAACTGGTCATTGTGTTGATGAGAGTTTTAAGTCTTTCACAGTTGTCTTTTACAATGTTGCAATAAATATCTACATTCCGTCTGGTGGTGTCATTTGTACCCATGTGAGGTTGGTAGTGTTCATCTGGTTTGACAAGTCTTAGGAAGTTCTCTTTAACAAATAGCTTCCTGAGTACTCCTGAGCAGGGAGTGACCAACCACCAAGACAGGTGGATGTCTCCTCCGATACATGCTGGTTGATATTTTGCCTGGTAGCATCTATGAATCCACAGCATCATTCCTTGGAAGGACAAGCAGCTGTTTTTTTCCTCAAAGGACTTAGTTCTCTTCCCTTGAGCCCAGTGGTTAATTTCTGTTTCTCATCTGTACGACATTCTTCTACCCTGCAGCCTCCTGGCCTAGGTCAGTCCCTCTGCATCTTCAAATATCTTTTAACATTTGAGCTCTTCCATTTTGTGGTACTGTTTGTTTGTTTGTTTAAAGGAACGTTTCATCCTCAAAGATAGGAAGGAAACCAGCTTGCACTGGGCATAAATAGCAGTCACTTGGCTGTGGCAGAAGCAAAAACCTTGCATTCATACCGCAGGTCTCTGTGAAGGTCTTTCTGCTTTCTATATTTTCCAGAAATGTGACCCTCACTCCTTGCCTGTCTTGCTATTAGCATCTCTTGAGAATTGCTAACACAATGCTTTATGGGTGATGTTTAGGTCTTAAGTTGTTGCTGTCCTCACCTATCATTAACACTTTCAGGGCCATATCCTCCTTCCTTTCCTTTTACTCACTGGGCTCTTAACTTCTATTGCCAGTGGCATACCAATTACCTTTTTCTCAATTTTTTTTTCATCCCACTACAGCTGAATCCTTTTTCTCCCATGGAACCTTGAAAATGGGTATAAGTAATCATGTAGTCTAGAAGTACATTATGTAGTCTGACTCATCAGAGGAGGAATCCCATTTACAGTATCACTAATAAGTGGCCATCAATCTTTTTAATGTGTTCGTGTACTTCTTGAAGCATGACAGCCAAACCAACACAGTATTCCAGATGTGACTATAGCAGAGCATACATTGAGACTGTCGTGTCACTCCTTCTAGACATAATGTCTCAACTAATGGAGCTAGGAACCACGTTAGATTTTTTTGGCTGCCATTCTACCCCTGTTGACCTAAAATTGAGCGTTTAGTCCACTGAAACTTCCAGTTCTTTTTTCACATAATCCAATAAAATGAAATTCAGTGGGGAGATTAAATTGTTATACTTGGCCATCATTTAGCACAATGCCTGATGTTTTGTGTGTGTCTGTATCCAAGCTTAGTGGGGTTCAGCAATAAGAAGTAGCATTTTGCAAACAATGCAGTTTTGAGTTATGTTAATAGAGATATAACTTTTAGGAATAGGGAAGTGGTAGGTGGTGATAACCACCTATTTTGTCCTCTTCTGGAGTAATATACTTGGTTTAGGGAAACTCAGTTTTAGAAGATAAGCATGAGATGAAGAGGGCCAGTTTGTCTGGAATGAAGGGGAGGGATTTACAGGAAGGGTAGGGTAGGGTCATATTGTCAGACTTGGCAAGCATAATGTCTCTGTCTAATTCAATATATTTTTTGTTTAAATAAGTTTTTATTAATGTGTTCTGTCTTTTACATCCTCATAGTATCCCTCTACCTCCCCTTCTCAGAGAGCCAAGCCATATTAACAAGTAACATTTTTAATGAAGGGGAAAAAACAGCCCAACTGACAGTACATTTAAAAAGTCCAAAAACATGCAATTATGTTCAAAGCTGTGGACTTCCCATACCTTCATAGGGGTAAATTGGAAATACTTTTCATTCAAACCATGCTTAATCATTATACTCTCTTCTTCCCTTCCCTTCTCCCTCCCTGAGATAGTAAACAATTTTTTATATAGGTTATATATGTTCAGTCATGTAAAACATATTACCATGTTAGCCATGTTGTGAAAGAAGACAGATCTAAGGGGAGAAAAAATATGAAAAGACAGGAAGTGAAAATTAGTATGCTTTAATCTGCATTCAGACTTCATCAGTACTGTTTTCTGAAGGTAGTAGCATTTTTCATCATGAGTCCTTTGGAATGGTCTTGGATCATTGTATTGCTCAGAATAGCTAGGTCATTCACAGTTGACCATTGTAAAGTATTGCTATTGCTTTGGTTCTGCTCACTTCTCTTTGCATCAGTTCATCTAGGACTTTCCAGGTTTTTCTGAAATCCACCTGCTCATCATTTCTTATAACACAATAATATTCCATTACAGTCATATACCACAAGTTGTTCAGCCATTCCCCAATTGATAGTCATGCCCTCATATGCATCATTTCTTACAGCATAGTAATATTCCATTACATCCACATACCACAATTTCTTTAGCCAGTTCCCAGTTGATGGGTGTCTACTTTGTTTGCAATTCTTTGCTAGCACAAAAAGTGCTGCTTATACATACGTTGGTGTATTTGGGGCTCTTTTGGGGTATTCAATGGCTCTCTTCGGGTAAGCCCAGTAATGCTAATGATTTAGAGCATTCCCCCATGTGGTTGTGAATATTTTGCAACTCTTTTAAAAACTGTTTGTTCATATCCTTTGACCATTTATCTATTGGGGAATGGCTATTACTCATAAACATGTGGCCAATAGCCATTCTTGACTAATTTATATTTTTGTGTGTGTGTGTGTGTATTGAATACCAAACCTTTATCAGAAAAATTTGGTACAAAGATTTTTTTCCCATTTGACCACTTATCCTAGATATATTAATTTTGTCTATGTAGACACTTTTCAATTTCATGTGATCAATGATCTATTTTAGTTTTGCTGCTTATCTGGTTAGGAATGTATCTACCCATAGCTGTGAGAAGTATATGATCTGCTTCTTTTCCAATTTTTTAATCATATGGTCTTTAAAAAATTAGAAAAGAAGCAGATCGTACACTATTAAGGTCACTTATGCTTTTAGACTGTTATGAAATATGGTGTATGGTTGTTCTAAGTGTAATTTCCACTTGACTGCTTTCTAGTTTTCCCAGCAGTTTTTATCAGAAAAGGAAATGCTATTTTCCTACTTCTTTTCGTCATTTCCCTTGATATTCTAGATTGGTTGTTTTCCCATAGAGTTTGTTATTACTTTATCAGGTTCTAAATAGTATTTCACTGACAAAATCAGGGATTCTCAAAATATTGATATGTATAGGTTCTGCTTTTTAAAATAAGCCTTTTGTATTACCTTAAAAGGAGTTGTGGAGATTCAGCTACAACTTTTTCTCTCTTGGGCTCTTAAGCAGTCTAGTATTCATTCTGACATGTATCGAGATAATATCCCAAAAAGCAACAAGTTAATTCTTGCCTAGACTGTTGCAATAGCTTTCTAGTTAGTCTTCAGGGCTTTAGTCTCTGACGAAGCCATCCTTCACATAATTGCTGGACTGGTGTTCCTAAAGGCCAGACCATGTTACTACCCTGCTCAAGAAGCTACAATGGCTCCCTATTATCCTTAGATTATAAATCATAGTATAAAATATAACTTCCCTCATTTGGCTTCTAAAGCCCTTTAAATGGTCCTAAATTACTACATATTTTTACAGAGTCTATATTTGAGCCAAATTGGCCTACTTGTTAGTTTTTATAGTTGACATTACATCTTATGTCTCAGTGCCTTTACATAGGCTTTCCTGTATTCCAAGAGTGTCTTCTTCCTCACCTCAGCCTCGTACCAATCTTTGGCTTTCCTCAAGGCTTAGTATATCTGCCACCTATTGCTTGATTGAGATTTGTCCTGATTTGACCTGAGTTACTAGTGTCGTTCTGGTCCTGTTGTTCCCTCTATGTAGAAAGTGAACTCTTTAGAAGCAGGAACTATGTTATGTTTTTCTTTATTTGTCCAGTGCCTAAAAACAAAGAAAAATTCATCCTTTTTATAGCATTTGCTGTTACCTTTAAATCATTTAAGTTTCTTAAATTTCTTAATTTTTGCAAATATTTTATAATTAAGCAGCTGCTATGGTATTTAATTCACTTTGAGTAGTTATACTACATAGTGGATTATAAATGGCAAGATGCTCACTTATAAGTATTTCCTGATTTCACTAACTTATTTTCCCATTTCCCTTTAACCAGGAGGTGAGACAGCTGAAATGCCTGGTGTGTATCCCCCTGGAGAATATGACCTTGCAGGTTTTGCTGTTGGTGCCATGGAGCGAGATCAAAAGCTCCCTCAACTGGACAGAATCACTGAGGGGGATGTTATCATTGGAATAGCCTCTTCTGGAGTTCATAGTAATGGATTCAGCCTTGTAAGGAAGATTGTAGAAAATTCTTCCTTCCAGTTATCCTCTTTAGCACCTGATGGATGTGGTAATCAAACTCTAGGTAAATAGTTGAGTATAATACGGCTTAAGACTAACATTTAAAATTTGGGGGCAGGTAGATGGCACAGTGGATAGAGCACCGGCCCTGGAGTCAGGAGGACCTGAGTTCAAATCCGGCCTCAGACACATAATACTTCCTAGCTGTGGGACTCTGGGCAAGTCTCTTAACCCCAATTGCCTCACTTAAAAAAAAAATTGAATGAATAACTACTTTCTTATTTAATTATGATGAATTTATCCTTAAACTAATGGGTATATAATTTTGCAAAAAATTACCCATTTCAGAAGAGCTTTCTGTTTTTAAGCTTTTTGTTTAACATTCTTACAGTCCATCTGTCTTATAGTTTACTGTTTAAATGGGACTATCTTGTATCTCACATTTACAGGGGAATTGTTGTTAAATCCGACCAAAATCTATAGCCGAACATTGTTACCTGTTCTTCGTTCAGGGCATGTTAAGGCCTTTGCCCATATTACTGGAGGTGGACTACTTGAAAACATCCCTAGAGTTCTTCCAGAGAAATTCGGGGTAGATTTGGGTAAGGAAAATAACAGAATGTTTTTTGCTTCCTTTCCCTTCTTTCTGTTCATGTAATCAACAGTCTTTCTTAGTCTAGACCTTCATTACCCTTCACGTCTCCTGTGGGAGGCAACAGCTTCATATTTAATCTCCCAGTCCTTCCTGTGTCATACTGTTGAAGTGTAGATCTTGCCATGTTACTCCCTAAATCCTTTGGCTTTTAAAGCCCTTTACCTGGCCCCACACTAACCTTGTTATATATCATTCCCCATCCAGTATGATGAATTCTGAATTCTTCTGGCTTTTATTTTAAATTCATGGTGATGTTTAGTATTAACATGTCTTTCAAGTTAAGCACAGCCAAGGCCTGGAATAGCAAGTGTGCTAGAACAATAGCTTGACACCAGAGTGCAAAGGGCTTTAAATACCAACCTGAGGAGTACTTTATGCTTCATTTCCTGTAGTTGTAGTCCTAACTATATTTATTATATATTTGTATATGTATAAATGTAAATATTATCATGTTTTATGTGTGAAACACTAATCTCTAGTGTGGCATGCCTAACTTGTTGCTAGATGCTCGATGCTGGAAGATCCCTAGAATATTCTCATGGCTTCAGCATGAGGGATGCCTCTCAGAAGAGGAAATGGCTAAGACATTTAATTGTGGAATTGGGGCTGTCATGGTGGTACAGAAAGATCTGGCTGAGCAAGTTCTGAAGGATGTACACCAGCAAGAGGAGGAAGCCTGGATAATCGGGAATGTAGTTACTTGTCCTATAGGTTTGATCTCTTAATTCTATTATTTCATTCTGTTAATGTAGAAAGCTCTGCATTCTTTTCTTAATAAGAATGCAAAAAGTATTCAAAAATCCATTTTAATACATTGTCTCTGTCATTGAATTCTTCAGCATGTGGTTAGCACATGGATGCTGTTAAAATTGACTTTGGGCAACTGCTATCAATACTAGATTTGTGATAGTACGATTAAAAACCACCAACTATTAAACATTTTAGCGAAAGAGCTAATGATACTCTGATTGCTTCTAATTAGAAAGTGTCCATTAGAAACAGTCTTATTTGTACATCTTAACACATTTGATGCAGGTGTCTTTTATTTGTTGTAGTGCTTGTACAATTAAATGTTAGCATCTGAGTTTTCAGAAGAAAGTACTTTAAAAGAAAAAGTTTCTCTTAACATAAAATAAGTTTTGGTTTCTCTCATTCTTACTTTTTTTTTGTTTACCACTTTTCTACCTTTGTATTGTGGCTTTGAAATGAAGGTTATTCCCGTGTGAAAGTCAATCATCTGATTGAAACAATGCAAATAAATGGATCGTTCTCATTAGTGAATGAATCTTTAAAGGGTTGCCTTGGTATCCAACCAAAGAGGGTACAAGTGGCTGTCTTAATATCTGGAACTGGTGAGATACGTTTTCTTGTGTATGTTTTAAGCTGTTGATAAAGACTGTGAAAGGAATATTGGGTTAGAAAGAAATTAGGAGAACTTGGCAAAGAAATAAGGGGAAAATATTTTATGTCCTCGATTGGACTAACACTCTTAAGTTTTGAAATTCTGAATTCTGGTGGCTTTTAAATTCAGGGTGACAGCTTTAACATGTCTTTCAAGTTTAGGGTTTTGTTGATGTATTTTATTTTTAAAATAATAGATATTTGACCACTGGTTATTACTAATAATAAGTAGTATGTAGTAGTATTATAGTAACTGTTATTATACTACAAAGAAAGGAATTTACAGGCTATTTTTGACTTTGGAGTTGTTTACTAGTTGTAAACAGTGCTAGAATTGAGAGATACCTTTAATTTATCATCTAGTCATATAATTATAGAATTTTGCTAATAGAAAGAAATTTAAAAATTGAAAGTCCAAAGAGAATTAGTAATTTGTCCAAAATTATTGGTAGCAAAGCCAGTACTATAACTCTAATCTCTTGATTTCCTAGTCTAGTCTTGTCCGGCCCCTCTCATCTTTGAGTGTGAAAGGTGGAATGTTCCAAGTATTTTAGTATTATTCACTAAATTGATTTTTCAGTGAAGTGGTTACCTTAGTACAGCAAGCAGTTTGGTTTAGCCAAGAGCCAGGAATCAATATCTGGATAGCATTTCTTCAGTTGTTAATTTAGCGTCCTGACAGGAAATATCACCCATTTTATCTGTTGTTCATAGGAAATTGGCTTAGACTTAGTTGAAAACTGTTTAACTGCTTTTGAAATTTCCTTTACAGTACATATGTAGGGCATATACAACCATTTAACAGTAACTTTTTTTGTTTTTATGTATTTGAACACTTTATAAATGGAAGATAAATAAAATTTATTAATTGAGCACAAAGAATTGTAGTTACATACATTCTTATAAATTATAGGCTTACTTGCATTTTTTCCATCCTTTGTAGGCACGAATCTCCAGGCCCTAATAGATAGCACTCGGGAATCAACCAGCTACGCACAAATTGTTGTTGTTATCTCTAACAAAGCTGGAGTGGCAGGGCTACAGAAAGCAGAAAATGCTGGTATTCCTACTAAGGTAAGTTGGTTTTAGCGTGGATTGAGGATTTTTTTAATGTTCTTAGGCTATGGTAAATCCATTCATACTTTATTATCGCCATCCTCTGAAGTAATTTTTCCTTTACTACAAAAGGAAATTGGGATGAGTATTATGATTGTCCTTCCAATCAGTCCTTTTCATTTATCAAGTGGCACTTCCTCACTCCCATATCCAAACAGTTGCCAGGTATCTCTCTTTCATTCATCCCCTTCTCTATATTCACATGACCACCACCTTGGTTCATTCAGACCCTGATCACTGTCATCAGGCTCCCGTCTGGACTGGAATTCTTGTACCGGTTATTCCTCTGCAAGCTTTAGAGGAGTAACCGGTACAAGAATTCCAGTCCAGACGGGAGCCTGCAGAGCTTCCCAGATAGCTGACTGTGGTTGAATAGCAGCAGTTTGTTTGCTCAGACCTAAATGCAGGTCAAGAACTAGTAGCGCTCAGACGGAGGGGGCAGCAAATCAGCCTTTGTCCTGGATCAGACCACTTTGGGAGCATTCAAACCTTATACGTCCTCAGCTTGATTCTGGAATAATATCCCAAGCAAGCAGCAGTGAGATAAGCTCAGACCTTCTCTTCAGAAGTGTACAGAGCCAGGCCTAAACACCAAATCCAGAGTCAGAAAGTGAAGAGTGAGCAAGCAAAAAAGAATTCCAGCATGAAAAGCTGTCCTGGTGACAGTAATACTCAGGACACAAACCTAGAAGAAAAGAATGATTCCAAAACATCTACAACCAGAGCCTCAAAGAAAACATGACATGGGTACAGATTGGACTGGATTTCTTGTAAGAGCTGAATCAAAAGTTTAAAAAGGAATTAAGCATTTATCATTTTTGTCAGTGATATAAGAGTACCAGAGGAAGAAAATTGGAAAATAAATGAGAGTTATGGAAGAAAGAACTGAAAAAGAGAATTAACAGTTTGGCACAAGAGGTAAGAAATCTTGTCCAAGCAACAAATTTAAGTAAAAAGAATAATGGATCCACAGTGACTGGTCCTATACCTAATACCTTTCCAGTTTAGATAGTCCCTGTCATTCCCTTATGGCATGACCCTCAAAAAAACAAGGTAACTTTCGTGCCTCAATGAAGTATTTGATCTTGACTTTAGTATAATATGTCAGTTTTTGTGACTTGATTATACCTTTGAGACAGTTGGTTTTTATGCACCATCTTTTACTCTACAGGTAATTGATCATAAATTATATAAAAGTCGTTCAGAATTTGACAGTGAAATTGACAGTGTCCTTGAAGAGTTCTCCATTGACCTAGTCTGTCTTGCAGGATTCATGAGAATTTTGTCTGGTCCTTTTGTCCAAAAATGGAATGGTAAGCAGTTTATTTATTTAACAACTATCAGCCAACCCAAAAGATAATCTTTGGCATTAGGTTTTTGTACAGTCATTCCATAAAGTGAAATGTTTGTAGTGGCATTTTATTTCTGTTCAAACATAGTCTAAGCAACTTGTAAAGGTTAGAATCTATTTTTTTATCAAAACCCTTCACAGAGTTTTAGTGCATGTCTGTGGACCAGAGTGCTTTACTCATTTTCCCTTGGTCTGCTAAATGTTAATGTCTTTTCTAAAATTAGGATAAGTTGAGAGGTTTGTTTTGTTCATATGCTCATTAATACTTCTTCTGTACAAAAAAATCTTAGAAATGTTTTGAAGTAGGTTTGTCAGACCTCTTTCTTTAGGTTTTGTGAGAAGGCTGAAATGCAACAAGTTTGTAAGAATATATTTTTGACATCAATATTCTCATAATGATTAATGGCCTATAAATCATGAAATTCTGCAAACTCCAAAGCAGGGATGGGGAGGAGATATTGAGATTATATTTTAGGATGACATTATAGACCTGAGTGACTGGAAGGAGGGCAGTGTCCTCAACAATTATAGGAAAGTTTCCTGTAAAATGGGAATAATAATACTACCTCACAAGGTTTTTGTGAGGCTCAAATGAAATGCTATTTGAAAAGCACTTAGCACAGTACCTGGCACATAGTAGGTGCTTAATATTTATTCCCTTCTCCCTCTTCCTCTTAAAATACCTAGCATCCATCAAGCATCAGCTCTTTTGTGGCCTCATGTGGGAAGCCTCTTCTGAATTCCCATAATCAGTCTTATTTCTCTCCTCAAATAGTGAGTGTGTGTGTTTGTGTAATAAACACTTATTTGTTTACATGTTGAAATTCCTCCTCCATACAAGTACAAGTTCCTTGATTGTTACAGTCTATTAAAAAACGTGACTCAAAGATATAGCACTATTAGTATTAGTTCTGTACAATACTTAAGTTATAGTATGTGTTAAATGGGTTCTTGGCAAAAGATTTAATTAGTATAAAAACATCCTGCATGTGTTGATTTGATCTTTGTCAATAGTACAATTCTGTATGAGGGCAGTAAGAGGTCTAAGCTTTAACACAGTTTTTTGTTTTGTTTAATTTCTAGGTAAAATACTCAACATACACCCATCATTGCTCCCTTCTTTTAAGGGTTCGAATGCCCATGAGCAGGTTCTTGAAGCTGGAGTGAGAATCACTGGATGTACAGTACATTTTGTGGCTGTAAGTCCTTGGGGGGGGGGGGAGTGTGTGGGTGTGTTGCAGTTGGGGTTAAGCGACTTGCCCAGAGTCACACAGCTAGTGAGTGTTATGTGTCTGAGGCCAGATTTGAACTCAGGTCCTGAATCCAGGGCCTGGTGCTCTATCCACTGCGCCACCTATCTGCCCCTGTAAGTCTATTTCTTTTCTGAAAAATTAGCTGTTTTGAGGTTATATAAATGATTTGTATTGGCTAAGTTTGCTTTAGATATATTGAAAGCAATTTTTCTTTTTGTAGGAACAAGTGGATTCTGGACAAATCATTGTTCAAGAGGCTGTCCCAGTAATGAGAGGTGACACTATTGCAACTTTATCAGAAAGAGTAAAAATAGCAGAACATAAAGCATTTCCTGCTGCTTTACAGATGGTGGCTAGTGGTGCAGTAAAACTTGGAAAAAATGGAAAAATTTGTTGGAATGATGAGGAATAAAACACCTTAAATTTAGGGTGAAAGAATTGGATTTATCTATCAAATGTGGTCATTTATACTTTCTGTCATGTATACAAAATAACAGCTAACAGAGGAGAAATCCTTATGCCTCTGTTTGTTTAAAAAAAAACTATTCCTTACTAATAGTTCCTCATAAGATTGATATATCACCATATGTATGTACAGCTCTTTTTGTGTTGGCAAAGAATTGGAAATTGAGGGGATACCCATCAGTTGGGGAATGGCTGAACAAGTTGTACTATATGATCATGATGGAATGCCATTGTGCTATAAGCAGGATGATTTCAGGAAAACCTTGAAAGACTTATATGGACTGGTGTAAAGTTAAGTGAGCAGAACCAGGAGAGCATTGTACACAGTTACAGCAACATTGTATAAATGTGAGTGATGTAAATATTCTGATCCAAGACAATTCCGAAGGTCATAGGATGAAAAACAGTATCCACCTCCAGAGAAAGAACTAATGGAGACTGAAATTGAAGCATGCTTTTTTTTACTTTTCTATTTTTCTTGTTTTTTTGCATATTGGTTTTTAGTCTATGTTTTCTTTTGAAAGATGGCTAATATAGAAATGTTTTGCAGGCCCTCACTTGTATAATTGAAATCAAATTGCTTGCCTCAAGGGAGGGAAAGAATTTGGAACTCAAAATATTTTTTAAATGGTTGTTAAAGTTTTTTTATTACATGTAATTGGGAAATATTTAACAAAATTTTAAAAATGTATTTAAAAGAAAATAAAAATGAGAATATGTCATAAAGACTAGTGTTTTGCTGAGAAATCTTCCTGCTTCTCACCTATACCAAATTTAACATAGAATAAAACTTTCTATATGTGCAAAAAATATACAAATAAACCTGTGTTGTATCTCATATGGTTATACAAGCTTTAGCTAAAGGATTGTCTTTTCATTCCCAGTCAAGCAAAGTGTCAAAATTCCTCCATCGAACAGGACTTTACCCTGACCCCTTAATTCCTCATCTTTCATCTTCTCTCCTTCTGCTTTTTATCACTTGTCATTCTTTAAATGTTTCATTCATTCCACAAAGTAGACAGGTTAATGTGTTGATTTAAATTGCAGTTAAAATCTCTTCTTTGAACTATATGTGTATTGCTTTAAATTTCTCCCACGTGAACTTCTCTCTCTTTGTTCTTTATTTCGGAGGCTGTAATCATCCTTAGGTAACACTCCAATTTCAGAAGGAAACTTGAAGCTTCTTGTGTCTCACTAAATAGTAGCATACAACTTTTTGACATCACAATTATCCAAGATTGTAAAACCAGTATTTGTTCTCTCCAATCCAGACCCAGGTTTTGACTCATAAATAGTTTGCATTTTTTCAGAGCATTAAAGTTTACCAAGTGCATTACATTTTGTTATCTCATTTGATCCTCAGAATAATCCTGTGAGGTAGGTGCTTTTTATCCTATTTTACAGATGAGAAAACTGAGGTTAAGAGAGGTTAAATGACTCATTCACACTGGGTGTGTTTGTGTGTGAGGCATTGAACTCGTGTCTTCCTGACTCGAGTCCCACTCTATACGCACCTTTATACACATGTGCACATGCACTACACAGATGTGTGGTGTGTATAGTATCCCCTGAAAGTCTAAGGGCAGTTCTAAGCTAGTAAGTTCTAAGCTTCCAAGCTTAATAGTTTAAAACAGGTTCTCAAACTTAATTGGCCTACTGCCCCATTTTCGAAAAAAGAAAAAAATTTATTCACCATCCCCATGGAAATCTACTTTCTTTAACCCGTTAGTGGGTTTTTTTTATTTGCACCCTCAAATTTAATAATTTATTGTAAATTTGTGGGGTTTTCCTACATTGAAATTTTGATGCATGCAATATTGCATCATATAACCATATATGTTGTAAACAAGTCATTACATGCACATATTCCTGCCCATGCATGTTGGACTTCCCCACAGTACACAACACACACACCTGCCACTTGCTTGTCTATCAGCAGATTTGATGACCAATAGGTTGTAATTTGCATTTTGTGTGTTTATCTGGAAAATTATATAGTCACTGTGACTTTAACTTTCATACAACAGATGAAACATGTATGAGCAGTTTTTCAAAATTTTCTTCTCTCCTTATGCTTCCACTGCCCCCTTATTTTTAATCAATGCCCCACAATTGCACCTGAGGCTACTAGGCAGGCAAGCATGCCACCCCACCCCCGCAGAACTATCGGTCCAGGCTCCCCAGGGGGCAGTATCACTCATTTTGGCAACCTCTGCACTAAGATTGCTGTGGGAAGCTTTTTGTGGACCTTTGTACTACCTGAAGTGAAAATATTACTATCTACTCCTACCTAAGGCAACAGTGATTTTTGGAAAAGCTCACAACCCTCAGGGAAAGGCCCCATTCTGGAATTTTCCAGTGTACAACCTGCAATATTCACCTGTTCAGAATCATTTAGAAAGCTATTGCATAGTTGGAGTCCACTAACAAATGAGCAGTTTCTCAATTTAGACCAAAAGAAAGCTTATTCTCTTATTCCATAGGATGTGACTGAGCAACATTTGTGATAATGATCTTTTCCTAATTTGTCATACATAAAGGTAAGATTATTATAATTGGATAGAACAAAACATTTTTGGTACATGCAGAGGCCCCAAAAAATGTAGTTTGAGTTTAAGGATATTTTATTTGTGGGTTTGGGGATTTTTTTTTCAATAAGACATTGTTAGACTGGCCAAGAGGCAGACCAAACACAGCTTTCACATACCTATTCCTACAAAAAAACCTGAAATTCATACCAGATGAAATAATCAAGAAATCTAATGATAAACTGCAGTGATTTCCTCCCCCCTAGAATTGCACAAAAAGTCAGCCACAACCCATGAGTAATGGGAGAGGAAGCCGTCAACAAAGACAGTGTCAGCCTAGTTAACCAAGTTAGTAGAGTTACTGCAACCAGAGCCACTGTACACTGCAAGGCTTTGTGTCTGGATGCAGCAAAAGCAGAAGGCTCCCTTCAGAAGGCCCCCAAGTGGAGACCTTGGAAGCCCTGGGGAAATGGCAGTAACCAGCACAGCTTGTCAGTACTCAGACCTGGACACCCCCAACCCCAAGGGTTAGATTATTAGCACTCAGTCTTGACATGCCATAGAGGTCCCTGCACTCTGAACCTCAGAGATCCCAACAGGCCTAACACCAGGAGGAGGAGATTCATACAAGAACACAGATGACCCAGGTCAAGACCAAATAGGACCAATCATCCACCCAGATGTGAATCCTGACCTTGGCACAAGTCCCTAATTGTGGAACTAAAGCTGGAGAAATGAGTAAACCAAATAAGATCCCAATCAGTATAAAAAAATTGTAGATTTAAATATCCCTAAAAGAAAAGTAAATCTGTAACCACTATAAGCAGACACTTTAAAGAAAAAATGGATTAAGAAAATGGTAGAGATGGCTGAAGTGAGTAGAACCAAGAGAACATTATACACAGGAACAGCAACACCATTCCATGATCAACTTTGATAGATTTAGCTCTTCTCAGTAATACAGTGATCTAAGACAATTTCAAATGACTCATGATGGAAAATGCATCCAGAAAAAGAACTATGGAGTCTGAGTATAGATCAAAGCATACTATTTTCTCTTTTTTTGTTTTTTTCTTTCGTTTTTTCTTTCTCGTAGTTTTCCCCTTTTGTTCTGATTCTTATTTCACAATATGACTAATGTGGAAATATGCTTAATATGATTGTACATGTACAGCCTATATCAGATTACTTGCCATCTTGGGGAGGGGGGAAGGGAAGGAGGGAGGGAGAAAAATTAGAACTCAAACTCTTATAAAAGTGAATGTTGAAAGTTATCTTTACATGTAACTGGAAAAAATAAAATACTACTGAGTGGGGAAGGGTAAAAAATGGTAGATCTGATATAATAAACAACTGACCCTAAAAGCATCAAGAAGAATTAAGAACCATTAAAACTCCTTGAAAACAAATGTAAATAAGTTTTTAATTTATATTTTCTGTTTCTTACATCACTGTAGTATCTCATGTATCCTCCCCTCCCCATCCCAGAGAGCCATCCCATACGACAGAGTATTTTTTGGAGAAAGAAGCCTGCAAAATTGGCTGATACATTAAAAAAGTGCAAAACTATGTGCAATGTGTAACACCTGTGGACCTCACACCCCCACAAAGGGGTGGATTAGGGATGTCTTCTCTTATCTTTTCAAGTCCCCCGTGTTCTTTATAATTTTGTCATATTCACTTTTGATTTTTTTATGTCATTCTTTCCATTTACATTATTACAGTTACTATGTACATTGTTTTCTTGGCTCTGCTTACTTCATTCTTTATTATTTCATAAAGATCTTTCCATGTTTCTCCATATTTACACACACCACTTCTTACAACCCAGAAATATTCCATTACATTCATATACCACAATTTGTTTAGCCATTCCTCAATCACTGAACATCTCCTTTGTTTCCAATTCATAGCTATCACAAAAAGAGTATTGTGGGGACTTCTTTTATTGATGGAATTGCAAATTGCTTTCCAAAACAGTTATACTATTTCACAGCTCTACTAACAATGTATTAGTGTGCTTGTCTTTTTACAACCCCTCCAACATTGTGCCATTTTCCCCCATTTTCAGAGAATGGGGATGAAACCTCAGGGATGTTTTGATTTGCATTTTTCTTGCTAGTGATTTGGAGCATTTTTTTGTGCAGTCTTGAATATTTTGCGATTCTTTTAAGAACTTTTTTTCCTATCCTTCAACCACATATCTACCTGGAAATAGCTATTAGTATGTATTTATGAATCATTAATTATCTTAGATACTAAACCCTTTTCCAAGAAATTTTATACAAATTTTTTTCCCCATTCAACCAACTTCCAATCTTATCCTAGATGTATAAAGGTTTTCTGAACAGAAACTTTTCAGTTTCAAGCAAAGTAATCTTTTTTCATCTTTGGTAATTGCCTCTATTTCTTGTTTGGTTAAGAATATATCCCCTCAGGGGCAGCTAGGTGGCACAGTGGATAGAGCACTGGCCCTGCATTCAGGAGGACCTGAGTTCAAATCCAGCCTCAGACACATAACACTTACTAGCTGTGTGACCCTGAGCAAGTCACTTAACCCCACTGCCTAGCCAAAAAAAAACCATATATCTCCTCATATACCAAAATAAAGTCGAAATGGGTTCATGATTTAGATATAAAGGCTGATACTGTAAGCAAACTGGAAGAGCAAGGAATA